TCATCGGAATGCCTTCCTGAAGATTGCAAAGATCAGACGGTTGACTACCTCAGGATATCATCCACGTACCAATGGGAAAACGGAGCGATACAATGAGATCCTTGAGTCGTATCTCAAGAAGATGAATACCACAGGAGATCCGACTCGATGGAATGAATTCCTTGATGCTGCACTATTTGCAACTCGAGTCCGACAGCAAACTACAGCCAAGTGGTCACCATTTGAGTTGTTGTATGGTCGAAACCCTCGGTTGCCGTTTGACCAGCCACTTCTCCGTGCCCCAGATACTGCACTCCCAGGGGATGCAGAGCACTCGGAACGGCACTTGCAAATGCAGAAGGCTCGAGAAGAAGCTTCGGAGCGAAGCACTATCTGGGCAGTTGCAGACAAGGAGCGGTGGGATCACCAACTCAATATCGGGACGGAAGGTACACAGCAGGGTTTTGAGGTTGGTCAAAAGGTGCTGCTCTGGAATGAAACTGCAAACAAGGGTGATGCACATTGGTTCGGACCATTTGTGATCACTACAAAACTGGATAAGGGAACCTATCAACTGAAGGATAGACGTGGACACTTACGACCAGGCTTGGTAAATGGAAACCGTCTTCGACTTGCTCATCTCCGGGAAGATGATACAAACCATCGGGCTTGGGTCTTGCCAAAGGCAACACAACGCCAGTGGTCGAAGGAAGACAAGGAAGCCGCTTCACAGGCTGTTGTCCGTGCCTTGCCTTCAATACGAATCATCGGTCGCTTTGCCAATCCAAATACCGGGTCTGCACCAATCACGGTTACAGAAGACAAAACCAGATCTGCACCAGTGACGGTTGCAGAAGACAAAGCCCAGTCTGCACCAGTGATGGTTGCAGAGGACGGATCACAGAATACAGAGTGAACAGTTATGCCAAGACGGAGATCATGACCCATGGGTCAAGATCACGGAATTCCGCAAACTGTTCCAGTGAAACAAAGGCCACAGACTCGATTCTAAACCAATAACACAGACAATACCCAAAGACTGCAGGTCTTGGATTACAATCCTCCAGACGGAGGTCCGATTCCCTCAACCTGAAGCCCCGGAGCAACCCAAACAGTCGCCTGCACAGATGTGCGAAGTTAGTAAATCCGATGCAAAAGGTGGTCCACTGATTGCATATGCATGTCCAGTCCTCCAGATGGAGGTCCAGAATGCAGTACACAGCAGTCTTACCAGGACGCACCAAAACCCGATTCCATCCTTGCAAACAGGAGACACAGAGCAGAGCCAGAAAGCAAAATTCCGTCTCAAAATCATAAAATCCCAGCCATCCAGCCCAAGAACAAGTCCAGAATCAGCCCAAAACCAGTCAGAATCCTCCGCAGAAGGCCCCAAAATAGTTGACAGTAGTTGACAGTAAGGTATGAGTTGAGCAAAGGGCTGGATGGCACAAGATCGTCCTCCAGCAGCATTGTGGTAGATGCTCAAGAGCTAGAGAGGGGATGGTGTCGAGTGTGTGCCAAGAGTGGGTGTGCAGGACCCTTGCGCAGCCTTAAGGCACCGGAATTTGATTCCATTAGACTATCTATGTAGCCTATATGTATATAGGGACGGAGATTGGCCTGCGGCAGGCCAATCCACGCCATTTTTACTATTCTCCCCTAATCGACGACTCGACACTGATGCACAGGGAATACCTACACGATGCCAATCTAGTGGGTTTCCCTTTATTTATTAGTATATACCGTATGCCTGCAAACTCGAAGCAATCAGATTTCTCACCCTGCATATATGCGAGACGGTACACAATTTGAGCTCAGCACCGAAGGTCAAAGTGATGGTATTCCTCGAGACTCGCTGGGATGTACTAAGACGAGGTTGTGATCATTCATCACAACCAGAAGGTAGAGATCGGGTGGATCCTGCAGCTTGCGCGATGGTTCGTTTCCGACCGTTTCTCCGACCCCGCTTCTGTGGGATAAACTCATCTGACTGCCCAATAAGACTGAAAACAGTGTCAGTGCTCTGGCCCCTCAACCGAGTTCTGAGGTGGTATAGAGAGGTTTATCAACCACGACACATGCGCAAACCGTTATCCGTCATTTATCCGATTACTCTTGCATTCCTTCAGAAGAGCTGATGGAAGAGGTGAATGATAGCGGAATGTTTCACCACTCGAGTTAATGGACCATGAAATCGTCCCATTCTCAAGAAAAACTAAATACTGGGAGTCATAGAATGGCAGAGCATGGAAGGGCTTGGGGACAAAGGGGGTGAAGCATATGACGGGCATAAACTCACGGCGCACCGGAAACATACGACTGGAATGAAAGGCGAGGAAAACGGCCTGGACTAGCGGCCGCATTTGGAAGGATGAATTCAGTGAGCAACAGTTTCGGCGCGAGGTGCGACTGGCAGGGCTGGCTTGAAAATCGGAGGTGCTAATTTGATATCATCACCAGGAGGGTGCTTTTCGTTGACCGGCGACGTGATAATGGGACCAATACTGCCATTTGGCCCAGATGCAGGTCCATTCAAATTTCGAATACCGTTCATGCTAGCACCCAAAATTGAACCAGTGACAACACCGACGGTAGCTGCACCGGCGAAGCCGCTGACGCTGGATGTCTTCGTCTCGGAGCTTTCAAATTCGCGTTTGACATCGAATTCTCCCCTGATGGCGCTGCCGTAGCTGGGAAGGCGTGGAAGAGACGGCGCATCAAGTCCAAATCCAATACTACCTCTGCTGCGAAGCTGGTCCATGTACGTATAGCTAGCATCTTGGCTGAGTTCATGACGCATGTCGTAGATCCAATCGAGACTTGTCGACATGCTACCCTGGATTTGAAGAAGACGCTCGGAAAGGCTGCGCGTGACATTCCTCTCGTGAGCGAAAGACAAAGTCAACTCCGAGATCCTGCGCTCGAGCTCTGCCTTGGTAGTAGATATGCCATCAAATTCATCTATCTTCGCCGTGTAAGCCTGGGAGACCCTCCAAAGTTCTGTACGCGTGTCTTGCAGAGCCTGCTCGAGGATGCTAATTCGAGCGTCGACCTCCGTCTGAGAAGACTTAGTGAGAATGAGGGTCGACTGGAGCTCTTCCTTCTCGATTTGAATCTTCCTGAAGGCCCTCAGCGTCTCCTGGTAAGTCTCCTCAAGGCGCGTCATGACCTCGGTAGTTTCGAAAAGCTCCTTCTTCATGGTTTGAACCTGTCCCATGTAGAGAGCCTTCCAGGACTCAAACTGTTTGATGATGACACTGTTGGCCGTAATGGTAGTGCGGGCTTCCTCGAGCTCAGCACGAACTGCACCGCTTGCAGCCCTAAGCTCATTGTTCTGAGACTGAACGACGAGAAGTTCCTTGCGGAGCCGATCGGTCTCGATCTGCAGCGTCGTGCGTTCGTGCTCGACGGTCGTCCTCGATTCAGTGATCTGCTTGAGAAGCAACTCTTGTTTGCTGTACTCGGCCATGAGGTTCTGTAGCTTCATGGTAGTCTCATGAAGCTCCCCCCTAATCGCTGAAAATTGAGAAGCCGACCTCGTCTGCTCCACAGTCACGCTGCTGCGCTCGACGTCCATGCTAGAGAAGCGCTGGCGAGCCAAGCTAAGCTCGCGGTATATGTCTGCCTGGTCCTCCAAAAGCAAGGCCATCTGGGTATCGCGCTTCTTGATCTCGGTGTTGAGATAATCGTAGTCACCATATGCCTTGGTGATGTTCAGCAGGCCAGAAGACATGGTGCGACTCTGCTCTGCCAGCCTTGCTTCGGTCTGACGCAACCGCTCCTCAAAGTTATATCGCTCCTCCGCTGTCCTGCTCTCTGACGTGACACCTGAAACAGTTCCCGACTGTTGCGTGCTGGTCACGGTGCTGGACTGCATGAAGCTACTCATTGAAGATGATTGTCCTGCAACGGATGCTATGCCATCGAATGTGGTACCTCTGCCACTCCAGGGTCCAGGAAGCCGCGGGTCTCTGCCGTCGAGCGGCAAGCCGGGGATCTGCCCGCCATATCCTGGGCCTCTCCAATCACGAGGCAAGCCGGGGATCATGCCATCGTATGCGAAGCCTCTCCGTTCAAGTGCGCCTTGACCATTGATTGCTCGGTACCCGCCACCGGCGAGACCAATGCGAGGTATTGCTCGCTCGTCGGGTTTCGCACCCGCAAGACCAATGCGAGGTACAGCTGGCTCATCGGGTTTGGCACCAGCGAGACCAATGCGAGGCACGGCTGGCTCTTGAAAACCAGCACCCTGGGACGCTTGGGCGCCGAGACCGGAAGATTCTTTAACGTTGGTATCGGCGGATGCTTGCCATCCGGCTGATTGCTGAGTAGAGGCAGATTTGGAAGCTTGGGCACCGATACCGGCAGCCTGGTGAGCATTCGCACTCTCGGATGCATGGGCGTCCCAACCTGCGGACTGTTGGGCAATAGCACCGGCTGAGTTCTGGGCGGTGGCTCCAGCTGCAGCACGAGCGTCCCAGCCAGCGGACTGTTGTGCCGTCACGCCGGCGCCTTGTTGGGCGGTCGCGCCAGCTGCAGCATGAGCGTCCCAGCCTGCGGATTGTTGTGCCGTTACGCCGGCTCCTTGTTGGGCGGTCGCGCCAGCTGCAGCATGAGCGTCCCAGGCTGCGGACTGTTGTGCCGTCACGCCAGCGCCTTGTTGGGCTGTCGCACCCTCGGAGGCGTGGGCGTCCCAGCTTGCGGACTGTTGGGCGGTAGCACCGACTGAGTTCTGGGCCGTCGCACCCGCAGACGCATGAGCGTCCCAGCCTGCGGACTGTTGTGCCGTTACGCTGGCTCCTTGTTGAGCAGTCGCACCCTCAGAGGTGTGGGCATCCCAGCCTGCGGATTGTTGGGCAGTCGCACCGGCCGCGTTCTGGGCGGTCGCACCCGCAGACGCATGAGCATCCCAGCCAGCGGACTGTTGTGCCGTTACGCCGGCTCCTTGTTGGGCGGTCACACCCTCGGAAGCGTGTGCGTCCCATCCTGCGGACTGTTGCGCCGTGGCTCCGACTGAGTTCTGGGCGGTGGCGCCAGCCGAGGCATGAGCGTCCCAGCCAGCAGATTGTTGAGCTGTGGCGCCGACGCTTTGTTGAGCAGTCGCACCCTCGGAGGCGTGGGCGTCCCACCCTGCTGATTGTTGGGCAGTCGCACCGGCCGAGTTCTGGGCAGTCGCGCCGGCAGACGCATGAGCATCCCATCCTGCGGACTGCTGAGCAGTGGCTCCCGCTCCCTGTTGAGCAGTCGCACTCTCAGAAGCATGAGCGTTCCATCCTGCTGATTGTTGGGCAGTTGCACCGGCAGCGTTCTGGGCGGTGGTACCAGCTGAGGCATGAGCGTCCCAGCTTGCGGATTGCTGAGCGGTGGCGCTAGCGGCCTGTTGAGCGGTTGCACTCTCAGATGCATGGGCATTCACATCAGCTGACTCATGAGCCGTTGCAGCGGCAGATTCTTGGGCCACAGCCTCAGCGGAAGCGTGGGCGTCGGCAGCGGCAGACTCATGAGCGGTAGCAGCCTGATCTCCCGCGGAGGATTCTTCAGCTTTGGTACCGCTAGCGTCCTTGGGCTCGTCAGAAGTGACTGGATCGTTGGCCGTCGTCGTCGTGAATGTGCTCAGGGGCTTTCCATGAAGTCGGATTTCCTGATGAATCGCCACGCTGTCGTTATCGAAGTCGAGGATTGGGAGGAGATCGAACGCATTGTTCTGCCAGTCGTTTTTTCCTGGTTCGGAGCGCGCGTTGTAGCGAAGTTTCCAGGGATCCTTAGGATCCAAATGAGGATCGTTGATAAGGTTGCTAGTGAAGAAACCTGTCTGGCCGGTTACGACCTGCCGATCGGAGATACCAAGAACGTCGTTGAGAGGCACTGTGAATGACATCGTGGCACCATCAGGCTGGCGCACGTCGACGTGGAATAAACCGTCCTTGTCAAGTTTCTGGTTTGAGTAGTCGTTAGAATCGGGCGCCATGGCTGCTGCGTGGCAACGTTTTGTGGAGGGGAGAGGCGATGGGTCTTGTGGAGGATCGAGGAGATCTTTTCAGTTGGGGAGACCTCTGTGGTGGTTGAAGTAAATGTGACAGCAAACCTCGTCCTCTAATACCTCGAGGGTCGACAGCGGGCACCTGATCAAACCGGAACATCAGGAGGGCCGCGATAGAAGCATCGGAGAAATCGAGTACCATAGTCCGGATCACCATGGCGCCTTCCCAAATACAATTCCAGAGCCGGAGTTCTCCAAAGGGACAGATGGACCGAATGTACGTCTGGAACAATTGATACCTTCTTGCACCATTCAGGTGATATGCGGTGCCGTCCGAGGCGTCCATCGATATCACGAGGCTGACAGAAGCATCGAAGCGGCAGTACAACCAGTTCAGGTGTTGAAGAGAGACCGTAAATGAAGTTGAAGAGAAGTTGAAGGAGGCCAAACGACGAGATCAGATGAAGTGCACGGGATTGCGACTGGATTGGGTACTAGGAAGCATTACTTCAGTGCCTGGGAGACGAATATGAGCCGAGAGAAACAAAAGGTATACGAAATATGATGTTCATGAAGGACCGGAGGCTACAAACACCGGCGGCATGTGAGAAAATGGCTTACTGTGTGATCCAGCCTCCCCCAGGATTCCAACATTACGGCATCAAATCTGTGTCGGACGCTCCGCACTCAGTCTTCTCTTCTGTGTCGTGACAAGGGTCAACGCAGAAATGAAACCTTGAGGCGTAGCTTATTGTCACTCTGACTATGCAATTGGCTGGTCATGATGCATTGGAGAGAGGAGATGGTCTTGCTTACTATTCAACACGTAGAATCGGCGAAGAAGCTGCGCTGGTATTCGGAGGAAGATGCCGAGGCCAGGGGCCCCAAACCATTTCCGGATCCGGACGAAACTCTCTTCGCTGTCACCATGCTGGAGCGCAAATCGTACGCTGGGACCAAGCATTGAAGGGGAGTGTGTCATGTGAGTGCACAAGGACCAGGTGCCGAACAGACACAACTGTGGCTCTAGCATTCTGGTGCGCCAGCAGAGCGGCACATCCATACACCGGCTTCTAGCGTTGGCCGTTGTACAGTCAATGGTCGGCGCAGGAAGTCATAGGACGAAATCCAGTCCCAGAACAGGCTCGATCCCTGGCTGCGGGGTCACAAGCGGATCAAGGCCATCAACAAACTGCACAGGCGCCTCGATATATCGCTAGCTTGCCCACGCAAGGGGATCTAGCATCGCTCCTTTTTCTCCCCGGAATATTCAGGCCTGCGCAGAGCATTGTGCGTGGAAAGCGCACCAAGGTCGCGTGTGAGGACCAGTTCGGGAGGATATGCTCGAACGGTTCTTTCCCACAGGATTCGGCCAGTAGCAAACAGACGATCTTGGTTGTCCATCAGCGAACTTGCGTCCGCTGGGAAAGTTCTCACAAATGCACTGTTTAGGATTGTTCTCGCGAATTGGTCAACTCTCGCGGGGAAAGACGGTTGTGCGCGACTGGGCCCGGAGTAAAATCCCCCTCCTTCCCTTCTCAGACATCTATCCTCAGAGAAGGCTGTCTAGGCAAATCGTAGGTCGCTTGACGTATTATAACTTCAATCGTGTCGTTGCTGGGTGAATGAGAAATACATAATAGGTTGGTGGTAGGAAGACAAGCGGCATGTATGCGTTCCGGAGTGGGCGAATTGAAGGAGCGCGTCATCACGTTCGCACCGTTTGTGGGTCCTGATGAGTCCCTCGTGTGCTTTCACCACTGGTCAAATCGCATTTCGTCGCCCGCTATCTCACAAATACTCCTTTCTGTTTAACGGGGATCATATCAAGTTAGTTCTCCCGCATCCGTTTCTTGTTCACTCCGCAATTGAACTAATGAGAATTCTTAGACAACGAACTGCATCGCATTTATTGAAGTAGACGTATGTTTTGGTAAACATCGCTACACTAAGAGTGATTGAGCACATCTACGCAAGCAGCCACGGATTGAAGGAGCGGTACGCCGTCTGTTTCCTCCATGTTCTCCTTTCCATTGTGTTAATATGCATCAACAGTCATCAGTCATGTGTTACTCGATACTGCTGTCGATGTCGTAGAAGCACATCGATGTCTCCGAGGCACGATTGCTGACTGGGAAGACTATACAGCGGACTTCACCGGTCTCAAATTCTTCGCTTTCTTCTTTGCCAACACGCGAGCCTCCTCACGGCAACATGCAGGCAAGGAAGGCTGCCGTGTGCACTGAACTGACGCGGGGCCATGGATTCGTGCTCCTGTTTGCTAACAGAGATATCTATTCAATTAGGTCCGGAATGCCTGGGGTGCTGGAAGGGCGTTTGATTGCAATCTGTCCACAGGAAGCAGGCACCAAGGAACCATCGATGGGTGGGCCCAGCTAGATATCTCGCTCCGTTGGCACGACAAAGGAGAATCGCAAATTCGGACTCTCCTCATCTGTTTGGGTGACGAACTTTCGATTGCTGAACAGTTCTCATGTGTACAAACCCCTGATAGTTCGGGCTCATTCTCCAATTGTCATTCAGTCCGCTTTGCGACAATTGGGGCCGAATGGGCTTGCAGTGAACTAGTATAACTCGTCTTGACAAACGAATTGATAGAGATGAGAAAGGTGTGCGCACCATAGCTGAGTTGATTTACGACTTGAATGCGGGATTAGAGGCCGCGTTCACCGCCGTCTGCTCCAACTATCACATGCAAGTGCACAGCGAGCGCATCTTACACTTCCGCACCTCCACGCACTCATCCACTCGCTACCTGGACAGCGACTTCTCTCTAGTCTGATCACACTTCCTTCGCCAGACGCGTTATCGGCCTTGCAACCCGGAGGAGGGACCAGCATGGTGCTCTATGACTATATTCCGTCTTGGGAGACGGTTGCCAAGGTTCGTCCTCGCCACAATGTTCTCCATGCATACCCCACAGCGACGGAAATCGAACAGGAAAACTGATAAACCTGTTCAGACATCATTTGGAACTGCGCTTGTCATGGTCGGCGGCACGATGGGCGCGCTATACTACGGGCAAAGCGCGCTCATCTACCCAAGTGGGATCCCCCAGGATTCAAGAACAAGTGAGTTCGTTGCCTTGCAAGTTTTCTCAACGAGTGTATTAACACCGAATAGCCGTGGCTGTCCCAACCCAGTATGGAATGCCTTATGATGACATAGACCTCATCACACCCGACAACGTTAAGCTCAAGGCGTACTTGATGCTGAACGGATATGGGCACGATGACGAGAAAGAAGTGTATTCGGTACGTAGTGTCCTGTCTTGGTGTTGGATCCTACCTGAAGGTATGTACAGGCAGCGCGGGCAATGCGTAGACCAACGGTATTCTTGCTACATGCAAATGCAGGCAATATGGGGTGCGTGCGTTGAGCCATCCGGTAAATCCAGGCTAACGGAGCTCATTACAGACACCGATTACCGCTCGCGAGTATCTTCTACAACAAGATGCACTGCAATGTCTTTATGCTGTCGTATCGTGGGTACGGACAAAGTGAGGGAACGCCATCCGAGAAAGGTATGTCGTCTGTCCTCAGCGTCTCTGCTTGATCTCAAACTGTGCAGGTATTCGCATCGACGCAGAAACCGCATTGCAGTATATCACCAAGCATCCAGTTCTGAAAGACACCAAGATATTCTTATATGGGCAATCACTGGGCGGCGCAGTTGCCCTTGATCTGGCATCCCGCTATGCTACCCTCATACACGCGGTGATTGTTGAGAACACCTTCCTCTCCATCGTACGTTTCCCCTGTCGCCCGCCTGTCACGAGTCACGCTGATGCACTTGCATAGCCGAAACTCATTCCTACCGTCCTTCCCCTCCTCTCCCCATTCTCCTTCCTCTGTCATCAAATCTGGGACTCTGAAACGCGCATCCCCTTCATTCCTTCAACCACTCCCATGCTCTTCCTCGCCGGCAAGCGGGATGAACTAGTTCATCCCACGCACATGAAGCGTCTATACGAGCTTGCCTGTGCAACGGAGGAGGATCAAAACGCGCCCGCGGTGGTCATGGGAGGAGTGAAGGAGACGGATAACGGGGGAATCAAGCTTGACGTAGACGGCGAACGGAGGGTATGGTGGGACTGCGAGCGAGGGACGCATAATGACACATGTGCTCAGCCGGGGTATTGGGAGACGGTGAGGGACTTTGTCAGTCGATGGCGATAGGCTGCTTCATGATCGGTTTAAGCCGAAAGTGATAGACATGGTTGCGGAGCGCTACCCACAAGTGGGTTTGTTGTTGCATATTATGGTTTTTTGTACGCATATACTCGGCTCTCCAAACTAGCGATATCCCACTCGTAATGAATTTCAAACAACAATAGACAATGTAAAAGAACAAGATTGATGGGAGTATTTCATCCATGACAGCAGTGGCAAACAAATGCCCAATCGTTCCCCTTTTGCGCCGGGGACACGTCGCTTTCCGTCGTGCACTGAGAGCAACTGTGCCCCCAAACCAACACCAGAGAAACATTCTGGTTCGGAACAGTGAAAAAGTTGATGGGATCGGATCGGATCGTAATGTGTATCCACAAACGGTGCATGTCACATACGTGCAACTTGGATACCCAAGGGCGACCGTTTGGATGAGGTGGTGTCGCTCTTCCTTAACCAATGCATTTCTGAACGGCTTTTCCGTAGTCGAAATGACATATCTGAGAACCTCAACTACAGGGATACTAACCTTGAATCAACCACTAAACGCTGCCTTGGCAACGGTAGTACTAGCATGGATCTGCCCTCCAGTGCTTGCATCTCCCCCAATGTTCAGAGCAGGTTGGCCGCTACAGTGGCCAATACCTCCAGACAATCCGCTCAACCGCGAGTAGCTATCGTCCCTTGTCTTTCCAACTCCGCGAGTTGTACTTTCGAGTGCGAAACAAACCAAGCACTGATTCGACGTCAGTCGCAAGGTCTGAGGGAGCAGTTTCGTGGTCTTGCGCCAGTTCGAATGACTGCGAAGCCCAGCGCAATCTGCTCCATCTGAAGTTTGATTAGCGGCAGTTCCATGCAGGATGAGAAACATTTGAAGTGTGTCAGAGAGAAGATTAATCGTTACATCTCAACCTCAGCGAGCTGTGTGCTCCTGAGTCATCCAAACCATGAATTTGTGAAGTTTTACTCATCCTTCAATAGGGAGAAAGATAGGGTTGGAGGATTACTCACCAGCTTTAGTGTTCAACGATTGCTGGTCAACCTTCTCATGCTCGAGAACACAGCAAAGTACTGACGACGTGCTTTCGAAAGCGCGAGAGAAAAAAGTCAAGAAGGTTCAGTGGCAGTGCTTCGATCACGTGTACATGACCGTGCCGCAGTCTCGGGTGCATCGGGGAGACCCTTACAAGCCTATTCCGGTGACGTCATCCGCGCAGCGCGGACTGGAGTGCCTCAGTTATAAACCACTGGACAGGGTGAGTGGTTCCCACTACGCGCCCTTGATTGTACACTACTGTACCACTCATCTACGACAATCAATACCTCTGTACTTACCATCTTTTGTCACCATGTCTTCCGAGTCGGACAAGAAAGAATTCCACATTCTCCCCCATCCTGCTGTATGTCTACTTTCTCACCGTGTTGATTAAGTGACCCATTGTTTTGGCAGAAGGACAACAACCCCGAACAACCGGGAGAGGGTTTGAACTGGGGCAAGTTCTCCGGCCCTGCTGGGGCGTTCCATGCTCATGGACCAGAGATTCCTACGTACGTTCAACCAGCATGCTCAGTGGATGTACGCAATGCTGATGGCATGTTTAGCCAAGAGCAGATTCAGAATCTCGAACAGCCGCTGAGCAAGGAGGAACTAAAGAAGCGCGCTGAGGAGCTGAACAAATAGATTCTTCCCCAGGGGTGATCTTTGTACATCTACGCAGTGTTGTATGAGGAGTAGGCAATATGTATTATGCACATAGGCGGAGAGGGTGCTTAATCTGGATGTGATCAATGTATCACATTCAAGCCATCTGTGATATATCGTGGTATACTCCCGTTTGCAGAAGATATCGCCTATACATCGCCTCTCTTATAAACCCGACTGCGGCCTACCGAGCAGCGCATTCCGATCCACCTTTGGCGAGTGACTTGCCAGGACTTATACCTCGAGGTTAGTTGAGCGTAAATTGGACTGCCATCAATTAGTATCCATAAGCCATGATGTTCGGAGTGGCACAAGGTAGAGAACGACTACGGGGCTGACTTGCACAATTGAAACGGTTTCTGCATGATGGCTGCCTCGCATAAATTGTATCTACATGCCGCAAGATATAACATTGAGCACATACCCCGTACTGCCCTTTCATTGCCCTTGAATAGCATGCCCATCAGGTACCGTGTTATCGTGGTCTTCGAAGAGTAATTCGCCCTGCAAGGCATCAGCGTTCTCTGATATCTCTGATATGCTGCCTCTGAAGACTTTGAGCAATTTGGAAAGCCGATCGTTGAGACTTCGGTTCTTGGCTTGCTCACTCTCGAGGGAGCGTTGAACACTCTCAAGCTTCGTTTGAACAGTAGTTGTTTGGATGATCTCCGAACGCGACTCAGATATCTCCACCAATTGTTGTTTGGCCGTCTTCAGCGATGTGACGTCGGACTGCAAATTCTGAAGCAAAACGAGTAAAGACTGGCGTTTGTCACTCGCGAGAGCTTTTTTCACAGCTTCATAGCCCTTTTCGAGGTCCATTCTCTCCAACAGCTGCTTTTTGACCACTTGAAGCTCCGTCTCTTTCTCCTGGAGTTGAAGAGTTTTGGCAGTCAGCTCGGCGCGGAGATCAAGAAGTTCAGTCGTAGTCCCGGCAAGTTTGCTGAGGCCGCTGAGTTCAGTTAGAGACCGACTGTCCTCCTGGTCGATTGCATTTCCTTCGATGAAGACCTTCAGTTGTTCAGCTCTTTCAGAAGCTTGACTCGTGAACGTTTCAAACTGCGTGATAGTGTTGGTTAGCTTGGTGAATTGCGTCGTGATTTGGGTCTCGACGTTGGACGCTGAATGCTTGTTGCGAATCTGCTCCTCGAGTTTGCGAATTAAAGCGAGCTGCTCTTGCAGTTTCTTCTGCATGCCTTGTCCTTTATTAAGTTCGACATTCAGACTCTCCCGCATGCTGATGATTCCGGAGATATCGGAAGAAACAATAGATTGAAGCTGCTGGCGTATTTGCTCCAAATCACGCGACTCGTTGCTAAGGTCGGAACTCTTCGTCGAGGTTGACTGCACGATTATCTCGGAGGAGGACTGGGATTCAGTCGTCTTCCTTGTTTCTTCGTGTGTAGTGGAAGCTGTCGTCACGTTCGATGCGAAGCGCGCTTCGTTCAAGCTGCCAGAACCAATGGTGTCTCGAACTGCGAGCTGTGACCCCCCCGCCACTCGATTGAGTTTCATGCGCAGGCTGTTGGGCGTTGCCGTTAGTCGGGAGCTTCGCATTCTCACCAGCGGGCGTCTTGGTGTCGACACCACGTTGCTGCTGAACCTTCGAGTTGATTGAGTGTAGGGCGGGATCAACGCCTGTGTTCTCGGGGAGCTGCGTGTCACCGCTAGGGGGCTGGGTAACATTGGCACTGCTGGAATTCTGGGGCATGCTGGTTATAGATGGTGAACGCTTTGGGGCGACAGGTAGCTTAGGCTTTCCACTCGGCTGAGTGGCGCTTCGGGGGTCCATCCCATTTCCATGAGCGGGCTGTTGCAAGGCGTCGGCTGTGGGTTTGCCGCCAGATGATGGCGTGACCTTTGCGCCAGTCCCGCCCGTGGAGTGGGCCGCCCTGTCGTCCGTCGATGTCTGATTCGCGCTGGTGTTGCCAGAGAGGGTTTGCGGGTTATTGACACCTGTGGGCTGCTCGGGGTTCTGGATGGTACCCGGCTGTTTTGGAACACCGGGGTATCGCGTAGTGCTGACGCTGGTGGGCTGAGGAACGGGGGCGGTTGTGGCTTGCTCATTCTTTTCCTGAGCACGCTGGTCCACGCTGTCATTGGGGGAAAGTCGCGAGTTGCCACCACCGAGCAGGGTTGCATTGCTGGGAGACGTTCCAATATTCGACGGTTTGGCGGCCGTACCGAAGGGGTTCAAGAATGAAGACATCTTCGTATAGCTATAAACGCCTGAGCAAGCTGATCGGGGATGTTTGTAGTAGGGATGTGGGGGGGAGGTCCGTGGTAGCAAAGGGCCTCTCTTATATTACTTGTGAGACTTGACAGCAGACCGACTTGCCAATAGCTGTGACCGGGACTTGATCCATCCGTAACATCAGGGCAGAACCCTATAAGTGGCTTCGCCGAACAGGACATTGCAAGTTGGCCGAGTAGTCTTTTGTGACAATCGAGGTGCGGAATAGCATGGAAACCTGGCGTCTATTCTCCTTCTGGATAGTGGGCCCATTCGAATCATACCCGGATTTGCGAAAGGCACGACGGTCGCCGGGGCTTTGGCGCCAATCAAAGACGGCAGGGAAATCGTAGGGAGCTTGAGCGATACGAAGAGATATTAGACGAATCGTGCAGCGCTGCAAGTGGACTGCGCAAGGGAGCCAGTGACAATTCCTGGCCAACAAATCTGCTTTAGGTTGTATCAACACACCGGCAACGGGGAAAGCCCCGCAGACCAACCATTCTGGTATCTTTGTGCTCCTCCCGGATATTCCTAGCTTCTTTCGGCACTCTCAGTGAATGGTTCACAGCGAGGTAGAAGCGACCGTACTAGATAGTACTCCTTGTTATCACTGCGCCAATCCCTGTGCAACACCAAACTTGGATCCACGGTATCGGATGTGACATCTTCGTAACGCATCTCCAGTTGCATGCCGAGGATTGCAAATGCCGGTCATCTGAATCTCATTAAATAAGCGCGAGAGAGAATAGCGCAGAGGGGCGGGTCTGGACCCTTTCCACAGACATCTCACGAAGATCGATCCATGGTTTCACTGATTATGCTTTCTGCGGTTGTGGACTTCGTCTGCGCAAATTGTTCAGCCTGCATGCTCCGGAAGTGCCATCGCACAGCAGACAACCACGAACAATATTGCGAAATCCATCTCCCTAGAAAGGAGGTAATGATTCACGCATCTTGCGGTCCTTCAGAAGGATGGCGCCATGTTCAAATGAGCTTGTAGAATAGGAAAGCATAGTAAACGTTTTGAATGGGAGTAGACGTATATTGTCACGGTATACTAGTTCAACGCGTATAGTCTGATTCCAGCAGCTGAACTTTCTCAACAAATCTAAATACATCCGCCAGCCATGGAACCTAATTATGGAAAGTCGCGCAAATCAATTCTGGCAGCTATTCTCAGTGCTTTGCAATTGGCAAAATGGTGACGTTGTCGCCAACCGGAAAGTAGAAGGTGATTCAAGCGAAGAGGCCGGCGTTTCCTAGCCCGGAGCCGCGCGGCGGAAGACTTCCCAATGTTGAGCCTACCAAAACTTCCCCTCTTATCCAGAGCCCTGATAGACAACCAGGAGCATGCTGGCGGGTTACAATTTGGTCCACTCAGCTGAATCCAATAATATACGGCCGCTGGACATGTGTCCCTTCCTCCAACCGTGTTCTGACAGGCGTTGAAATATGAACTTCTGCACAAGCGCCGTGAATTCGTTCAACCCTCTAAATCGAACGACTCCGCCGCGGTCTGCTGACAAGACGTGTCAGCTTTCCCTGTGCACCGAATTGATGGTTCTGGTGCATCTTGTCTCCCTGCAGTCAAGTCATGGAGCTATTTCTACAACACCGGCACCGGCCCTTACTTACCACCGGGTATCCTGTGACCACTAGAAACAGGTCGGCGAGCTTTCTGCAGCTTTGCTGGCGGATAGCATGCTAGAGCTTTGATGAACTCTTGTTCGGCACTTACTGCTCGTTCTGACTTTACCCGATGGACAGACGTGGAACTGTCACTGGTGACTTTGTCTAAGGTTGATGACAGCGACCCACTGGCCATGTTACTGGATACCGTATTGCAGAGTCTTCCGCGATTGCACTCGGCAATTTGCGATCTTCTCAATGGAAACTTGGTGCATTCGCGTCTGTGCTCTAATTCGATCAGTCTTTTGCCTTCTGTTTGCTCTCAACCCATTGGTTGGTAATCGCATCCTGCAGTGCGGCATGATTGACAGAGGAATGGGATTTCTTTCTCTTTCGGGAGGTTAGACGCCATCATCTTCGATTTTCTCGTTGGATCTGGAGTATCTCCCGGTACGGCTAGTCTTTGTGTTGCGCTGTCGTCCGGGGTTTGGAAGCGCCGGGGCTTTTCGTATGTCACCTCCACATTTTGCCTATGCATGTCGCGAATGGTACGCAGCAGTACCAAATGGTGAATGCTATGCATGCTCTCAGACTCCTCCGCGGCTGCCCTCCCCAGGCATCTGATATTCATATGTACGCGCGTCCGGCACTCGACACACCAAGTCCCGGACTCTATGTGCCTCCACTCCTCTTGTTTGTTCTGTTTTCGCTCGCCGCGACCTTGATCTCCGTGCGGACCAACGATACCGGTGCTGAATATTCCCCGGAATATCCAGCAAAGCAGCAATAATAATTCCACGCAGGTGAAGATGCAGTGAGAGGAGTCTCACTTGCATCTTGCATGAAGTCGATATGCACCCTCAACACGACAGGGAAATGTGCTCAGTCTTACCCTCAGCCTCCACGCAGAGCTTTCCACCGTCTCATCCAATGAAACACGCATAACTTTCCGAACAACTCACTTTGCCAATAATGACGGCAGCAAACAGCAAACAGCAAACAACCAGCGGATACGCCCCGACGCAGGCTCACGATGCTGGCTGAGACTTGCGGCAAACTGTCAACATACCGGCCAGACAGCAAGCAATCGAGGAAACACGAGCAAGTGCTGGCGCAGTGCGGTCGATAACAACTGGTGCCCGTATGTACCCTAGGCATCAATGCAACAACAACGATATCAAGAAGCGTTAATATCAAGGGGAGACAAGTACCCGCACAAGTTCGCGGCTTAGGAGTAGAGATGAAGAGAGAAGAGGATGAGACAAACTAGTGATTTTTCTCTCGCTCTCTTCACATGACCAAACTCTTGTATTACCGAGATGTATATGCGTGATTGAACGAAACCTGATGAGGTCTGCGTTGCTAGCTCTTCTGTGGTGGGCCCTATGCAATAAGGCATCCTCTTCGTAATGACAGCGATAGGACAGCGGTGATAAATACATGAGGAAGCGTCTCTGCGACCGGCATTGTACTCCTGCTCAATCACAGATTGAACGGGGAAAGCGAGGAAAGCCTGTGGGGATGAAGATTCAGCTCGGAAACGTGGCATGGGCCTGCACTCTGCGCGGTCAAACGTCAAATGGCGACTGTTAGTTAGGGTGAGCTTCCGGGCAAGAGTTAAGATGTACAACGCACGTACAGAATTACGACAGAGGGTCCCATGTCAATAACCAACACAATGGATCGCCGACATCAGCAGTACCGCATCCATCCTCCCAGATCTCGAGTTGCACAGACACTCATATTTAAACGGCGCTCTGTCCCGCTCTTCAACATGTATCCAACCCTTCAACTGGCTTTCCCACTCCACTCTTTGTCCTCTTCTCGTGATCGGGATCGGCGCGTGGTTGTTCGTGCATCCGTTGGTGTGGTAGGAGGGATAGCGACTTCCTCTCGTTACCCATAAACAGAGGATACAAGCGTTGTTTGATCTGAGTCTGGGAACAGAGTCGACGAGGGATAAAGGCGGATGTCTGCAGAACTGGACTGCGGATGCACGAATCTGGAAGCGAGGGAAGCCAGGTGGGGTATGTGCCTTACTTCGATGGTGTTCTTCACTCAACCGATGTTGGAGATGGACCGGGCCGGTCGTGACTTTTTCACACGACAGTTGCGGACGGAATTGTATGCTTTCACCAAGCTCTTAAAAAGGGATGGGTGACGCATTTCTCTCTTTCACAGACAAGAACATGGCCAAAGCTTTCAAAAAAGCGAATATATGAAGAGTGGAACAAGGAACAGGGTGGCTGTACCGATTGCCATCGATCGGCGGTAAGGGCATCTCGGCGATCTGTTGTGATCCCTGAGCGGGTAATGAACCTCGCGTGTCCCACGCGTTGACGACTCATGCCTCGAGGCACACACGCTCACAACCGAACTTGGCCTGTCCCTCCTCCTCACCTCTTGCCTTGCTCACTCCACGCTACACTTACTCCTGCTCTGCTGGAATTTTACCCGCTTTACTCCTGATTTCAAGGGGGTTTGACTCTTCGCCGTTGGGGCCGCAGCCCGCTGGCATCATTTGACCCGCCGCCTGCCTTTTCCCATTCAATTTTCGTATCCTCCGCACTCGCTTTGCACCATACTACCGATCGACCAACAGCCAATTCATCCCATATCGTGCGCAACGGTTCGCTCAAGTATCCACACACAGCCTTTTAATTGCAATCATCACTCTAGCATCAAAGTTCTCTTCATTTACGACCACCGGAACGATCATCGCGATCTACACGATTTGCACGATTCTGAGCTCGGTTTGTGGCTGAACGACGACTGACGATCGAGGGACTTGTTACGATACTCGCATCCAACGCTGAACTGCAATCCAATATTCCAGACGTACAAGACCTGGCACACACTACCTTCTACCCCACTACGCCGGCAATGGCGCCTCCCTTTCCCCCGCCCTCTTTTCCACATCCTCAACCGAACCCCACACACTTTCACCAGGAACGCGCCCAGTATCAGACCATGGCACCTCCACCTGTACCAGCGCAGCAGTTTTTTCAGGACCAGACGCACCACCATCGAGCAGGATCTCACACTTCTTCGTACTCGCATCATTCCCACACCTCACAGCAGTCGCAGCAATCCCAACGTTCGCAGGTATCGCAGCAATCTCAACATTCGCAAGTCTCGCAGCAGTCTCAACATTCGCAGGTCTCACAGGTCTCCAAATACACTCAGGGCTCTGCAGCACTCTCATCAACTTCATCTGCACCGACACTCCTCTCCCTCTCGCTATCTCCACCATACTCCTTGACCTCATCCTTCGATCATTCCCCTTCCCCAGCTACTCCTTCTCCTGCACAACAGAACGGTGGTTTAGGGGATTTGAGCAGCGTGTTGAGCGCACTGCAGGAGCTGCATCCCGGTGCAGCGCGGGTTAGAGAAGGGGAAACGCGTACCGGGACTCGAGCAGGGACACCTCGAGCCTCCCCGCCCCGCACGGGTAGGCGATACGGCACACCCTTTCCTCCGAGTGCTCAACACGATGAGGACGACCTAGACGACGATGAAGAAGAAGACGAAGTCGATGAAGAGGAGAGCAGCCCGCCCTCCCCCAACTCCGAAGCTGAGCTTTCGACCGTATGGAGCGGACCGCTCAAGGACATCTACCTCCTCCCCTCTGAGCGGGAGAACTCGGACGACGGGGATGACACTAGTGATCCCAGTCCAGTACTCAACGCTTTTCTGCCCATGCCCACGCCGGTCCCGTTTGAAATTGCGAGAGGGAGGAGGGTCACCCCCACCGGTCATGCTACGCCTCTTCCAGGGCCATTTGCGCCACATTTCCTCCAAATGCACCCCAGTTGGGCACAGGCACAGGTGAATGAAGAATGGTTACATGATCCGGCCGCTAGCGGAGGGATGAGTGACGACCCGCCCTCGTCGGACCCTGCGGAACTCGGTGACTTTGAGAGCGTTTTGGCCTATCTTCATTCGCAGACACGACCTTTAAGGGAACTCGCACATACATCAATGTATTCTTCCAGCACCGGTGTGGATACCAATATGAGGACCAACAGCAGCACGAACTACTACCCGACCTCTGGGTACTACCCCGGCCCCACGCAGACATACGATTTTGCCGCACCGCCCACCACTGGCGCGCAGAACGCAGGCAGTGACTCGGACAGCAAGCGCCGTGCGTTACTAGACGACCTTGTCCGCTATGCAGGGGTGGGCGTCGTCCTCCAGGGTGCAAGGGCGGGCAGCATCCTAGACGAAACCGAACCGGACGACGTGGAGATTGATCTGGAGTTGGAGGGCGAGACGCTCACAGGGGATTCGCTCCATTCCCAGGCATATGGCGGGATAGGAACTGTCATGCCCGGCGTGTCCGCGGGTGCATGGGCAGGAACTCTGTGGGCCTCTAATGTTGGTGGGCTCGTTGGGCAGACACCAAAGACGCCCGTGAAGATCCTCCTTCCCTCATCTGCTGCTGATCATCGTCCCCTCCCGCTTCCACCTACCCGTGCTCAGCCTACACCGAACGCAAAGAATAAAACTCACCAGCAACCCAGCGCCGTTACCAGCAAGTCGAAACACACGAAGGACTCCTTGCCTGCAGCTCTCGTCCCCCTCCCTTCCCTAGCTCCTCCAGACAGGCTAGCGAAGTTATGCCAGAAATTAATGATCGAATTCCCCTTAGAGAGGGGATTGCTAGAGATGGGGATGCGGGAAACGGAGAGGTTTACGAGGAGGTGGGGGACACAGCTTGCTATAGGGGAGGGTGAAGAGGAGCTCGGACAGGAAGGAGGAGAGGTACACGTGTTTATTGATCAGTACGTTCACTCCTTTATGGAGAATCGGAGAGAGGCTTATCTTCTCATCCAGCTCCAACATCCTAGTAGGCTTCCTCGAGTGGCTGAAGCTGAATCCCCCACCACCTTCACATCCCTCTCACCCTTCGCACCCGTCCCATGCGAGCCACACCCAGACAACGCCGACAACGCCATCCGGCAAACCCAAGCATATGCTCTCCTACCCTTCTCTTGCTCTGCTCCTCGAGCGCGGTCGTCCTATCACGAAACGTGTCCTGGTCGCTTCCTCACCATTGTATTCGTCCCTCGAACCGATTGAACTCTGCGGGTACGAAGTGAGTGTGTTACAGAGGGTACCACAGAAGGCGCGCGAACGGGTCAGCCAAGCTGCCAGCCGTGCGAAGGGCTCTTCGCCTGGCGGTCCGGGTGGCAAAGGAGGCAAAGGCAATAGTCCACAGGGGCCAAAGGCGGTCAGCGTGGGCGGCGCCGCGACGCGAAGGAAAGGCGTAATTACCAAACCCTCTGCCAAGCAAGCCGCCGGCGACAGCAGTGATACCGACCTGGCGCCTGCCACGCCTATGCGTGGTTCTCTCGCTGGCATTCCGGTCCCTACCCCTCAATCGGGCTCTGCAAGCACGAGCGCAGGAAGCAGGCCCCCGAGGTTCAAGGAACAGGCAGTGGACGAGCTCCTTCAATTACATATCTACAAGTCGATCCTTTCACACCCTTCCGCCCCCTCCCACCCAGGATCACCCCAGCAGAGGAACACGTTGGTCATCGCCACGGGTGACGCCGCCAGCTCGGAGTTCAACGAAGAGGGCTTTGTAGGTTGTGCTAGAGCGGCTGTGAGAATGGGCTGGAATGTCGAGGTTGTTGGTTGGGCGAATGGTGGCGTGGGCAAAGGCTGGTGGAAGCTACTCGAAGAGTTGCGTGCAGAGGCCCGCGCTGAGAAAGACGATACCCGTGACGCTGATAAGCACTGGGTGAGCGCCAAGAAATCTGGTGGGATAGAAGACAGGCTGAGGGTGATGGGCCTCGAGGAGTGGGGATGGGATTTGCTGGAATGAGGAGAATTCTAACGACCACATAACTTTACTTACCTTCATGTTACATACCAAAGGAAACGATGCTGAAGATGATAAGGGGAAGGGGGTATTGTGGAATTCAATTATGTGTATTATATTGTTCAGTTGAATGAAAGTTACACCTCTCTGCTGCACGACTGATTCAAATTCTAGGCCTTTCGTCGCACTTTTTTAGGAAACACGAGGCCATGCACTGCCTTCATCACCTCCGGCCAACTCATACCTTCTCCATCGTGTGTATGACTTTGTCTGGGCACACATCCGCGACGATTCCGCTTCAGTCTTTTCTTGGAATGAATGGTTTGTTCTTATTGCACTCAGACGTACACAACCTGAAGGGAGATCCCCAGATTGGACTCGACTTGTCAAGCACCAATACGAACGAGAGGGCGCTTGAAGGACATCGACGGGAGTATGAGCTTAGACGAATGCTGGAGTCCCGTCGAACACCCAAAGACTCTGGGAGGCATATGTGGGCGTCAGTGCCGAGTGTCACGACGGAGGAGTCCGAGTTCGACGTCCAGGCAGCTATCGAGGCTATGGGCAATCCCATGCCTTTCACTCTTACTGATCAGATCAATTCTTTGGTACGCCCGCTATCGTCATGCTTTCTGGGAAGCTGGACCACCGGCGCTATATCGCATGAATGACGACGATGGGCGCTTCTTCGCTTGCTCTCACGTTATCTATGCAAACCTTATGATACATTCACCAGATCCGCATCATCCCTACCGCTTCATTATTGACGAACTCGGCATTATTCCTATGACACAATACGATGCCCTCATGTACAGGCGATATGAAAAGGGAGTATGTTCACAGATCTTCTGTGTCGTTTTCGTGTGCGGAAGTACCCGAGTCTTGAAGGTTATGGAGAACGACTCACTATGGGGGAGGACGATCGAAGAAAGCGATTCTTGGAAGATATCTCTCATTGGTGCGACGTCGTCCGATCTTCGTTCTGATATTTTGGGTGCTGAGTAGAACAAACGTTGATAATAAATTAGAGGCCAAAATGTCGACCATGTATTATACATTTACCCCTGTACAGGAAAGAAAATGGAAATTCGAACCATGCTGAACGTCCTCATCGATTGTTGGAGAGATTTTGTTTGCTGACCATCCCAGTAAGTACAACCCAAGATAAGAATATCATGCCAAGTGGACGAATTTCGTGAGGTAAGGAACGGCCGAGGCCCGTAAGCTGATAAACAATCTGCTTACGTCATCTCAAGGCTGTGCGGTTCCTGAGCAACAATCACCATGCGCCTTCCATTCCAGTTGAGTCCTTCCCTGTAAAATTTCCTCTGGGAACAACTACAAGCCAACCCTCCCATCTGTGCTCTCCCGGCCGAGACGTTATAATCAGCTGCATTTGACGCCAGCTACTATTGACGCTCGTAATTTCTGGCGCTTCATCAATAATTTTGTGCCCGGTTGCACAGGATTCCAGCCAGCAAACCCGGAGTATCCGGGACATCAGGTCCATCTGACGCCCATTTCTTATGTCAGAGCGCTGAATGGCTTACTTCTTGCCATAACCACCAACAGTGATAGCTTTCCACGATGATCTTCATCCAACTGCTGTTTTGGGCGCTCACGTTCAGCGGTTCTGCACTGGCTTGGCAGTCTTTCTTAGTCAAGGAATCTGTCTCTGTCATACCGCGGGGATGGACAACAAGCAGCAGAGCACCTCCCGATCATCTTTTGCGGCTACAAATTGGATTACGTCAGGCTGACCCAACGTCTTTGTATGATGCACTCGCCAACATCAGTGATCCAAGACACGTGCAGTATGGCCAGCACTTGGAAAAGGAGCAAGTCGAGGCGCTTGTTCGTCCCCACCCGGTTTGTTGATGTTATTTCACAGGTTCCCTTGTCAATCTAACAATGTATCAGGATGCCTCTGAATCAATCGAAGCCTGGCTTTCACATCACGGCATCCCAGCAGGATCTGTCAGCCGAAACGGAGCAGGCGACTGGCTTAGTATCGAAGTTCCGGTGCACAAAGCCGAGCACATGTTGGACGCAGAATATCGCATCTTCGAGCATGAAGACGGTTCGTCAATCGTGCGTTGTAGTAGTTGGTCGCTACCAGCCGACTTGTATGAACACGTGGAGTTTATCCAGCCTACTACCATGTTTGGTTAACCCTTTCCTTTTTTACTGCCACCCGCTCGAAATTGATTAATATCAGCGCGCCTCAAGCCACAAAGGTCTTTTGTCCACTCGGTATCACCAGGAATCGTCCTGGCAAACCCTATCGACTGCTCACACTACGTTACGCCGGACTGCATCAAGGAGCTGTACGGCATAGGCAGTTATCGACCCAACTCTAGCGCTCCCAATCATCTAGGCATTGCAGGGTATCTTGAAAGCTACGCTAATGTGAACGATACTACATTTTTCTATCAAGAATTCGCTCCTAAGGCCTTCGCGGACGATTTCACTTTTTCGGTTGAGCTCATCAACAGTACGTATGTCGTTATTATCAATGCTTATTATACTCATGCGTAGCCCCTAGATGGTTTTAATGACCAGTCCGAGATGGCGGCTAGCTTGGAAGGAAACCTGGACGTCCAATATGGAGGCTCATTATCTTTCCCAATACCGAATACCTACTACTCCACTGGTGGTTCCCCCCCTTTCAACCCATCCAGCGGTACTCCCCAGAATACTAATGAGCCGTACGCGGAATTCCTGTCATACATTCTCAACAAGTCCAATAGTGAGCTGCCCACCGTATTGTCAACGTCATATGGGTACGCCGTAACTTGTAGGTTTTTGCCGCGGTCGTTGAATCTCTGTTTCAGGGATGAGGAGCAGACAGTTCCGTATTCTTATGCTGTCAGCGTCTGCAATCTTTTTGCTCAGCTCGGTGCCCGCGGCGTGAGCGTCTTGTTCAGCTCTGGTGATGGTGGTGTTGGAGATGGCAAGGGCCCTGGACAAGACTCGCTCACTTGCATCTCAATCGATGGGAACTACACCCCCATGTTCCTGCCTTTTTTCCCAGCCACATGTCCATATGTCACTGCTGTTGGAGCAACATCTGGTGTGCCCGAAACCGCCGCCTCGTTTAGCGGGGGAGGATTCTCCAATTATTTCTCAAGACCTTACTGGCAGGGTATGTTCAACCTTCAAGTTTGCAATCTCTTTCGCTGATCATTTTGCAGAGGGTGCTGTGAATGCTTATACCCCGCAAATACCCAGCTCGTATTCTGGATTCTATAACGCCTCAGGACGAGCTTATCCAGGTGTGATCATTCTTTTCTCTTTTACAGCATGCAGCCAGCTCAACCCTATGTCGAGATGTGTCCGCGCAAGGCGATAACTTTATCATCCGACAAAGTGGAAATCTCACCACTGGATTTGGCACGTCTTGCTCAGCTCCGACATTATCCAGCATCATTGCATTACTTAATGATTTTCTCATGGCTCGGGGTAAAGCGCCCCTGGGCTTCCTGAACCCTTGGTTGTGTTTGTGGACATTCGTCGTCATCATCCCCCGAGCTGACATTATGTGTTAGATATCATTGGATCTACTGGGTTCAACGATATTGTAACTGGGACCAATCCGGGTTGCGGGAAAAACGGATTCAGTGCAGCCGTTGGTTGGGATCCAATCACCGGAGTCGGCACGCCGAATGTCACTCGACTCATGAGTCTCCTGTCATTATCATTATAATATACCGGTCTTCATCCTTGATTTGTTCAACGGTCTATCCGATCATTGCTATCCGCATCCGAGATCTGAACTGAACTGAGATGTGCATCGGGACAAGACAGACTGCCGTAACATGGGCCATTCATGGGGACAGCAATTGTCAGCCTTCAGTTTGACCAACGCATCGAAATCCAGAAGACAGTCTATCGATGGCGGCATGGTGTCGCAAACTTGTGAGCATCATGGGGACAGCATCATTCTCTGAACTATGTTTGAAATAGAATCGCCCATGACGTGCCATTGCGCGATAATATTGCGTGCATACTCGGTAGGGTCACCGCGGGGAAGCGCGTCAACTCCACAGAACAAGGGTTTCGGTTGAGCACATTGACTTGTGCTTACTACTGTATCTCTTCAATAGGGAGCGCCGAAGCTAGCCCGACAATGCGTTTCTGGACAAATGAATGGCGAACGATGCTTTGACATAAACACCGAGAGGAGCTCAGGCACCGCCTGGAGCACGCAATAATGCAACAATTGCGAAGAAATCGCTATCGCGGAGTCTTTCAAAAGATCATCTTGCACTTAAGGAGTGTTCTGCTGTATTTCCGCTCTCTTTCACGGTCTTCTAAACATGGCTTCGACCAGAGCTGAAGACAACCTGACGGTGGTGCACCTCGAGAAGAGCGATAACTCTGAAGTGGTGGCGGTCGAGATTGTAGATCAAAAGAAGCAGAAAATCTCTTGGGCCGGTTACTTATGGGACACGGCTGACCTTCCTCCTGACGAACGGTGGCTCTTGTTCAAAGTCGATGCGTCGTTACTTATATTTGCTTCAGTGCGTTCGCACACCATTGACTGAGATCTTATATACTAATCACTTGCAGCTCGGGTACTTCTTGAAGAACTTGGACCAAGTAAGATGCTGTCTTGCTCTTCCGCTTGTGCTGATTTTCTTCTTCAAAGTCGAATGTCAACAATGCTGTAAGTTGTTGCTTGATCCCAATTGCATCGGCGCTGAGGATGTACACAGTTCCTGAGTGGCATGAAAGAAGACCTGTGCGTTGGAACAAATCCGGGCGAGTAAACAACGCTGACACTTGCCTATTTTCCAGATCAATGTACGGCAACGAGTTAGTGACCGCTACCTCAATATGGACGGTTGGATATGTCATTGGACAGGCGAGCTCCTTTTCTACTTTATCAGACACAATATCAACCATCTCTCAGATACCGTCCAATTTACTTCTCACCCGCATATCACCCCGTTGGTTGATCCCCGGTGTACGTTTTCCCATATATTCCCTCCTCCATCCCTTTTATTCGGCGGCTTATCGTAGCTGGAAATTGGCTGGGGATTGGCGACACTGGGAAACTATGCTGTCAAGGATATCAAGGCATTATACGCTTTGCGTTTCCTTGTAGGATTGTTTGAGTGAGTAACGACACGTGGCACTCTGCCTGGACATTAACGGGATGCCAGATCTGGCTTCTACCCGGGAATTCACTACATTTTGGGCTGCTGGTCAGTACATCGTCCTAGTGTTGTTTTCCCCGCTAATTCCATCAAAGGTACACTCCAAGAGAGTTGTCAAAGCGCAGCTACATTTTCTGGGTTTCGGGTAACCTGGGTACCATGTTCAGCGGATTTTTACAGTCAGCGGGTGCGGTAGTGGGATGCTCCAACAAGAAACACATTCGCTTACGTGTCGACAGCTTATACAAATCTTGGCGGGGTCAATGGGTTGCAGGGATGGAGGTAAGTGACGAGGACTGCGATGGCCTTTACTCATGCCTGGTAGATGGCTATTCATCGTGGATGCCGTTATTACTTTGCCCATCGCCCTGTTCGGCCTGGCTCTTCTCCCCGCACTTCCATGGTATGCAAAGCCTACGTTCTGGTTGAGTGAAAAGGCAACAAAATTTATCCGTCAATTATATGACTCCTCATGCTGATACCCGGAAACAGGAAATAGAAATTGCGCGCGCTCGCATGAAAGCTATCGGACGTAAAGGCAGCGAGCCTTGGAGCTGGGTCGGTTGATATTCTGCACCCTCATAGTTTGAAATGCCTGAAAGACAAACCAGGCCAAACTTCGTCGTCTTCTAACTGGATGGCATTTCTGGATTCTACGTGAGTCATTGGCCTGATTCCAAGTCTTTTCGACTGAAAGAGCGGATAGCCATGCTATATGTAATCTGGAACAATTCCAGTATTCAAAGCCCAATGGGATATTGGCTCAAGAGCTTCAACAACGTCCCGGCCCCGGTGCCCGGTGTGTCCTTCACTGTATCTCAGATCAACTTGCGTAAGCTTGTATTTCAAACTGCATTACTACTGCAATGAACGCTGCCCAGTTCCTCTCCCTGGGAACGCCATCGTGGTCGTCAATTCCCTGGCTTGGGCTTGGATTGCCGACGGCCCAATGCGAGGGACGAGATGGCCATTCATCTACTTGAATGCTGTGCTGATGGTCAGGATTGGTATGCACCTCAGTCGCTGCTGTGTACTGATATCCGGTAGATCATATTCGCCGTCACCCTTCGCCAGCTTCCGATCTATCAAAGTATCACGGGACACTTCGTGATCTACTACTTGAGCAACATCGCTGTGTGTTTTGCCTCTGTGTACCAAAATGCGTTATTCACCGGAATTGTAGGGATCGGCGGGACCCATGATTTTGAACTGGATTGGCGAGATTTCCAGCGGAGATGTGCGCCCGCTCATTCCCTTAATGCTGTCATGGGCTGAGGGAGTGATGTTGTAGAACGAAGCTCGCGCCATCCTTGTCGCGATGGGCAATGATCTTGCCTACGTTGTCCAGGCAGTGGCAAGTCCCATATCTGTCCTTATATGTCACAGGATGATGTGACACGTCAATTTCAGGCGCCGAATTTCGTCTGGAAAACGACCGACTTTCCTGCCGCAACCAAAGGGATGACCTGGTCGATCGTTCTCTCCTGCCTTCTCAGTGCGTTTTTTACCCATCCATCCAGTACCATGGGTTGACTTCTGGAATCAGTATTCTGGAATACGGTCGTTCTATCCTTTCTCTGGCGTGATAGGCGCAAAGCGAAGCAGCAGATCGAGAGTGATATTACGGACGAGCCTGAAGAATCTTTGGACGGAAAGGACACAGCTACGTTCGGGCCGAGCGGAGACGTCCCAAGGTTGTCTGTGTGATGGTGTGAATCTCTGTAACGCGAATCTTAGCTAGCATATACGTTGTTATTTGGCGGTGAATGCCAGCAAACGCAACATTTCTCTCAGATCCGCGCAAGGACGTAGAGCGCACGGACCTGCTCGAAGAGGGAACAGCAAGGCGCGCAGTGCAGGTCCCCGGATCTGGCCCATGCAGCTGCGATACACCGCCTCATTGAATATGAACCAAGGTTCAAGTACTCACCAACTCGAAAGGTAGACAACTCTAGACAAGTTCCAGAAGGACCGGAGGTACATCTCCAGCACAGACGAGGCGAGAGCCAAATATGTATTAGCAAGTTGAAGTAGAAACCCACAGAGGGCCGAGCGGGGAGAACTTGGGATCTAGCCCACTCCAGGACTGCCTCATGTTGGAGGATGGGACAATCATTAGAGACGTTGCGCAAGCTTGCTCCCGGCTTGGATGAGTCCAAGTGTGTTTTTGAGCCCGATCGGATGGACAGAAGCCCAGGGAAGGTCCACTAGGACCGCGGTCTGAAAGAGGACAGGCAGACGGTCCAGAAGAGGAAGGAGATGAGGGAAGACCATACGCTCTGCCCCTCTCCCCTCCCCAGACCGGGCCCATGAGGAGGGAACTCGCTAGCTGGTCAAACGGCCAGCTATGAGCCACAGGACGAGAGTATCCAGTCCGCCCTATACTCACCCCGGTCCATACAAGTGTGGCAGGCTGGCTTAGGACCCACGTCCGAGATGAGCATGAACATGCGAGAATCGGGGGAGGTTCTCGATCGCACGATAGACCAGGCAGGAGCCGGACATCACCTGGTTCAGCTGGAGCTCCTGTGCCAGCTGCAGGAGGAATTGAAACCAGCCGAATACCTCACAAACAAACCACACTCGCATGAGAGCCAGGTGGAAGTGAGATCATGCTCCTGGTTTTAGAGCCTCGTCTGAGCAAGCATAGGAGTGAGAGCCCCCAGAAGTGTCGATCGTTCTGTAGATAGCGGGAGAGAACGAAAGCTGTCATAAAGTGGGGACGAGCTCCCAAGCCGGACACATGAAGACTTCAACCAGTCAACCGCACAGAGAGGGAAGGATGTGCGCGGCTTGGTGTCGTCTGACGAAGTATGGCATTCTGACGGTGTAGTGAGCAAGCGCCCAGCTGACAGGACGGCTGGGAAGAACACAAGTGCGAGAACCGTCCTCCGCCTAGGAAGGACATAGACTAGAACGGAGTCTGCAAGACGCTGGTCACAAGCAGATTTCTACCACCAAAACATATCCACCTTGGCGCTGCACACCTGTACAGCCCACAGGATATAATACGATGATCGTTTTCTGCTTGGGATCAACGCCATGCAGAGCTGAGAGGTGCGGAGAAGGGAGGTGCAAGCTGCAAGAAGCTGGTCCCAAGCTCATTGCAATCAGAGATATATCCGCCCTTGGGCTGTACAAAGGTACAGCCCACAGGAGATAGCACGACGATGGCTTCCAGCCTGGGATCGGCGCCCCGCGAGAGCTGAGAGTTCGAAGGGAGCTGCAAGCTGCAAGAAGCTGGTCCCAAGCGAGCTTTGCCATGACCATCAAGACAAGTCCACCCTGGTTCTGCACATCTGTACAACCCAAGGGAGAAGATAGCACGACGATGGTTTTCCGCTTGGGATCGGCGCTCCGCGAGCACTGCGAGATGTGGAAAAGGGAGGTGGAAGCTACAAGACGCTGGTCCCAAGCAGGTTACTCTCCAGATATATCTGCCTTGGTGCTGCACACCTGTACAGCCCAAGGGAGATAGCACGACGATAGAGCCCCGCCTGGGATCGGCGCCTCGCGAGAGCTGAGAGGTGCAAAAGAGCGGACAAACTCAAACTCAAGGCGAGAAATCGTACCTTTCCTAGTCGAGTCTCGGGTCTCATGTAGCCTCTCTCCGGGCAGACAGAGGATCCGTACCCCGACTCAAACACATTCATCGAAGGAGTAAGGAGTAAGAACGGCCATGTTGGGGAGGATCGTTATCTGGCCAGAGGTAGGACTATGAGCGGGTCAGCGTCCAGCGTCCAGCGAGGACCAGAAGCAGAGCGTCAAAAGGAGACACGGGGGGACGATGTAAGCCAGGAAAGGGGACATCGGTACCACCAAGCTCCTCTCGGGGCAGGAAGTGTCCCACCTATCCTGGGATGAGGTTCTCCTACTCCTACTCCTAGTCTTAGTCCTGGTCCTGGTCCTGGTCCTGAGAGGCATAAGAAAGGAGCGGTCGAATCGACCCGAGCCTGAAAGCAGACGAATGGGTGACCAAGGCGGGATAAGGAAAGCAGGAGAGCAGGAGGACGGGGAAAGCAGATGGAACGTTCTAAGCTGCCTTGTAGACCTATTATCATCTGGCACTAGGGGGAACGAGAGCTGCGGGGAAAGAGAGCTGCAGGGGGAAGAACGGGGGGAGGTAGGAAGGGTACGGGTTTATATCTTCTTGTTGGATGGGGGGGGATGTGGCTGGCGGGGATCGGTGGTAGCCTCCATTCAGGTCGACAGTTGCCGAATTGAGGATAGATCCCTGTGAACTGTGGATTTATGGGCAGATTGATCGGCAGCAGATGCAGGATCAAACAATCAAACAAGGTTAAGAGAAGTGGGACATCATCTAACGAAGCACTGATAAACACTAGAATTCCGGATTAGGAAGTTGGCTAACCTATATCCGGAAGCGATTCCCCGAAGGCGAGGGCTAGTCGCGGAACCGGAATGGGCGGAGGCGAGCGTGACCCGCCGAGGGAGTAAGCGTGAGCGTGAGCGTGACTGGTGTGAGGTTAGGTGGAAGAGGGAGAAAGAGTAGGCATTGAGTGGTATTGGGATAATATAGGTAGACACGCAGTAGTATACTAGAAAGAGTGAATAGACGCTGCACGGGTATATGGTACACGAGCGTAGTCGAGAGATGATAGGGTGTTGCAGCAGAGTACCCTATCTCATACAGTACTCTCTCGCGTACTTGCTCACTGCGACACAACTCACCAACACAGTGCATCATCTTAACATTAGTGTCTAGACTGCCAGAAGGGCGTGAGAACAAGTCAAATACACGCAGGGAAGGTAGCAGGTATAAGGTATAGGCACTTGCGCAGTTACGCGTCCCCTATCCTTACCTGACGAGGACGCGACTCACCCTTTCACTCGCACTCGCACTCGCACTTGCACTTCTGTCCGCCCTCTACTGCGGCATATCGAGTCATCTCCCATAGTACTACTAGCACTCAACGCCTTCACCCAACCACATATCACACTCGCACAAGATGCACACTCAATAGCCACCTCGCCCACCACGCCCGCACTCCAACAATCAATATGTCCATCCCCACCCCAACCGCAGCATCAAAAAAAGCAGACCAAATAGTCCACAGGTTTTATATAAAAACAGTGCTCTTACTTGCCCAAGCCCGCTTAGGGGGAGAAGAAGAAAGGCACGAGAAACGCAAGACGGATAAATGGGTGCGTCCAGGTGCCGTTAGGCATCTCTCCCTTCCAATTCCCACAGAGTACTGATCGCATGACGGTAGTTCAATATCGAAACTCCCGACACACCCCCTGCCTCCCTAACCCAAGCACTAGCAGCATATCGCGCTCTCTCGACCTCCCCACCCCCATCTTCAGGGCTAACGATCCTAACCCTCCTATACATACCTCCTCTCTCCCCCTCCCAGCTGCTGGTGCTGCACCCGGCTTCTGCTTCGTCCGCTAGCTCGTGGGGTGATGAGCCGGCGCAAGTACTGAGTCCGAGCCCGAGGGCGGTGGTTTTGGAACGGTGGACGTTGGAGCTTGGCCCGCTTTCGGCAAGTCAGTCGCTTCCTGCTGGTTACGGTGGTGCCGGTGCGAGAGGTGCGGGCGCAGCGGCTGGAGCGGGAAGTGGAGGGCCAGGAGGAGGGGTAGGGGGGGAAGACGAGCCCCTGCAAAGAGTGTACAAACGCGGGATCTCACTCTTCCGAGCTCTGTTTCAGTTACTGAGGCAGATGCCGGCTTGGGGAGTGGGGAGGAGGTTGAGGGGTAAGGGGCTGGAGGGGGGGGTTGGGTTTGGACTGGGGATGGGCATGGGCGGTGGGGAGATGGGCATGGGCATGGGCATGGGCATTGGGGGAGGGGGAGCGGGGATGGGGGGCATGGGAGGAGGGGGGATGGGAGGTATGAGACTGGGACTTGTTAGGGAAGGGGAGGAGAGAGGGGTCTTGGATTTTGGTACGTTTTTTTGCTGTGGGAGGGAAGGGAGAGGTCGCTGATGAGTTTATGTGTTCATCCTGCTACTATCTTGCTGCTGCTGCTGCTACTGTCGATTCCTACTACTTTCGGTTACTGCTACTGTCGACTCCTCCTCGCCCTCCCCTCAACGCCCAACCCCAACCCAACCCCCACAGACGCACTAGCGACCCTCATCTCCCCCTCCCCGTCAACATCCACCACCCGCCTCTCCCCCATCCCCACCCCTCACGGGCAGCTGCACATCACCTGTACATACCTGTTGCATCCCAATTTTGCACTGGGGAATAGGGAGGCGATGTTGAGCGCTGGATTCGTTTTGCAGGATAGGAGGGAGAGGGAGGGGGAGAGGGAGAGGGAACGAGAAAGGGAACGGGAAAGGGAAAGAGAGAGGGAACGGGAACGAGAACGAGAGAGGGAGAGGGACCGGGATAGAGAGTGGGAAAGAGAGTGGGAAAGGGAAAGGGAGAGGGGGGAAGGGCGGGAGAAGGGAAGGCACAGAGCGGCAGAGCGGCAGCTGCAGCTACAGGAGAGCGACAGCGGAGAAAGAGAGTACCCGTTTTCTCCTCCCGGTGCTGGACCTTCAACAGTGGGGCGAGCAGCTGGCGGATCAGGAGCGGCAATAGCATCAGCAGAAGGCAGAGGAGCAGAAGGAAGAAGAAGCGGAGCAGGAGGGAGAGGAAAGGGAGACGACATCCTCACAGAGCCTCTCCCTCCTTCCTTAGCCAGGTTCTCAAGTTCTCCGGATACGGCAGCGAGGATTGTTGCTCAAGCGCATGGGCACGCGCCGGGGATGGGAAGCTCTCCGGGACGGGAGAGCTTGAGGGCTCAGGCGGCTTTGGGCGCTAGTATGAGAGGGTCGCCTGGGGCTGGGACGGGTGGGGGGGTTCCTGCACCGATGGGGGGGAGAGCAGCAGCAAGTGCGGGTAGTGGTGGTGTCATACCTGGACCTACGAGCACGAGCACGAGCACGAGTGGGAGTACGAGTACAGGACCAGGCACAGCAGCAAACACGGCCACAGGAACAGGGACGGGAACGGGAACAGGAACGGGGCTAGCATCACTCTACGCCTCCCAATCCGCCTCCCAATCCCAGTCCCGGTCCCAATGCCAATGCCAATGCCAATCCCAGTCTTTCCCTCGCCGACCAGAGAGCCCAACAAGCCCGAGCCCCTCCCGCGCGCCTGGGAGTCCGAGAGGAGGGTACTTCGTGAGTTTGCCGAGTGGGAAGGAGTTGGTTTTTGCCCTTGGGGGTGGGAGTGGGAGTGGGGGGGAGCGCGCGGAGCTGCAGCGGGATCGAGACAGGGAGAGAGAAAGAGAGAGGGACAGGGAGAGGGAAAGGAAACTCAGCATGATAAGCGACACCAGTTCTTCCCCCAACCCCAACCCCAACCCGACAGCCCACCGTCGGCCAAGCCTCAACTCCCCCCACCCGTTCAAGCCCTCTACGTCCCCCGCCCCTCCGGCGCGAATGGGAGGTAGCACCCCTAGCCTAGGGTCAGAGCACGCGAGTCACCCCCCCAGTCCTCTAGGCGGACGGCAACTCCCCCTTCCCCTCCCCCTCCCATTCCCTTCTGCGGGAACGGACGAGCCTAGTTCTGCAGGGGAAAGAGGGGAAAGACCCAGACCAAGATACTCAAGTAGCTTCTCCCATCGGTATTCGAGTGGGAGCATCTCTCTTGCTGGCAGTCCGGCGTCGCTTTCCCTTAGGCCGGCGTCGCCTTTCCCTGTGCCTGTTGGATCGAGGATCCCGGGCAGCCCGGCTCTGGGCGGGAGTTACGCCTCTTTATCCCAGAGTCAAGCTAGTTATACCGGTCCAGGAACAGGTGCAGGAACAGGGACGGGGACAGGGACGGGAAGTTACTCCTCCCCAAGGTTCATGGGTAGTAACCCCAGCAGGACGAGTTTTGGAGGCAGGGAGAGGGAGGCTTCCGGCCCTGCCAGCACGGAGAGAGAGCGTTTGGGGAGAGTGGAGAGCGTACCGGAGGGGGAGGCGACTGGGTTGTCTGGGAGCAGGGGGAGCGGGGGGAGTGTGGTGGGGAGTGCGAGTGCGACCGGGAGCGGGAACGCGAGTGGGAGTGGGAGTGGTTTGGGAGCTGCCCAGGCACAGGCACAGGGGAGTACGGAACCCCGAGGAGGGAGGAGGTACTCGAGCAGTTTTGCCCGTAGACCTACGCTCGCCACTGCTAGCTCGACGGGATCTGCAGGCCAGCGCCCTCCCAGCGGGGGGAGTATCTCTGAGCTGCAGCTCGGGCTTCCCCGTACGGGGAGTGCCAGCCCTTCTACTGGCCCTCTACCCCAGCGCATACCGGGCGGAGTACCGCTGCCTACTCCTGCAACGCCCGTCGACCCAGATCTGCAGAATTTTCTCCAAATGCTCGAGTTTGCTCCTCCGCTATCGGCTTCCCCTTCCCAGCAGCAACTTGGCGCACCGAGACACAGCCCGAGTACGAGCACGCTCAGCACCGTCAGCCTTGGCAGTCTCCGGCGGCAGCCGTCTGATCGCCAGAGATCGGGTACGATCAGGAGCAGCACCGGCACTGTGCCCCGGGGGAGCCTGGATGCCCAGAGAGCGATAGAAGCGAGGTTTGACAGCTCGCTCGCTGTGCTCAGTCCGGCTGATCAGGTAGCTGGAACGGGCAACGTCCCTCCTCCTCCCCCTCCTCCTCCCCCTCCCCCTGGACCGAGTGGGATCAGCCGCCTCAGGCCTGTGCAGCCTCTGGACCCGTTTGCCCTGGATGAAGAGAGTTATGAGCGGCCGAGGCCTGGAGCGGGGAGCTCGCAGGAGCTTGTTGTTGGTCGACTGGAGCCGGAGGAGCAAGATCAAGAGCGTCCGGTGCGGCAGGCTAGAGCGGTTAGGGGCAGTAGGGCTGACCGGGAGACCCGGGAGCCGGAGAGGGAGCGGGAGGGTAAGGGATGGAGGAGAGTGCCTACGGAGTGAATGCGTTTCTTCCTGGTAGGCGGTGGAAGTGGACGGGGCCTGGCTTTTTCTCACCCATGGATCGTTCTCATGCAACCCGGTTTACCCATGACTCTCATGCTTATCCTCATCAACCATTATGTAACTTTTGTGCAATTTCTTATCCTATTATCCTCCTCACTGTCAACTTCAACCCCCTCGTCCCTGGTATCTGATTCAGTCCCTCCATTGTAAGTTTTTCTGACCTGGTTCGGGTGACAGGATTCCGCTTCCTAATACGTTTGTTTTAGGCATACACGGTCATCTGATGAGTTTTGATCCCCGGATGGTTTGCGGGGCTCAAATCTTCTTATCTAAAGTGTGCGAAACAGAGTCACAACCTTTCTAGGTTCGAAGAAGCACGTGGCAGTGTCGGACAGCGGTTGATGGTGCTGACCAAGTATAACAATAGTTCCACCCTTGTTTGTCTCCAACGACCTGTGCAAGCCGGTCTGGAAGACAATTCAGTGAAACGTTGCTATTGACTCATGCCACCACCTCTGATGGAACTGTCCTGCTTGCAACGTGTTTGCCGAAAACTGCTCGAAACCGCCGAGATTTAGGCGCCCTCTTGAATAGTGGACGTGATGTTCTGATATCATATTCATCTTCGCTGTCAGCAGCCAGGAATTGGGCTTCTGACTGGTCAGGCAACATTTAAGTTCATGAGACCGGAGATATGAGCCCCCCTCGTTGGGCATTGGCTCGACCACGACGACGGACGCCCGCACACATGGATCAACAGGCCGAGCTGGAGGTGCTCTTCCAGACGCTAGGCGACCTGCGGTCATATCACTCTGCCGAAAGTGAGTGCATCTCGAGAGCTACGCAGCGAAAGATGACGAGCTCGGATAGTGGCCGCTCTGTCGTGGCTTGTGTACGATATCATCATTATGATACCGCTGGAGGTTCGTTTCCATTCGTCGCATGCTGCAGCCGACTAACTGAAGACTCTACAGATCCGACACATTTGGCCGTGAGCAGGAAGAATCCATTGAAGAATAGAGGTTGACCAGCAATGTAGATCCCGGCTGACGCCGGCGAAAATTTTGTTCTATAGTTGCCGTGTAATAGGTCTCTATATTCTCTTGTAAGCACCATCGTGTACCAGAACGGCCCGATCGCTGAATACCTCTAGATTAGACACTATTGGTAAGTCAACGTTCTTGGAGGCTCTTGCAGGTGGCACTGAAACAATACGCTCCATGCTAGTTGGAACGAACTCTAATCTCCCAGACACAGTACGCTCATTTCTCCTCAATCTGCTGTGGACTGAACGCGCCTCAGTTGTGAGTTGCGTCATGCCATCATATACGTTGTATTCAATCATCCAGCTGTCGAGCGTATCCATCCTTGGGGTTCATGTGCGTCCATTCCGTTCCACCAGCCCCGCAAGACTCATAGGACAATCAGAGGTGTCGAGCTCTTGGCAATTTCTGTGAACCTCATCCAGCTATTTCGCGTCAGTGCTCTGTTCAACAGAACTCGCTGGGGTGAGATCTCTAGTCTCTGGTTTCCGATCTTTCTTACCTGGATACAGTCCTTATCCCATTATGGTGTTTGTTTGGGGGTGAGCCTACTGCCAACGGAGGAAGAAAACCGCTGATCGTATGTCAGCCAACACGACCATCTCGATTACATTATCAATCGACGTCGTTTCTTCTACTACTCTCACCTCCGCACCTCCGTTCGTCACAATCGACGGGTGCTTGTCAAGTGTTAGCCGTACCCAGCTCATGCTTGGATCGTAGTACGTTACCTCGTCCAGACCTTCTTATAACTGACTGACACATTGCAGTATCAGTAGCACTTTGTTCAGTGGTCAGCATCATCCCCTGCTGACAGGGACCCGGCTGACAAGACGATAGGCACGGCTTTTGTACTTACACTCGCTAAGCTCTACCCCTACTGGAGGATGAAATCAGGCGCAGCACCGGTGGCTACGGTGTTCGTAAGAGACGGGACGGTATTTTTCGTTATGTGAGCTCCTTGCCCTCCTTTTTCCTTTCCCCACGCTGACTTTTCCCAGAATCTTTGGTACGTAGCCATCCTTCACATGAAGGGCTGGACACAACTGACGGCGACGTGGCCCAGTGGTGGAAGTCGTCTCCCTCATCTGGGGCCAGATCATAACCCCCATCCGCCCCAGCCTGCAAGACCTCGTCAACGTCCTACGCATGGCAGTATACTCCATCTCAGTAGGCCCTCTCTTCCTGCCTCCTAGCGTCAATAGTCAACGCTAATGTCTTCTTAGGGACCACGATTGATCTTGCATTTGAGGGGAGTGGTGTCGCAGCCGAGTTATGCGACCGAGAGCAGGACGGAGGTGACAGAGGTAACTGAGGAGAGGAGAACCTCGAATGACCGAAGCGGAGGAACAGGCGAGACATCGGATTGGTCTATCCCTTAGGTTGAGTCGACGCATGCAGCAGCTGGAAGACAGAGCGATCCAGTGCCGCGGTTCTCACAAATGTAGAAATTGTAATGTGTATTCCCGGTTCATGAGCACGTCACCCCTAATACACTCCACGTCTTTCCTCTAATGCAATATCTCATTAGCTTGGGGTCCGGTCAAGGTCAGGCAACACAACCTCTCCTTTCATGACAACTCTCGCCTGTCCCCTCAGCCTACATCTCCCCTCCTGCCAAACGCACCCCATCTCCCCGCCTCTCTCGCTGACCTGTCTCGCCCTTCCCATCGGCACACCCAGCTTGATACTCCAGTACGACGCTAGCAGGGCGTGCGCGGAGCCTGTCACTGGGTCTTCGGGGATGCCTTCGGCGGGGGCGAAGACGCGGGAGTGGAAGAGGTAGTCGGGTGAGGGAGAAGGATGGGTCAAGATGACTGTGGTGTACACGTCTGCTAGATCGGTCTGCGCTGGAGTCAACCAACGACAGAAATAGACGAGAGCAGCGCACCAGGGGAGCAGGGTTCACCGGGTAGCCGTCCAGTTGGATACCAGAGATCTCTACGACGAGATAGGCGGAATAGCTCGTTCCTTCACCGGCACCGAAGTAAAGGAATCTCACGTCCTTCCCAAGAGCGGAGATGATAGCTCGCTTAGCCCGGTCTACCACTTCTTGTGCTGGAGGATGGAGTGTTCCTGATGGGAGGGAGATCTCGACCTCCCTTTCAGTTTCTCCTTTGTTCTGAGTCGGAAAGGGCAGTAAGCAGGCTTCCAGCTCTCCGGAAAGGGTGTCAAACTTGAGCGTCTTTATTCGCGGAAGGGTGGAGAAGAGCACTTTAGCAGCAGCGAGCGTCGCATGCCCACAGATTGGGAACTCCATCAGAGGAGTGAACCCACGTAGGGCGTATCTCCGCACATCGGCTTCATCGTTCGTATCGCTCGACTTGAGGGTAGAGAGGAAAGCCGTTTCAGGGAGGTTGAATTCCTTCACGCGGTTAGATGGGTTGGGAGAGAAGAGGCGTGCGAACCCGAGCGAGCAGCTGCATCTCTTTTGTTGAGATGAAGTTGCGGGATGGGAGGAGGATCACACATGCTGGGCTGCCTGAGAAGGGTCGGGAGGTGAAGGAGTCTACTATGGTGTACTGTAGAGCCATCGTATCCCCAGTAGTGAAGACAGTTGCAAGCTAGCTGCTAGACAACAAGAAGTGGTGCGAGCTAAGCAATTTCATTCGTTCAAGCGTGATTATCATCAGAAGTGAGGTGTGTACCATTTATTCGTGTAAACGTCATCTTAGACGGGCGCTTGTACCTTGACGACCACCCTTTCCCGACTTTATTTTCCAGCTCTGCTTTGAGGGACACACCAGTGTTCATTCAATTGAATGAAATGTTGTAGTCTTTGTTACGTTGATGCTGACACCGCCTTCCTGTGCCCAACCTGTCCCTCTGTAACTCCGAGGTACTGTCTCCTCCTCATCTATTCTGAGACTGCACCGCACACGCACGAACAGTGCCAGTTCGCCTGGCCTGACACACCCCGGCAACGAGGTCACCATTACAAGACGATCCGCTCATTGCCGACCGACCGGCCTGCGTGGCGGTATAAAGCTCAGGCCCTAGATTACTGCACTTGTTTCACTCGCATGCCCTTGCACTCTACTCTCTGCTAATTATTCGCCTTTATCGCCTTTCCAATTCCCTACCTTGCTGTTCTGAACATCCATCATGTCTGCCTGGCCATCCATCGCCCCTCCCCGCGCGCCCTCGCCCACAAAGACTATCCTCGTCATCGGTGCCACAGGCAAACAAGGCAGCGGGATGGTCTCCTCCCTCGTATCCGCCAACAGGCTCGCAAAGCCCCAACAGCCCCTTCCGTACCGTGTGCTCGCGCTCACCCGCACGCCGCACAAGAACGAGGGGATGAAGCAGCTGCCCGGGGTGGAGGTCGTACAGGGTGACCTGAATGATGAGGCGGGGATGGAGGCGATCTTTAGTGGGGAGGGGATGGGAGGGATCTGGGGAGTGTTTATGTGCCTCGCTTTTCCTGGACTGGGAAAACCAGCAGACTCAGAGCTAGCGCAGGGGAAGGTGTGCACTTCAGCATGCCCCTAACGTTGTAGCTGACCCGCTGCAGCTGGCTGCGAACCTCGCGCTCAAGTACCAAGTACAGCACTTTATCTACGCCTCATCCGAGCAAGGGGGGGACTCAGAATCCGGCCCCTCCCCCTCGCACGTAGCCAAGATGGTCATCGAGCAGCATATCAGAGAGCTCGGACGTCAATACCCTGGGTTCAGGTGGACGATCCTTCGCCCGGCGTTCTTCTACGAGAACTTCGACGGTGTCCTCGGCGCAGTGAGCGAGACGCTCCTAGCGAGCAGCGTACAGAAGGGTACGAAGATCCAGATGGTTGCGAGTGAGGATGTAGGCCCGGTGGCAAGGGCGGTGTTCGAGGCTGGAGAGGAGTATATGGGGAAGAGTATGACTGTTTGTGGGGACTGCTTGAGCCCGCAGGAGGTGAATGCCGTGCACAAGAAGGTTACAGGACGGCCGTTGAGTCGCATCCCTGGGTTTATAGGGAGTGCGTTGTATGGTGCGTCTGGACTTGTCTTGTGCTTGGGCGTGAAAGGCTGATTGGAGGAAAGGGATGAATGCACACGCGAAGAATCTGGTGATGCATATGGAGCGTGTGCACCAGCTGCGCCTGCAAGACCCAGCGGGGTACACCGCCAATGGGGACGCGGCGAAGCGCGCTTACCCGGGAATGCTCACGTTCGAGAGCTGGATGTTGAGCAAGGGCAAGGTGCGTGGGGGGAAGAGGGAGAAAGGATGGAATAACCTTACTATCAATGAGCTTGTTAAGGGGACCACTTGAGGGAGCACTTGCATGGGTCCCTTGATCGCTTTGGGAGTAGGAGCTGCAGGCTTGTAAGATAGTTCGACACGAGTATGCATGGATAATTTAATATTTTATGTCCTTATATTCCGAGATGGCATAGAGTACAGTGAAACGGGGTTATGGTACAAGGCTGATTCGCAGGATCAGCCGTTGCAATGGTTGAACCCGGCGCCGCAGAAGGCGGCCGTAATGAGGTAAACGATAATCTAGCAATCCATCAGGGCGATTCCAGCAAGAGGGCAAGGAAAAGGGACTAACGAGCAAAACGACGAAACTCAGAACCCAGATCTTCTGGTTCTTCCAGAACTGCTGGCGTCGGACGTTCCTTGCCCCCCTGCGGAAGGCGTACGCTTGCCCGGCCATGTTGTCCGTCTTGTCGACTAGGAGCTCGATACGCTCTCCGCGGGACAGGATCTGCTCCACGTTCTGGACCATGATGTTCTTTACGGACTGAAGGTCGGACTGGGCTTGGGAGAGCGCATCGGGAGGGGGAGAGGTCGAGTATTGGTGCATCAGCTGCGGGGATCAGGTTAGTTTTGGTGCAGTCCGTCTGGGAGGCGGCCGTACCTTCCCGATCTCTTCAGAAAACTCGTTCAAGCCATAAGCCGGTACATCAAATATCACTTCCGGAGTATAAGCAGTTGTGAACTTCCGTTGCAGCTCCGCGAGGAAAGCGAAGGGCATCCTCCGCCCTACGCTGTCGTCCGCCATCACGAGGAAGGTAAGCCCGCCCTCGGAGACGTAGTGGAAGAGATACTGTTCCCACACATAGGTGAGCTTGCTGTTGTTAGGCGGGATCTTGGAAAGGATCGTTTGGACGGCTAGGGGTCATCAGTGGGTGTTAATGGGAAGGCTGGGGACGTCAGGACGCACCTTGGGAGAAATCCCGCCTTCCCTCGGAGTTTTCTGCGAGAATGACATTCCCTCTCGCTACAAGTGCGTGTATTAACGACATCTTGACTCCTTTGTTACAATTTTAATTGCAATTGTAGGTACAAGTGTAATTGTAAGTGCAGAGTAGTGGTATCCAGCTGGTATGCAAGTAGTAGTGAATGACGAAGCGCCGACTGTTCAAGAAGAGCGCTGCGGATGTACGGCATTGCCTTACACAGCCACTAACCACACGGGACCTTTCCCTTGATCCACGTCTCCTCTCTGGCGTAGTGCACGATACCACAACTTGCACAACTTCCCTACACCAATACTAACAAATGGTCAGTCACCTCCCACCTCTCCTCGAGCTCGTACTGATAATAATGCTGGATAGTCCGACTCATCACGCCCTACGTCTCCAATCGGGAACGGCCCCGCCCCGCGCACCCAAGGTCCAGCAGGTGTCGTCAGGTCCGTCCCTCTTCCACTTCCACGTCCAACATCCCTAATGCATGGTTCTGTATAGGCGCCGCGCCACCTCCTCGAAGGATGTGGCTACTAGGCCTAACTCTACCCGGGCTGCGGGAGCGGGGGGAAGCAGCAGTACGATGATGCGGCTTTATACGAACGATGATAGTGCTGGACTTAAAGTGTGCGTCCGAACATTCTATCTCATTCAATTCCACGTAATCTCGCTTTTCGCTTTTTTCTTCTTGGTAACTCCTTTCTTGATCCTTTCCCTATGCTGCTGCCCATTTTCTCCTTGTTGCTGTTATCAGATGAATGACGGATCCTACAGAGACCCCTACGTCGTCCTCGTCCTGTCGATATGTTTCATCGGCTCCGTATTCTTCCTACACATCGCCGCCAAGGTCATCCGCGCGTTTACAAAATAGTCGACTATGCAGCTCTCGCGCTGCTGTGACTACATATGGGGGTGGATGAGGGAGATAGCATGGGAGGGACAGCGTAGTGTATTATTCTGTGGCTTCGAGTAATGGATGGGACTGTTTCAGATGTGGATGAGACTGTGGAATGGTATTACCCTCGTTCAAGGAATTGGATCCCCCGCAAACTTCAGGGATTAACACAATCACACACGCAATGCACATAATACCTAGAACCTAGCAAAACGTACGATCGCGGGGCCGGCCAGCAGCCCAAAAGGCTTCAGACGACTGCGCATCGCACACGACAATGAGCATTCGCTACTTTGGGAACATGGTGCTGTACCTGTGGAACAAGAGGTAGATGCATTTTAGGGAGTAGGAATGTATGAAATAGAGGGAGAGGAGGGATCACAGACGACGACCACGGCGACCACCCTATTCCACCAGTTAGCAGAGAGGTGAACGAAAGGAGGAAAAGACGCACCTTGCGGCGAGTCGAGTCCGTCGGCACGGGCGTAACGTCCTCAATCCTGCCGATCCTCATGCCCGCACGCGCCAGTGCACGCAACGCGCTCTGCGCCCCTGGGCCGGGAGTCTTGGTGCCCGTACCACCGGTTGCGCGCAGCTTGATGTGCAGCGCGGTGATACCGACTTCCTTGCATCGCTGGGCGACGTCTTGAGCAGCAAGCATGGCAGCGTAGGGGGAGGACTCGTCCCTGTCTGCCTTGACCTTCATCCCGCCTACCCTAACGTTAGCACCATCCTCTGCTGCACACTTCCAGGGAACGCACCAGTGACACGGGAGATAGTTTCCCGCCCAGAAAGATCCGTAACATGTACAAAGGTATCGTTGAACGACGCATAGATATGCGCAACCCCAAAGACCAGTTCCCCCTCAGCGACGTTCGGTCCCAGGGAGACGGCGGCGGTCTCCTGCTGCTTCTTAGCTTTGGGAGGCTGCAGCCTGGTCAGCTCGTTGCCATCCACCGATTTGCCTCTGCCTGACACCGGGGGACTGCGGTTGGAGGGAAGGGAGAGGGATAGGCACGCACCATTTGAACTGTTGGAAGGGTTAGTGAGGTGAAAAACGAGGGAGTAGGTCGGCGACGTCTGGGTGGACGAGGGAGACGACCTCGACGGCCTAAATTTCGAGGAGAAGGGGGGCACTGCCACTGGACATAGCCACGAGAGACGGCGCCCCCATTGTGCTCTGCGACCATGGGTGAAGGGTTGTCTTGCAGCATCTGGTTGTGAATGGAATGTCTGCTACTTCTCAATGACTTGACTATGGTGCGAGGCGATAAGCTCTGATCTGTTGTTTCTCTATGGACTCGCTCGTCTCCTTGCTGATCTTGTCCGGACCAATGACTTCCGCTTGCTCGGGGGCATCCCTTGTCATGGAGTTGCCATCAACCATCCTCTTGCATATCGGACAGTTCTTGGTCGGGCAAAAGAGGACCATGGGATTCAGCCGTCCTGGTAAACGCGCCCTTGGATGTGCGCCCTGCTTTTTGGAAGGGTTCTTGTTATGACACGCCAAAAGCATACCTGTGTGTCTCTAGGATGACACACCCGGGCGAGCCTGCCGGAACACTTCGATATGTTCACTCAGACCTGAGTCTTGTCTTCTCCAAAAAGGGGTTGTTGCTCGAAGACTCAGTGTACGCTTAAGTGAACTGGACTTGTGTGGACTCCCTCCTCTTCCGCTGCACAACATAATACCACCACAGCAACAACACCACAGCACAACACATCCGCTCATTTGACGAATACAATTACACGCAACATGCGCGGCCTATTGATTCTCCCCCTCGCACTAGGCGCATACAGCCTTCCTCCACCCTCTCCAACCCCTCCGCCGCTGATCCTTATCACCCCCTTCCAAGCCTCCACGCCCAGCTGGACCTCCCTCGGCTGCCGTGTCGACTCCCCATCACGCGCACTGACGGGTGCCTCCCAGATTGGAGGTTCTATTTCCGTGGAGAGCTGTGAGACGTTTTGCGCACAGGGGGGATACGTGTATGCGGGTGTCGAGGTGTGCTCTGTGCGGTTTGCTTGACTTGGGTGCTGACGAGCGTAGTATGGGGACGAGTGCTATTGTGGTAACGAGTTGGATAACGGGGCTGGAGGACAGGCGGCGGTACGTATACTTCTTCCTCGTCCAGCGCGTATATTAAAGGTACGTAGGACAGCGACTGTAACATGCCCTGCTCGGGAAACAGCGGAGAAACCTGTGGTGGAAGCTATCGTCTCAACCTCTACAGCCGGACCGGGACGCCCACTTCCCCCACAGGCTGGACAAACCTCGGCTGCCGTGTTGATTCCCCTTCACGCGCGCTGACCGGCACCTCCCAGATCGGAGGCTCGAATTCGGTGGAGAGCTGTGAGACGTTCTGCGCACAGGGGGGATACGTGTATGCCGGTGTCGAGGTGCGTTTTGCGCGATTTGCTTGACTTCCGCGCTGATGGGCGTAGTATGGGGATGAGTGTTATTGCGGTAATGAGTTGGATAACGGTGCTGGAGGACAGACGGCGGTACGTATCCTGGTTTTCCTCGAGCGCGTACGTAAACGGCATGCAGGAGAGCGACTGTAACATGCCCTGCTCAGGAAACAACGGAGAAACCTGTGGTGGAAGCTATCGTCTTAATCTCTACAGCCGGACCGGAACGCCCACGTCTACTACCTCCCCCACAGCAACAGGCTGGACAAACCTTGGCTGCCGGGTCGATTCGAGCGCACGCGCACTGACGGGACCTATGCAGGATGTAAACACGAACAGTGTCGAGAGCTGCGAGCGGTTCTGTCTTTCGCAGGGGTATGTCTATGCGGGTGTTGAGGTGAGTTTTAACACATCAATTGGGGAGTCAGGCTGACAGGGCGTAGTATGGCACCCAGTGCTTTTGCGGAAATAGCTTGTCCAACGGACAAGGAGGGGGAGCTGCTGTGCGTACATTCGGTACTGAGTGGACTGTGTTCTCACGTCTTTCTAGGCGTCCGACTGCAACATGCCCTGTTCAGGCAATGCCAACGAGATGTGCGGCGGTGGCTACCGTCTAAATCTATACAGCTACAACGGCCCCACACCAAACCCGAAACTCGTCATAGCCCATCACATAGTAGGGAACACCTACCCGTATCAGCAATCTGACTGGGACAAGGACATCGCCCTCGCGCAAGCGAATGGGATTGACGGGTTTGCCCTCAACTACGGGAGGGACTCGTGGCAGCCTTCCCGGTTGGCAGACTGTTATGCTGCTGCGGTCGGGCATCCTGGGTTCAAGCTGTTCCTCTCTGCGGACATGTCATCCCTTTCCGGCTCTTCGGGGAACGACGCTACTACTCTAGCGAACCAGGTCAAGCAGTTCGCTAACCACCCCAACCAGCTGTCCTATAACGACGGGGTCGTGCTGAGCACATTCTCGGGTGAGAACAGCTATTTCGGTCAGGGGAGCGTGAATGCCGGTTGGCAGAGTGTTATCAGCCAGGTTGGCACCGCTGTCACTTTCATTCCAGCTTGGTTCGTGGATCCGAGCACGTTTGGGAACTATCCGGTTTTGAACGGGGCATTTAACGTGCGTCGTCTACTTGAGATCGTATATCGGAAGCTGATACACAAGGGGTGGACAGTGGAATGGAGGCTGGCCGATGTCGAATTCTGATACTGATTTCTCCAGTGATCAGCAGTGGATCAATGGATTGAATGGGAAGCTGTACATGGCACCTGTCACACCGAACTTCTTCACTGTATGTGCCCTCCCAGCCGTTTGGTCGTCGCTAACACAGCGGCTGCAGCATTATTCCCCTCAGACGTACAACAAGAACTGGATATACAGGAACGACGACAACCTCTACCCCAACCGGTGGGAACTGCTCATTTCCAACCGCAACCAGATCGCACTGGCCGAAATCATCAGCTGGAACGACTATGGCGAGTCGCATTACATCGGCCCGATCGAGGGTGCGCAGCCTAATTCTCAGGCATGGGTCAACGGCTTCCCGCACACTGCATGGCTGGATATGACAGGCTACTATGCACAAGCGTTCAAGAGCGGCGTTTATCCGTCTATCACGAAGGATAAGATGTATATTTATGCCCGGCCTCACCCTAAAGATGCTCAGGCATGCTGTGACTCTGTCTCCCGCCCCTCGAACTGGCAGAACACAGACGACGCATTCTATGTTGTCGTCTTCGCCACATCACCTGGTACACTCATCCTCGGTACTCCACCAACTCCATCCTCCACATCCCCTACAGCTTCAGCAGCCAACCCCTCGACTGCAGCCGTAACATCCGGGGTGAACAAGTACAAGCTGGCACTTACGCCGGGTAATGGGATGCGGGCTACGCTCATGCGAGGGACCAACCAGGTTCTGGACCTCTGGCCGCAGGACTATGTCTTTAATCCCAGTCCGTCAGTGTACAATTTTAATGCGTATGTGAATATGGCCTCGACGTAGCTTTATAATGCGATACAATGGTATGGGAATTGGTATCAAGTGGAAAGCATACAATGCGACGCACGTTCTGACAATGAGACAACTGCGCTGACTTCTGCCTTATTCGTGTCAAGTGAGAAGCAACGCCTTTGACATGAATCCCGAGAAAGGCAGGGTCGATAACGGCGAAACACCGAGCGCCTGAGTCCGAATATATAATCGCAACTTCTCAGAAGCTGAATGGTGTCTTCCTGGAGGCGGTGAAAGATGGGCCCTGATCCCATCACGGTCTGGTCTGGCATGGAAGCGGAATCTCACAGGCCCGGCCGGGGATGGAAAATCAGCAGATGAGGCATGAGGTAAGTGCAAACGTTGGACGGCATGATCCTGGCATGCGAGTAAGATCATGCGGGGACCAAGTCCACCTCGTATGACCGTCGAAAACCGCGTTTTTTTTCGGAGGCTCATATATATGTCTGCCGCCGGGGTACTCAGGAACGGCGTGAAAGAAACGTGGACAGATTGTGGCTCTTTTCGCAAACGTATTTATAAGTCTGCTGCGGGTGGTGGCGGTTTCGGAGCAAGTGTGTACGAGGTCCGGAAAAAGTCGATTATCAGCTTCACGTCCGGATATATTCCTTGCACGTTCTATTTAGGGATCTCGATATTGCGCGGCCCCGCCGTCGCTCATTCAGCCACATCCATTAGTCGTCCGTCAAAGAAAGCAACACCACAAATATTCTCTTGTTCTCTACCGCTTCCTCACCAAAACGTCGGCGCAGGGAGCAAATAAGAGGACAATGATGGCCCTTGTCGGCAGGACGACATTGCTTTGCAACACGAAGAGACCCTCGATTGTGTGAGGGCGTCAAACTATCGAAATTCCTATCGGGCACCCTAAATTCCCGTTCCCTCCCTAGCGTGGGATTGGTTGGAATGTTGGCACTAAGCAGGGGCGCTTATGTTCTTTGGAATGTTCTATTCATCTCCGTAGCCCATCATAGCCCATCTGATCAATTTGCACTATCTTCAGTATGTTTATTCCACCTGGTCATTTTAGGGAACCGCCCTCTGATGTTTCTTGCAGTGTCCGTGCTTCTCCGAGTCTCTCACATAAGCATGCAAGTATTTTCTGAGCAAAGTTCGTCATCTTCGTCAACTTTCCCTATCAAAGCGCCAAGACAGGCAGAGAGGGTTCGCATCCCGACATGCGCGGGTGTACCTTTCTTACCCGCCTGTCAAGCGTCCTTTTGTAGCGGGGTGTTGCGGAGAGCAGCTTCCCGGAAGACATCCAAGGCTTTTGTGTGCGAGCAAGCTTCCAGAGAACAGGGCAACACTGTGACATCACGATGAAACTGCGATACCAGGCGATAAGCCTCCGCGTTGGTTGGTTTGCGGCCAAGCGCCCCTGACGAAAGGCGCCACGTTAAGTTTTCCGGAGTCCAGAACATCATGTGCTTTGACTCAGATTGCGAAGCATGGAAGACGCATGTTTCTGGCATGCCTTCCGGTGCGGTGATGGTCACCGGAGAAAACACCCGCTCTTCCCTCGTATCGCCATGACCCTGTCACACCTGGGAAGAGTACAAAAGCCTAGGATAAGACAGTCTTGGACCCGTCCGGCAAGTTCCCCCAAGCAGACGCGATGTACACCGTTCGCTCCTTTTTGACCTTCGCTCTCGTTCTCCTCACCGTGAGCCTGCCCGCCCTCGCAGACCATTCCTGCCAGGTGCGTCTCAATCTTTAGATGGGCCTCATACTGTCTCACCAAAGATTCTCGTAGCATGCGAATAATTGTCCGACGTTGCTGATCGGTAGCAATCCTGGTTGCCACAACTCCCTTTGCTACTATGGTGTGTTTTGTTGACTTGTCATCATCGTCCCTACTGATTTCGTGCAGAGTCCTGCAGTAACGATGCTGGTCTTGGGGTATGCTGTTTTGTTTTTCTCGTTCCTTCATATACTAAGCGCAGGAACAGTACAAGATAACCACCGACTGCTACACAACCGGAGGTACCACGCGCTGCAGATGCAAGTCGCTCCTCACCGGTAGCAACTACCGCAAGCGCCGTGACCTCGAGACTTGCCCTCTGCCACAGCAGCAGCGTTGCCCCGTCTTCCACGGCCGCGGCGGCACCGAGTGTGTTGATGTCATGACTGACATCGAGTCATGCGGTGGTTGCGTCGGTGTTGACGGTGAGGGCGACGGTGTCGACTGCACGGACATTGTTGGCGCAGAGTCCGTCAGCTGCATCAGCGGTTCTTGCTTCATTGGTACGATGTACCCAATTTCCCAGCCCAGCAAGCCACTGACTTCCGTGTAGATGAGTGCGCCCATGGGTATCGCCTCGACAAGAGGCAATCATCCTGCATTCCTATCACCGGAATGCGCGTCCAGAAGAACAACTCGCAGAAGAGAAACTTCCGTGTCTGATTCTGTGTCTGCACTTGGCTGGATGGACTAGGTTTCTTCAACAGGCGTCTTTTTCTGTGGACTTTATTAGAAATGCTCTCCTTCATTCGCTCCTTTAACATGTTGTCCCATAAAACGTACTAGTTGCCTTCACATAATTTCGGGTATCAAGGATTTAGAGAAAGGAGAGGACAGACGTTAGGCAGTGCCTGGCTCGGAAGGACAGATCACATCGAGTTTCTTCCACTCGGGGTACTAAGGCCATCTATTCTCCACCGACCACGTTTGTACAGCCCCTCTCTGTTTCCGTCAGCTCAGTGCAACCCCTGTCAGCCCTGATCCTGTTTGCAGGATGCCTTCTGGGCGTACGGGCCCGTAGTACATAGAGATTACTTGTCATGCACCAGTACATGCCAGACAATTTTGCTTTGTTTGTCTGTGTTTTGTGATTGCAGGCCAATCTGAAACGAATAGCCTGCGTCCGTTCGTCAACTAGCAACACCCACCCAAGCCCTTCCCGACGGGAGACAAAGACTTACGGCAAGGCTCAGAGAACAAAGGAGCCTAACAGAGTTTCGTTTCCTCGCGCTAAATAGGATTTTATTGAGTCACTCGGACACTCCTCTAACTAATGTAGCTATCGTACTCGCTGTCTTCCCAGAGCATGAAACATGGAGCAGACGAACAAGAGAACAGGGGTGACAAGTGTCCTACAACAGGGCGAGGTCTTTGACGTATCGGGACAAGGAGAGCAAGAATAGTAGGAATAACACACCGTGGGGAAATTGTAAGTGGGCCCGGGAGACAAGGTCCGGTATCGTGATGGAGATCGAGACCGAGGAGTCGGATGGGCAAGGACATCAAACGGCGTAACACCAAAAACAACAGCCAACGGGGCCCCGTTGGGAAAGTGGGGGAGCAAGACACATAGAGTAGACAAACAAGGTGAGAAAAGCGACAGGGGAAGTCGTCATCGCAAGCACGGGCGAGAGTGAGGGTGGCACGAGGAAAGAGGGGACCAGTCAGGAGCGTTTACTTTTGTCGTGAGGGGGATTATTTGTGGCTCTCGAGGAAGGCTAGCACCTGCTTTGGGCTGTCGTCGGGCTTGACGCCCAACGTCTTGAGGATGAGCTTACCCGAGCCCTTTTCGAACACAAAGTGCGAGCGCTTGGTCTTTCCGGCGGCGGAGGCCCCGAGCGCTTTGATGAGCGTGTGCGAAGGGTCGGAGAGCAGCGGGTAGGGGAGTTTTTGCTGTGCGTAGGGGGTAAGTGTGGGGAGGGGGGAGGCGGAAAGAGACATACACTGGTTTTCCACTTCGCTTGGGCTGCGGGAGAGTCGCCAGAGAGGCAATAAACTTCATATCCAAGGTCGGTGTAACTTGGGTAAGAGTCCCTGAAACCACAGGCTTGCTTTGTGCACCCCGCTGTCAAGTAGTTTAGCAAAGCCAGAATAATATTTCATTCCAAGACTGTGAGGGAAACTTACGAGTGTTAGCCTTGGGAACGAGGAAGAAGATTACACCCTTGTCGGAAGTGATGAGACTCTTCACGTCCACTTCCTTCTCCTCCTGGTTCTTCAGCGTCACCTGGGGTAACACGTCTCCCAGCTCAAGCTCCTTGCCCGGAGCGGCATCCTCAGGCGCCTCCGTGGGGGCCTCAGCAGCAGTCTCAGCCTCCGCCGCCTTCTTCTCCACCTTCTCTTCCACTTTCTCTTCCTCCACTTCAGCCTTAGCGGCCTCCGCGTCGTTCATTTCCTCCTCGACCTCCTCAGCGACAGCTTCCTCTTTCTGCGCGGCCGCTTTTTTCAAAGCAGTCTTCCCTTTTGGCTTAGAGGCAGGCTTGGATTTTTCGTTCGCAGGTTTCGCCTTTTAGGATCCACATCAGCCCGAGAAACACGCCATCAAATCAAATCAACAATAAACGCACCTTCTTAGCTGCAGGTTCCTCCTTGGTCTCCTCCGCAGCGGCACGCTTCTTTCCTACCGCCTCCTTATCTTCCTTCTTCTCTTTTGGGGCAGTTTTCTTCGGCGCGGCGGCCTTAGCGGGTGCGGCAGGCGCAGGTTTGTCCGCCAGCCTGGTGGAACGACGCATAGGCTCTGAGGGCGCAGCGGAGTCTTTCTTAGTGCGCGGGGCCATTTCTAACAAATAATTTCGAATGGGAGGTAGCCCTGGGGTAGCTAAACCTGTTAAAGGAGTTTAGAATACTTGTGGGGGAGCGAGGGAGGTGGTGGATGAGAAAAGAGGAACGAGGGGGGGTAGACGCGGGGAGTTTGGGCCTTGCATACTTGTGGGGGGCCCTTCGACCCTCCGCCGGTCGGTGTGGTCCCTCGCTCTCGTGGTCCAACTCCCGCGTCCGGTTTGCCTCCGCGTGGACTGCTATAGGGCGGCGCTTGGACCATCAACAGTGCACAAGGTCTCTTTTTGTTCCATCAAGTTTTTCACTCCAGTTTCTACCTAGAAAGAACACCGCCGCCTTCCGCGAAGGCACAATTCATTACCCTAAATTATTGTAGGAGCTGTACAGATAAACAACGCTAACGAGGCAGATAACGTGACCTGGACGGCGTTTCGGCTTCCAATCTCTTTCGCGTCCAAAAGAAGATGTAAACATGCCTGGATCCACGTGGACATCAGAATGTTGTATTCCTCCAACATCATCAACTACGAATGAATGGTTACGGTATCAACTAACTCTCTTCGTCCCTGAAGTACTAGTCTTATTCCTGTGCCATTCCTTACCTTTTACTCTAGTCCATAAAGCTGCCCCGCGGATATCATACCTGTGGAATCCTTAGAAGTCGAACCCTCCAGATTCCAGCCGTTCTCGGCTCACATTCCAGTCATTCTCAGACGACGCATCATGCAAGGACTCCTTCCATCCCCTGTCCATCTCGACCTCCCCTAACCACGACAAGTGAAGCTACACCCGACCTCCCCCGAAGAGGGTGTCCGCGTCCTCTCGGTTCCCCAGATCGATGGATCCGATCGATTAGAGAAGATAGGATTCGTGTTGAAGATGCGATTGAGAAGAAAGGCGGAAGCCGAGAAGATTGAGGGTCATCAATCTGTCAATTGCCCTACCCTCAGGCTGCAGCACTTCGACAATGCCTCACCGGAGAGAGGTCCGTACACTCTGTTATACATAATCTATCAAATAGATGCAATGAAGTATGTCTTTTCCTTCGGATCAATACTCCATGATCTTCATGCATTCCCCTACCATGCGGTTCTCCTCTTCAGTTCGCACTGCGCTCCCCTTTTGGCCTCCAGGGCATCCCGTATGCAAGATCATTCGCAACCCTGAAGCAATCAGTTGGTGTTGTTGACGCCCAAGAAAGCGAGGTATCATACCGAACTCCTTCCAGTCATGCAACTCCCTTAACTGCTCCCCTTAACCAGGTCCATCAGACTCAAGTTATTCCATCCCTTCTCCCTCTTCTCCCCTCCCATTCCCTTGCTCGACAACCACTTCTCGAACGTCAGCATATCCGGGTGCAGACGTTTCCCCAATTCGGCGTTAGCGTTGTACCCTGCTGGGTCTTGGAGATGCTGTTGGTGCACGTGCTCGATCAGCATAATCAAGTCTTTCGCGTGTTTGTTCATCCCTGGCTTGCATCAGCTGCTCTACACCTACTCCAGGAACGGAAAGACGAACCACGCAACACGCTACCTACGAACCCCGGGATCCGGGTCAACGGCCTACCCATGACCTTCTTATGAACGGCATTCACCTCCTTCGAGGTCAAGCAGTCCCCACAAACCGTGATCGTCGCTCCGTGATATTCCTGCCCTGCCTCGAACACCGCGCCGGCGACACGTCCAATGTCCTCTCCCCCGACCATCTGGATCTTCGTCCCCTTGTCCATGCTACTCTCGAACAAGCACTCGCTCACTGATCCCAGCAGGCCGTCAAAGTTCTCGTAAAAAAACGCAGGCCGGAGGATCGTCCACTTGAACTCGTCGTGCTGAGCCCCAAGCTCCTTGACATGCGCCTCGATCATCATCTTTGCCGGGTTATCTTTGGATTCCGGTGCTAACTCCGAGGAGGAGTAGATTAAGTGCCGCACTTGGTACTTGAGCGCGAGGTTCGCAGCGAGCTGCAATGTCTTGGTCAGTCACTGGTTGCTTGAGAGAAAACAACGGAATGGCGCACCTTTCCCTGCGCTAGTTCCGCATCGGCTGGCTTTCCTAGTCCGGGGTATGTAAGGCACACGAATACGCCATATATTCCACCCATCCCTTCCCCGCTAAAGAGCGTTTCCATCCCCGCCTCATCGTTCAAGTCACCTCGCACCACTTCCACGCCAGGTAGCTGCTTCAGCGCCACCTGCTTCTCTGGCGTCCTGGTGAGCGCGAGGATCCGGTACGGCATGGCTTCCAGGTTTGCATTGTTCACGGAGACGAGGGAGGAAACTAGCCCTGAGCCTTGTTTGCCTGTTGCTCCAATGACGAGGATAGTTTTCGTAGATGAGGTTCCCCAGGGAGAGGCATTTAATGAGCGGTCGGACATGTTCAGGCTTAGGATTGGCAGACAGAAAGCAAGGGTATGAACCCCGGGCGAGTCAGACGTTTGAGGAATTTGCCAGATAATATTTTGCGCCCAGAATTTGTATCCTGCCAACACGGTGGTCGGTCGGTGATTCTCTCAGCACTTTCAACTGAGCATGTGTCGCGAGCACATCGCATTGATCGTGGGTGTACTGGTGTCATGCTAGGCCAAGCCAACTCCGAGATGATCCAGTACATATGTATGTGCTGTGCAGCCCGAGGTGCTTAGACCTGTAAGTCACGGTGCCCGATGCTATTAATAGTCGTGTATGCAAGAGTCAAGGAATGTGTCTCGGGATTTTTTTCTGAATGAATTGTGTGGCGTGATACTGCAAACACGAAAATTGAATTGAATTGTGTGGTTGCGAAGAGCTTGATATTCGCCAAACGAATGAAATCCATGTAATTCGTTCATTTCCGTAATACTGTAGTAAGATGCTATTCCTATTGCTTGCGTTCCATAACAAGATAGGGTCATAGACAACTCTCCTCTGGTATGTGCAGGGTATCAACAACTAGATGATGGTCCTTGCGGCGTAAGGAAGAAGAAGAAGAAGAAGAAGAAGAAGAAGAAGAAGAAGAAGAAGAAAATCAAACCAAAAAATAATAATCAACAATAATCCGTTGAATTGAGATCTCGCCGTATCTCCACCATTCCATCCGAGGGTAATACAGGCACCTCCTAAGGTCGGACTTGATCAGGGAAGAACGATAGTGTAGGCACCTCCTCGCGAGGGCTGGTAGTCTCATCTTCCAGAGGCACCGTCCTCGGCGGGGGTCTCTTCACCTCTTTCTCCAGTAACTGTAGAAGAATACGCATCAGCACCAAGAGAAGAGAGAACAAACGAAAAGCAGACGTACCTCTTTTCTCAGCTCATCCCCATCAACATCCTTCTCCTCCATCTCATCCTCCGTCAATAACGCATGTCCACGTCTGAAAACTTCTCCCTCCTCCTCGACCCAGTACTTGCTCCTCTCCTCCACCGGACTGTGGGGAGGCAGACGGCTCCCGCTTGCAGGGGAAGTGACGACCGGCGAAGAGCGGGAAGCGTTATGTGCTTCTCCTGCTCCTTCGAAGGACACGCCCACACTGAGACGAGGTCGGATGTCCCTCCCAAGCTCCTCAGCATCTGGGTCCACTCCAGCACCAAGCGGCTCCTCATCAGACGCTTCATCATCACTCCCCGAAGTGATGCTAAACGCGGGTGAGAGTGCGTGTGCTATGCTCGGGCTGGTGGAAAGCGTCTGCGAACCACCCGGGCTCTGGACAGGTGTATGTGTGCCAGATCCTGAACCTTCACCAGGGCTACTTCCACTCCCGCTCCCACTAGGACTGGCAATACTGAGCCCATTCAACCCCAGGCCCAGGCCCAGCCTCGCATCCCCATTCACAGCCTTTTGCCTCGCCTTTGCAGGCATCTTCGCGCTCGCCTCCAACCCGTCCATCAGCTCCAGCAGCTGGGAAAGTCTCCCCTCTACGCGCTCAGCACGGGCCATCTCCTCCAGCCTCTCGAGCAGAGCTTGGCGCGCATCGGCACCGACGTCTCTCTCCCCACGACAAATCTCGCCGACACAATCGACCACTTCTATCTCGCTAAGCCTCACGACCTTCAGACGCTCCTTTTCGTTCGCCTTAAGTGGTCGGGCCTCCGACTCGTCCTTCGGTGGCTTGGTGGCGGTAGGCAGTTCAGGATCAGACCCCTGTAACGCATGCAAGATAGCGCTTTTGCCTAATAGCTCGCTTCCCCTGCCGGCCTTTTCTGTATTCCTGATACAAGCCTGGAGGATGTCCCTCGAGCAACGCGCAGCCTGCTCGTTGTTGGGTGGTATACTGAGGTCCAGGCACCGGAGGGTCATGTTCGACCTCATGCCCGCTGCGAGGGCGAGGATGCCCGCGTAGTCGAGGTCGTTCCTCGTTAGGTCGAGATGCAAGAGCGTGGAGGATTCGGGTATGAACTCGGCCAGATGGATGGCAGCCGTTGAAGTGAGGTTCGTGTTAGAGAGGAAGAGCCGCTTGAGCGAGCGATTCACTGTGAACGCCATGCGAAGGGATGTTACCTGCCGAATATGTCAGTATCTGTACTACACCAGAAGGGAAATGAATACGTACCCCCTCGAGGCTCGGCCCGCAGCACGGGTTCCCACTCATGTCGAGCGTCTCGAGTGTCTCGTTATACTTGAGCGCCTCAGCGATTGAGCTCAAGCCCTTTTCGTCAATCCTGTTTTCCGCGAGGTTCAACACCCGCAGAGTGCGGTTCCTTTTCAACACTTGGGCGATGTACGTTACGCCCGTCTACGATGGGTGAGGTAAGCGAATGTATGATACGGTCAGTTAGAGGATATACCCGAATATCGTTCCCCTTCAGGTCTACTGTCCTTAGCTTCCCCAAACGAGGGACTTCATCCAAGCCCCTGACATGGCTCAACAGAGCCGGGCTTGGGAGGCCCCCACCCCCACCGTTCGTAGGCTTGTCCCCGTCCCGCGTCTGCACTTGTCGCATGGTGATTCCTCCGCCGTCGCTGCTGGCGAGGATCGGTGGGCTGCGTCTGACCGGAGTGCCTGTTGATAGAGGAGGCAAATGTGAGTGTAGGCTGTTGCCCGGGCTGAGAGAGGAAGTGAGAGGGAGGGAAGTTACGCTCGCGCGTGGTGAAGCGGCGGGTGTGGAACGTGGAGTGTTCTGCAGTGAAGGGGGGAGAGGAGGCACTTGGTGTATGTGCGGAAGTGGGCGACCCTGGGCTATGAGAAGCGCTTGCTGCTGCTGGATACGCTTCACTTTGGGCACATAGGCGGCGTAGGTCGTCGGAGGTGCGGCAGGAGCGGTACCGCTGCTTGGGCCCTGAGAGGGCTGCGGAGTGCCGGAAGCAGCAGGTGCAGTAGGCGGGCGAGGTGGAAGGAGCCGAGGGGGAGGTGGCGGGGTAGCGTAGGAAGAGAGGGAGGAATATGATTGCGAAGGGGGGAAAGAAGGGGGCATCACGATAGGCTGGAAGGACGTGTCGGGATAATCCTTCATGAGCACTGCGAGAGCGACGGCCCCAGAAGCGGAGATGCGGTTCTGACGAAGAGAAAGATGGCAGAGCTGAGACGGTCGAATGGCGTGAGCTGCAGGGTTTTAGCATTTCACACTTATCACCTTTGGCGGAGAGCACTCACCGAGGACCTCGAGCGATGCAGGCTTGAGACTGCAGTTGTCCAGCCTAAGAGTAATCAGGCCGTCCCCATCGTCTTCGCCCTCCTCGTGCCACGGCTCGCTCAGAAGCAGCCTAGCGACCTCCCAATCCTCCTTCCGCACCCCCTTGCCCTTCATGTTCGGGCTTAGCGGGGTCTGACTCCCGTCATTCACATCCTCGGGCTTGGCGAGCACCTGAACAAGGATCTGTGCGCTCGCGGGCGGAAGAGGGATGCCAGAAAGGTCAAGTGAAGAGAGTTTGCGTGTACGTGAAAGGTATGTTTGGAGCAGGGAGAGCGCGGGAGGTTTGAGCCGGGGGTTGTTGGCGAGTGAGAGTGCGGGAAGCGCTGCAGAAATCAGCAATGCGTGAAGGAGAGGTTTCAGGGACTGATTTCAAAAAATCTGTTAGGGAGATGAGAGGAGGTGGAAATGGAGATACTCACTTGCTCGTCGAGGTCGCATCCGTCCAGGATCACTTTCGAAAGTCGAAGGTTGAGTGCCAAGACGTCAGCGACTGCAGCGGCATGGAACACGGATAGTGTGATCCCTGTGAGATCAAGAACGCGGGGTTTGTTACTGAGACCATGCTGTGATTCGTCGTTAGCAACCTACGCAAAGAAATGTCGCACGATGTCAGACGACAATATGGGAAAAGCACCGTACCTTGATAGCAAGGATGATCTTCTCGTCCGGTCTCTCTTCCCTGGTCCTACAACAATCCCTGTAAAACCCTTCTACTCTCTCCGGACTCCAGACGCTCTCTCGTAGTGTGACCAGTGTCTCCCTAAGCGCCTCCTCAGCCTGGACCCTGCTCTTGCTCGTTTCGGGTGAACAAGGGGGCTGGGAGGAGGAGATGCTGTAGGTGACAGAGAGAACAGGCATGCGGAAGTGCGCTTGCTTGAGGGGCTTCTTGGCTGTTTGAGGTGGTTGCTGTGCAATCGCTGGAGGATTAGCGGTCGGCGTTGGAATTTGGGTTGCCGGTGCAGGGGACTGAGACTGCGTAGGTAGCCCGAAGCGTGCAGGGATAGACAAGAAGTTTGTTGTGAGGGTTGTGAATACATTCTTCGGCGGGGGGGGAGGTGGTCGCAAGATTGATCTGAGCTGCCTGTGCGGTGTCCTATATATAGGGGAGAGCGGCGTATTCGGTGCAGGGGGTAATGATGCCGACGATGACGCAATCTTGGATGGGTCATCGTCACCTGTGGACGTGGGGATCGAGCGATTACTGTTGCTGCTGTTGCTACTGCTTGCCATTGAATGAAGGAGAGAAGTGAAAGAGAGAGGCAAGGGTACACAGAGATTGCGGTGATGCGGAGCCTGATTCATACATCGGATTATCATCGGCTCCGATTCTTTCATTGCAACAAGCGGAAACGTGTACTGTACATGGTTACTTGTACTACACTTATTTACCCAATACTTCATACACAGTCGTCTCTACCTTCCTCAGCAGAGTCTGCACACACGGATCCGAAGAAGGTAAAATCTGAGTACACAACACATACTGTCCAAGGAATGAGCACAAGGTATAGTAGTATAGGTGAACAACTTACCCCAATATCCTTCTTCGCGTCCACCAGCCAGTAACAGTTTGCTACACCCGCCCACTGCACGCTTCCCGTAGCGCGGCCAGTAACAAGCGGCTCCTCGAACACCATCCCAATCTACGTAAATCCCATTATAAGCATATCCCATTCAAACGAGAGCACAGCGCTCACCAGCCCATAATCTCTCTTCGCCCCGGGGAACTTGGACAAACTCGTCCCTCCCAAACTGTGAAACTCGTTACAGCTCTTCTTGGCCTCCGGTTCCAGCTGTCCCTTCATCCCCATCTCCCACGTCTCAGGCTTGAGGATCTCCTTCCCATCAGGCGTCCGCCCACCGAGCAAGAGCATCCTAACGAACTTTGCATAATCCCTTGTGGTAGACCATGATCCTCCACCGCCCATGTCCACCTGCACGCGTTCGGGCCACTCGTCTTCCCTCTTCTTCACATCCCCGCTTTTCTCCCGCTCGTACATAGACGCTTTCCGCTGTACAAGCTCCGGAGTAAGGTTGAACACAGTGCTGTCCATACCTAAAGGGCCGCGGATCTCTTTCTGAAAAAAGTGCTCAAGACGATCATGATGCAGCGCTTCGACCACCAGGCCGGCGTAGTCGATCCCCTGCGCTCGTCTCAGCCACGCACCTGCAAAAATAGGATAGGACCTACCATCCCGTAGTGCCATTCCTTGCCTGCTTCATGCCACGAAGGGAAGGCGAACACTGCCTGCACGTCCATCAGCAACACCATTCCCCTTCCGACTTTCTTCGGGGTACGTACTTTAGAAGCAGCCTTCACACCCGGTATGTCGTGCTTGAGCATATACTTCACCCCATGCGGATACGCATGCCCATATATAAGCCCGCTCGAATGGGTCAACAGCCTGCGAAGCGTGACCTTCTCCTTCGCCGGGTTGAGTACATACTCCCCCTCCTCCAAGTTCTCGGCCGTACGGTCGATCCTACATTCATCAGTATGCGAGGCGGAGAAAGGCAAGGGAAGGATCTTACAGCTGCACATCCTGCAGCTCGGGCACGAGAGGGGAGACGTCGTCTTCCAGCCCTATCAAGCTCCGTTCTACACACTGCAGCGCCGCGACGCTCGCTACCCCACACACGCATCAGCGCCTCCCGTTGCGCAACGACGACTGAGACCCACTCATCGCCTTGGTCATACTAGCGATCCACACCACTGTATCCTCCGTAAACGGCCTCCCGGTATCAAAGTCGTCCACCCCCGCATGACCCTCGTACACGTTCCCCTCTCGCTGGAGGACGACGAGCGCCACGCCGGGGATACCAGAGGCTCCCTTGGCAGCCGATTCCTGCAAGAGGGCGTCGAGCTTCGACTTGAGTTCTTGGGACATTTGCGCTGCTAGAGTGGAGGACGTAGAGGTCTGAGCTGGGAAGGAGGGGGACGTTGATGGCGTATCAAGTGTATCATGTTGGTGGAGGGTTGGTCAGACCAGGATGGTCCTGGTACGCTTAGGGCTCGGGCCGTGTTGAGAACGAGTAACAACCGGCGTTTCTTTGTTGCGGGGCAGATCAGAGCATACGTCTTTCTTCAACTTTGACTAGCAACAGAATTGGTTGTGAAAAAAATAACATATCCTACTGTACATTCTGCTGTCCATAATCTCTCTAACCCCGCTAGTCCAAATCGAACACAAGCCACCAAACGGGAAATCCAAACTCGCTAGCCTCCTCAGATACACAAGTCCTCCTCCCTCCAGAGCTCAAATAATCATCATCCCACCGCCCCCCTCCCCCCCTGAGGCACATACCCATCCCTCAACCCCCTCACCAACCCCCGGTCCAACCTTACAGCCCCGTCCGCCAACACGCCCAAGAACAACAGGATCCCAAAAAAGACGTGTATGAGAACGAGCCCGAGTACTTCCCCTGCTCTGGTTGCGTAGACTCGGGTGTGGGGAGGGGTCCACTGGTACAGGTGTCAGTGTTGAACTGGAGGAAGAAGTATGCTTAAGCCTGCTTGCCAGCTGGCTGATGCAGGGCTACCTGCGGCATTCCTCCCTCCCGGCGGCAAATGCAGCAGCGGCGGAACCCTCGGCAGACGGAATGACATGCGTTGCGTTGATAGGCTGAGTATCACTATCTCTGCCTAGAGGAGAAGATGCCTGTTCCTACATCGCTGTGTTTGGAACTGCTGACATAAGAGGATGGGGACGGCGGTTGCCGGCTCCGAGTATGGGGAGAAGCACGAGAGCACGAGCAGATGCGAGGCTGGAAGAACCCTCAAGCAGGGAAGTTGTTATATATAGCTAGTGTATACTTGGGTTGCAGCTGGAGTTGATGGACAAGTCATCGTCCAGGGTTGAATATCTTCTATTCCAGCTTTTGAAGAGCACGATTCGAATATCGGAAAGCTAAGAAGAATGCGACAGGTTCGTTCCTTCCAGATGTTATCCGCCAAATACCCTTGCACTCAGCACCAGCGGAAAAAGGCAGGTACACTTCAGATGCAAACACAAAGTCCGCATCCCACTAAACTGGATGACTCCGCTCAACATCACGCCAAGCATTAATATTTCGTAGGCTGTGCTTCTTCATCGGTCAGCGCGCTAGCGATCGACAAGTCGACAGATCCAGGTCCAGAGCCGCGAAAAGACTGCCAGATAACTCAGACTTCTAGGGATAGCACAGCGTCAGTGCCTGCCCAGAGCGCCGCTGTCAATGAGGCTGTTTTTTGAGATTTGAGGCTCTTGGCACAGAGCACAGGGCGGTGGGGACCAGCTGCAGGTACAGGAAGTTTGAGTATGTAGTTGGATAGCCGGCCGCAGACCATCCCAGGTTGATATAACGCCAGAAGAACGATTCGACAACATGCTGCACAGTTGGGGCGTAATCTTAGAAATCGGAAATGGTGATGCCCTCCTGGTCGCGAAGGGTCTGTGAGAACGAGAACTTGAAGGGTCCACTCTCTCCCTGATCGTGATATTGATTCGAGGATGTGCTATCTCAGTATGGCTGATCATGATAGCGCTAGGACAGTGTAAGTTGTCCAAACATCTAGTTGGTGTAAGAGAGGAATACACATCTATTCGGATAGACGAGCGACGAAAATTGAGTGAAAGAATGGGAATCAAGGGAATCAAAGGCGATCGTGGAAGGGAAAGATATGATCGGGCATCTCGGAGCCGAAATGAGATGTTGGGAATATCCAGGGATTTGGCAGGAGAATTTTTTTTGTTCGGGTAACGAGGGATAACGACGTCTTTGACTTTTGTGTTTAGGTTTGTTCAATTGATATCAGCAAAAGTTCTAGCGTCTGTTGCTTATCGACGGCGTTGGTGAGAGTTACAGATGTTGCATGTTGGAAGGTTGTGAGTACTAGAAAGCTGACAATGCCATGTGCACTGATAGCACAGAACGACAGTGAGACATTGTGGCGGATAATTCACTCACTGCTCCTAGACGCCCTTTTCTGCCAAGTTAATCGTATCCCTTGAAATAAGTCAATCCCATGGATATGCCAATCAAAGTACAGGGTATCTACATGTTTAAATCCATAATTGTGACGAGTTGTAACATTCGGAATTGTAGGTGTCGGCCGGAGGTTCAAAGTTAGCGCCCCCGGTGAATGAATATCGTCTTTGAACAAAATTTCCCCCTCTCAAATCTTGTTCTCCCTTTCCATCTATTCTCCTCTTACCTGTATCTCCTTCAGTCAACTTCCTCTCTTTATACTTTACCCAACGTCAGACTCATGAGCGCCCGCCTCCGCTTCTTCCAAGGCTTCTTTCGGCGGCCGTCAAGCGCCCTTGCCCTCATTGCCGCCTCATTCCTCGTATACATCGTCTCCCAATCAGGGGTCATCCACCGCACTCCCACCCACACCGAATACTTGGGCGAGCACAACATCCAGCAGGTACTGGTAGACGAACTCCCTCTAAAAGACGACTTCGACTCCAACTCCTGGTCCTGTCCCTCCCACCCAGGGGAACAGACGCCCGCATGCTCCAACGCCCACTTCTTCCCACCGCCCCAAGCGCGCACAATCGTCCCCTCCTCGCTCATATCCTTCACACCAGGATGGACGCTCCTCACAAACCTCTACTTCTCCAACGGCACGTTCTATATCGTCTCCTCCGAAGGGGGGTTCGGCGAAGGCTACTGGCCGGAAAGGAGGCTGATTACGAGCACTGGCCTGGCGGGGGATCACTCGAATGGCGCAGAGAGGGAACCGACGGAGAGGGAGATGGATATCCTCACTCAGGAGCAAGCGGGGGAGATATGGGGAGATAGAGTGTTCGACATCCAGGGGTTCTCGGTGCGCCCTCTTTTCCCCAACCAGGCAGGCTGGGTACTCACGCGCATGTCCCCCAGGTACTCGCCAACGACCCGAACCAGTTCTTACAGCACTACTACCACGTCGCGGCCGAGATCCTGCTAGGCATCGAGCGCGTTTGCACAAACTTCGACCCCATGCCCGGGCCTGACGGGACCGTCTCCGCCCCCTCACCAGAACGGCTCATCTTCCTGCACACAGACGAGGCGGGGTTCACGTGTGTCTTCTCTCCCCTTCGGTCACTCATGAGCTGATCTGATCTGATGTCCCGCAGTGACTGGCCTGGCCTGGATCGGTTCTACTTACATGCACAGTGGCCGCATATCACCCCCCTCTACCAGCCTTCGTGGGAAGCGATGGCCTCTCTCGTTTCAGACTCTCGCAAAGCCTGGCGCTTCCCCGCAGCGCTCTTCATCGACCGGTCCGCATCCTTCCGCGGGCCATATACGGAAGTGACCTCCCGCACGCCTGCGGGGCCTTGGGCTGCCGGAGGGGGCAAGTTCGGCACTGGCGGGGAAGGGAGGAACCGGTTCTGGTACGAGAGCGCTAGGCGGAGAGTGCTATCTTTTGTCGGTGTTGACCGGGAGGTCCTGGACGTCGGGCTGCGCGCTATGGACCCGCCTCTTGCACCCCTGCGCAGGGATGGGAAGGAAGATGTTTACCAGGTGACGTATATCTCTCGTCAGAGGACGGGCAGGCGCTTGATTGATGGAGACCATCGGAGGCTGGCGAGGGCCCTCCGGTATATGTGCAACAAACATGGGTGGAAGTTCTTCCTTATGGTTGCGGAGGATATGGACAGGGAGGAGCAGATGCGTGTTGCGGCTGAGACGACGGTGCGCTGGGCTTGTTCTTCCTCTCCCGAGTACTGGAGCTAACGCACCGAAAGGTCTTCGTCGCCGTGCACGGGAACGGCCTCACACACATGCTTCTCCAACCCCCCCACCCGCGCGCCGCAATCATAGAGATGTTCCACCCTCCCGGCTTTGCACGAGACTACGAATGGACTGCAGGGATCCTCGGCCATCGGTACTATACAGTCCTGAACGATACGGCGTACACTCCCCCAGACCTGGCGAAACAGCAGTACCCGGACTGGCTGTTTGGGAAGGATATCCCCGTGCAGGCTGAAACGGTAGTCGCGGTGGTGGAGAAGCAGTTGCTGGGCCCGATACCGGGCCCAGCACATTGGCAGAGCTGGAGGGAGGAGGTGGGCTACTGATCCCCCCCCTACCATTCTGCCAGCATGATGCTCGTTCTTTCTTTTTATGGGCTCTGGGGCTTGGGTTCCAATCCGATTCGTATCTTAGAATCCTCTACATAGCGTTGCTCACACTCGTTGTAGACCTACAGTATATCCTGACTGCGTACCCTCGTTCCACCCATGCTTGAGGCATGGAATATAGTATATAGCTAGTCGCAATGATAACCGAATCAGAGGTGTTACCAAGAAAAGAATTCCAGCTTGAGGTCCAAGTCCCCCGAATATGGTATTGTTTGTATCTATGTCGAAGCCATGCTCACGTAGGCATTAAAGTTGTACACAGATGGAGAAGGGTTGAAATAATAGTCCTGAGGCCAGAGGTCCAGAACCGTAGTAGATCCACGCATCAACGTGGCCCGCATGCCGTAGCTTGGTCGTAGTGCAAGCTTGAACTTGTTCACACCGGCGGTGACAGCGGCTGAGGACGGACTCGCTGATGGCGACGTGGGAGTCGTGGACGATGGCGTCTGTGGCGTGCCAAGAATGATCGTGCCCGCTGAAGTGGCCATCACCAGGACGTAGAAATTGTCGTCCGTGTTCTGCCAATTGGCTGGCTGGCCAACAGAGTCACAACATGCCTGAGCTGCTTTGGGGTGCGGGCGTGCATAGATGTAGATCTTGTCTTTAGATATGGACGGGTATGAGCCCGTCTTGAAGGCTTGCGCGTAATAGCCCGTCATGTCGAGCCATGCCAAGTGCGGATAACCGTTGACCCATGCCTGGGAGTTGGGTTGAGCACCCTCGATTGGACCGATGTAATGCGATTCGCCATAGTCGTTCCATGTGATGATTTCGGTCATGAAAATCTGCGCTCGGTTCGCGATCATCATCTCCCACCTCGTTGCGTAGAGGTTGTCATCGCTTCTGTAGATCCAGTTTTTGTTGTACGTCTGTGGTGAATAGTGCTGCATTCAATATTAGCATGGAAAACGGGAAGCAGTGAAACCGGCTTACTGTGAAGAAATTGGGGGTAACGGGGGCCATGTACAGCTTTCCGTTCAGCCCATTGAGCCACTGTTGATCACTGGCAAATGTAATATCCGTGTTCGACATCGGCCATCCACCGTTCCACTGGAAAAAGGGTCAGCATTTCCTTGGAGAGGCAATGATATGAGCCTCACATTGAAAGCTCCATTCATGACCGGATAGTTGCCAAACGTACTGGGGTCTACGAACCACGCTGGTATGAAAGTGACCGTAGTGCCGATTTGGTTGATCACGCTCTGCCAGCCTGAGTTGACGCTCCCTTGTCCAAAGTAGCTGTTCTCGCCCGAGAAAGTACTCAATACGACTCCGCCGTTGTACTTGAGTTGGTTGGGGTGATTGATGAATTGGTTGACCTGATTCGCTAGATTCGTTGCGTCACCAGAGGAGCCGCCAGATACAGAAGACATGTCCGCGGAGAGGAACAGCCGGAAATTAGGGAAATTGGTCGCTGCCGCGTACGCGTCTGCAAGACGCGCAGGTTGCCAGTCATCCCTTCCGTAATTCAGAGCAAAGCCGTCAATCCCGTTAGCCGAGGCTAAGGCGATGTCGTTCGCCCAGTCGGACTGCTGGTAGGGATATGTGTTGCCCACCATATGGTGAGCAACGACGTATTTCTGTCCATTGGTCCCTGTGCTCGTGCTGGTAGCAGCAGAGGTAGTGGAACTCGTCGTCATCGACGTTGTCGATGTAGGTGTTACGCCGATGTGGCTGTACAAGTTTAGCCGGAAATTACCTCCGCATGTTTCGGCGGAGTTGCCAGCGCAAGGTACGTTACAGTCGGAAGACTGTGGAAATCGACAGCATACTTCAGAATATGTTTTTCCGTTAACCGCGATGGTGTACATACCGATGCGGTACCCCCTGCGTCATTGGAGAGTGCATTGCCACAAAAACATTGAGTTCCGTACTACGAAGGATAAGTGTCAGCAACAATCGATGGGGGAGAGTAATGCATACTTCAACGCCGGCATAAACGTAGCCCTGGGAAGAGCAGAATTGTTCACACATCTCAATCGTATTGCTGTTGACTTGCTGCATCGGGCCGGTAAGTGCGCGTTGGTCCGTGTCGACCCTGCATCCCAGATTGGCCCATCCTGACGTTGGAGTGGACGAAGCGGTTGTCGTTGTCGTTGTCGTTGTCGTTGTTGTGGTCGTCGTCGTTGTCGTGCTCGTACTGGTTGACGCGCTGCGACTATAGAGGTTCAAGCGATAGCTGCCTCCGCACGTTTCGGCCGAGTTGCCGGAACAAGCTATGTTGCAATCGGAGGACTGCAACAGAATGAGTCCCCTGCGTTCGCACTGTGGGACGATAACATACCGACGCCGTGCCTCCCGCGCCGTTCGAGAGTGTGTTACCACAATAGCACTGACTGCCATACTGTGAACTCCGAGCTCAGCAACAACGTCCGACTCGGATAGTCGTTATATGCGCACCTCGACACCAGCATAGATATACCCTTGGGAGCCACAGAACTGTTCGCAGTTCTCAACAGAATTCGTGCTGACGTCCTGTGACGGACCCGTGAGTGCTCGCGCGCGGGCATCTAATCTACAGCCGAGATTTGCCCAGCCGGAGGACGTGGGCGTGGATGATGTGGTTGTGGAGGAGGAGACCATGCTGTAGAGGTTGAGCCTGTAGCTGCCACCACAGGTTTCGGCCGAGTTTCCGGAGCAGGCTACGTTACACTCTGAGGCCTGTGAAGGATAAAGGAGTCAGTCTGATGGGACTTGGCGAGAGTGACTTGCGCACAGAAGTAGTGCCTCCAAGACCATTGCTCAGCGCATTTCCGCAGAAGCATTGGCTGCCATACTGTGTTCGGATTAGCGAACAACATACAGGAGTGGTTCCCAGTACCCACCTCAACACCCGCATAAACATATCCGCGCGACCCGCAAAACTGCTCACAGTTCTCCACCGAGTTTGTGCTCACATCCTGGGACGGGCCCGTAAGCGCCCTAGCGCGGGAATCGACCCTGCACCCAAGGTTTGCCCATCCAGAGGAGGTGGGTACGGTAGAGGTGGTCGTGGAAGATATGACTTGGCTATAGAGGTTGAGGCGAAAACTCCCGCCGCATGTTTCTCTGGAATTCCCGGCACAGACGACGTTACAGTCCGACGGCTGTGGGTGAATGAGATCCCCCAAAATACGAAATACAAAGGGAACATACCGATGCTGCCGTTCCTACGCCATTGGACAGGCTATTTCCGCAGTAGCATTCATTCCCGTACTGTGCAGTTGTCAGTCTTAGTGTACCGAGGCAGACACTCAAGCTCACCTCAACACCCGCATACACGTATCCCCCAGTCGAACAGAACTGCTGACAGCTCTCCACCGTATTAGAGCTCGTCGTCTGGGAAGTACCAGTGAGCGCCCTTGCGCGTGAGTCAGTGACACATCCGATGTTGGTCCAGGTCGCACGCCGAGAGAGGGAGTTGTACCCGCGGAAAATGGGAGGTGGGGTCGGGGTGGGCTGGGGCAAGCTGCATGCACCCAAAGCGAGAGAGACGGAGACCAGAAGAACGGCGAGCATGGTGCAAAATCTAGTCGGAGGTTTGATATCTGTTGATGTTGTTTGTCCTGTTGTTGTTTTATTGTGTTCGTTAGTAAAACGTTAACCCCCGGCCAGCGGAGGACGGTCAGTCTTCTGGGGCCGTCTGTTGGAAAGGGTGTACACTCAGAAAGAGCGAGTGGGCAAGGGGTAGATGAAGGTGTCTGAAAACGAGGGTGTTGTGGTAGAGAGACGACAGGGTCGACAGGTGGCTGGCCAAACAAAGCGTCTGTTATGATCAGGGATGTTGAACGCCCTGTCCCCTGTGCGAACTAGCAACCAGGCACGACGCTTGTGCTTGCCATTATGGACCACGTTAACTGCCCGGTCCGCTTCGGGAAATAGTGGGGCGCCGAGATATTCAGACGTCAGAGATGTCTGAAGCAACGGAGTTGACGCTTTCCGCGGTTAGGCAACCCAAGAATAGCCAGATAAGCACAAGATGGCGCCAGAGGAGATCTGAGAGCCAGACATCTGTCAGGGTGAGTTTGCCCAAGAGGGCTGGTCATAGTTGAGACAGGTCGACTTCCTCCGTTCCTCCGAAGGTGATATGTCCCATGCATGAAAGCAAGTGGAGATGGTTTTCAGTGGATGATAAGACATTGACCACATAGCCGTCGATATTGCAAATCTCGCCCCCAATGTTAGGGCGCGTATATGCAGAAATGCACTTGTTTGCCGAGTCAATTGAATGAGAGATGTAAAGGCAACAGCGAGAGTGGACGTTTAAGACAGGGCGCCAACCGGTAAATGCGTCGCGCCTCTGAAGAGTTAGTGGCAGTGCCTGTTAGTGGCGGTGTATCTCGGCGTTAAGTGAAACTGTGATTATTCCCGACGTGAGGGGAACTCTGCTATGTCATTCCACTACTGTCGCGAACAACCACTTTACTCTGTTACGATGCATGGTTAGATGTACTGTGAAGCAATAACAGTACACCTTTGATAACTTGTCGCCAACCGGACTATCACGACTTGCCTTGTCCAATGCCAACCATGGCAACACTTTCTACACTACCGGCTGAGCTCTACACTCACATCCTGTCATTCGTACCGCCCTCACAGTCCTCATCCACCACCCTCTCCCTGACTCGGGCAATCCCACGGTCCCCAGTACCGCAACACAATCTGTTTACTCATGTTGTTCTGACGAAGAAAGGCCAGCTGTTGCAGCTCTACCTGAGGTTGACGAGGGGCAAGGGAGAGGAGGAAAAAGAACGCAGGGAACGGGAGAGGAGATGGGTTAAAGGATTCGAATTGAGAGAATGGAAGTTTGACCCTGATGTATTGATAAAGTACGCTCTCATCTTGCGTAGGATTTCTTGTTGCTAAGAGTATCTTCAGCACAGTTCTTATCCTCCCACGCCTGCAAACTCTCACCATATGGATCGGGTACAACTGTGCACCCGAGCACATAGCAGAGATATTCCTCTCCAGGTCCTTTCCCGAACTCGAGTCTATCAGCCTACGTTTCCGCACCTGGACAGACCACGCCAACTACCTCCCTTTCCTCAAAGGCTCATACTACGACAGCACGTTCGACGCGATCGCCCGTTCTCCCCCTCCCAGGCTGAAGCACTTCAGCGTTCAGCAGGACGTGCCTACCCCGGAGTTGTTCGATCACCCGGATGACGAGGGTACTGCCGCGAGCAGGAAAAGGGAAGAAGAGGCCAAGAAACCGTTCTTGCTTTCTCCCGCACTGCGAAGGAACTTCGCCCCGCCGATCGTTCTCTTTGCCACAACATGCTTGACGCACTTGACTGGCGCATCATCCATCCACACATCGCTGCGCTCGCTACGGCTTCGCTTCCCACAACGGCCGATCCTGCAGCACCTGTCCCCTCTGCCTAACTTGGCGGCGCTCGACCTGAGCACAAGCACTCTTACTCCCGCCGACCTCCGATTCGTGTTCATCAAGTTTCCCCGACTTCAGACTCTCGTCCTAGATCACACAGCCTACTTCATCGCATGTGGAAAAGACGGTGCGGCGGAGGAGATGCGTGAAGCCGGGCGAGTATGTGCGATGTGGGGCGTGGGCAGGGCACGGGACGTTGAGAAGGAAGCGAAAGACTGGTGGGCGGCGGAGATGGCCAAGCAGGCCCGTACAAGGGACGAGGACGAGGACGCACCGAGTGACGTAGATCCTCCTCTACCTGTGCCGGGAACGGCTCCAGACACCGGTCTGAGGAAAACTCCCAAGAAAGGTCGTAGAGGTATCGCCACAGCAACAATATCGTTACGCGACCGTCCCGCAGCCTCTACCTCCTCCACCGTCTCCCAACCCCGTATAACCCCCGGCCAGATCCAAACAAAGTTTCACGTCCTCCCCCCCTTACCCTCGTTACAGAGTATCGCCCTCGGCGTCACAGATCGCGCTATAACACCGGCTCTGCGCGCCACTTGGGCCTCCCAGTTCGCCCAAGGCTGGCTGGAAGGCCGCCGTCGACTGATAGACTTTTGCCGGCGGTACAAGCCCACGCCTTCCTCTCGCGTCTTCTTCTTACCAGCAGAACGTGCGCACCTGCCCATCCCTTACTGCCTGGAGGAAGTGAGGGCAGAGGAGGCGTGGCAGGCGTATGTGGATAAGGCGGCGAGTATTGGGGAAGAGGGGCCGGGCATGTGCTCTGTTCCTGATCAGGGGACTGGAGTGCCGGCGAGAAGAGGGTTCGGAGGGGGTAGGAAGAGCAAGAGGGCAGTGACGCCTCTAGCCGAAGGGGAGGCTGTTCCGGGCTCGTCGACCGCTGTGCCAGAACATGCCATCGAACCGGAAGAAGCGGAAGACGAAGATCAGCTTGTAGAGGAAGGGCATTCGAAGGGATGTGCGCACCAGATGTGAGTCGCCCTGACTGGGAATGCGGATTAGGAATTTGGGGGGAGATCGGCGGCGCTGGTCTGGCTAGACTGTGCATTGTATGTATAATCCGTTGGTTATTTGATAGGGATGGATTCTTGTTGTAAGACCTCTGACCGCTATGAGTGTATGTGGGCGGTGAAGTGCGCGTGAGGCTCTGAAACGAACCTGATTGGAACGTCTGTATCAACGTACACGACGGTCAACTTTATCCAACGACAGATGTCTCATTCCTTCCAGAAGTGTCCAATGTCCAAGGTCGAACTCTGCATGTTCTACACTCTGTTCTTCTTCCACCGACTGCCGCTTCCTGATCGTCCGGATTATCCACACTGAAAGAAACAACTCAAACAGATTGTTACGTTTCAATTTCAAATACAGGGTTTCGTGGTTCTTAACGCTTGATCTCCTCCATGCCACACCTGCATACCCTACACCCTACACACTCAACACTCTAGACTCCCTTACACTTCCTCCGACTGAACAGTACAACCCCCAATCGGTACATGCATACGAAGCGCTAGTGGGCTAGTAGCCAACACTCCGCAGGTAGTCGCCCAGCTTCTCGACGACGAGGTTGGCTTCCGGCCCCTGTGTGGGAGGGTCGTATTCGCCAATGATGACTGCTTGGGTCGTCTTGACTATGGTGCATCCGCCTGCCTGTGGGAGGGTTAGCGCTTGAGAAAAGGGGCAGGGGGCAAGGGGCGGTGTAGGTGGTTTGGCGCAGCAGGCTCATGCACCCGAGAGAGGCGGGATACACCCCGAGATCGAGATAGGATAGAAGGAGAAGATGAAGAAGTGACGACGTACGCCCTGCTTGCCATAAAGATGCTGGTCATCGACCTGGACAGCAAAGAACTTCTTGCCGGCCAAACGGACGCCCGAGGCCTGAGCAGCACTCGGGTCGGTAAACACGCGCAAGACGGCTTGCTGTTCCTGAGGGGAGAGCTGGGGAAGACGGGGAGAACAGATCAGTTGCGTGTTATCGAGCGAGCGGCTGGGATGCACGAACGGTGTACCCCGCACTGGAGGCCCATACTCCTCCAGCTTGGCCGATGATAGCCGCACGTTGGATATTGCCTGTACTGAGGAGCTGGACGTCGACGTACTCTGTGGGGGGGAGGATGTTGAGCTCTGATGGACTGCGGACGGGAAGGGGACAAAGAGAAGTACGTACCTTGCCAGGACATTGTTGTGTTTGTACAAGAAGATATTGACCGAGGATATGAAGATAAGGTTTGAAAGTGAAAGAAAGAAAGAGGGCGTGAAGAGAAGGGAACACACCAGCGCTCAACACAACAGTGAGCTGGCTGGCTGTGCACAGAGAGTGGCTGAGCTACGGAATCAGAATAAGCTCCTATTCGGTGTGGAGAGAGACGGACATGAGGAGCGCTCGTGATTCTCCATCTTAACTTGTGCCAAGGGGCGCATATACAACACAGTTCCCTGCTGCATATACCTTACTCTCTTCCTCTTACCACCATCTCCTCTGTTTATTACTCCTCTTCCAAAGTTGCTCTTCTTATAGTTCACTCGTGACGACAACATCCATCTATCATCCATAGCCATGCCTCGCAAGTTCTTCGTCGGAGGTACGATCCACCCAGTTGAACTTTCCTCAATCAGTTCCTAACACACCCAAGGAAACTTCAAGATGAACGGTCTTCTGGCCGACATCGACCGTATCGTCGACCACCTCAATGCCTCTCACCTCGACCCCAACACCGAGGTGCTCATCTCCCCTCCCGCCATCTACCTCCTCCACGTCAGGGACAGGGTCAAAAAGGGCATCGAGGTCGCTGCCCAGAACTGCTATAGCGAGAAACAGGGCGCGTTCACCGGGGAGATCAGGTGCGTCCTTCGGCCAGTTGATCGGCCCGCTGAGCTTGAGGCTGATGCGCTTGCGCGCGTGATGGAAGCCCGCTGCAGATCGCCGATTCCCGTATTCCGTGGGTCATCATCGGCCACTCGGAGCGCCGCACGCTTTTTGGAGACCACGACCACGTCGTTGCTGAGAAGGTCAAGGCTGCACTTGAGGAAGGGCTCAATATTATTCTCTGTGTGGGGGAGACGCTCGAGCAGCGCGAGAAGGGGGAGACGCTCAAGGTTGTCGAGCACCAGCTTGACTGCGTTAAGAAAGAGGTGCCCGCGTGGGCCGAAGTGGCAGAGTGAGTCTGTTCACCCTTCTTTTCGAACCGTCTGTGGGTTCCTGTATCTTGCATCCCCCGGCCCTATCATTCCTATTCCGTACGACGGGTTAACCCCTCCTCAGCCGCATCGTCATCGCTTACGAGCCCGTCTGGGCCATCGGCACCGGCAGGGTAGCCACCGCTTCCCAAGCGCAAGAAGTGCACTCCGACACGCGCACATGGCTCGCCTCCCGCGTGGGGAAAGAAGCAGCAGAGAACACGCGTATCATTTACGGGGGAAGCGTGAGCGCGAAGAACTGCCAAGAGCTCGGTACGTCCCCCAATTCCAACTTGCAACCCGAACTAACTTATGCTCATGAACACCGTAGCAACCCAGCCAGACCTGGACGGCTTCCTCGTCGGCGGCGCCTCGCTCAAGCCCGAATTCGTAGATATCATCAACAGCCATCTGAAGAAATGACCGTCTTGCAAGCTCTGACGTGCCTAGCAAGGAACAGGCACAAGTTGCCCGAAAGGGTCGGGTGATCTCGCTTGGCCGAGAATGAAATGTAATGTTGCATCAATAGAATAAGCCCAAGCGGGACCCGGGAATGAAAAGCTGTAGCACTTCTCTCCTATACCGTCCGTTCTCATGCTTGCTCTTGCTGGTGTGTCTTCGAGCCCGAGCTTTAGGGGAAATAAGGTCACTCGCCGTATCTACTGATCAGAACCCTGCGTCCGTCCCTGTCTGCTCTATCCCCTGTCCAAACCGACTTTCGCCTACTCACGGCAACCCTGACGAGGAGCACGAGAACAAACTATACGGACTGTACGATGCGCATTAGAGGTCGCGTGCCAGGTCCATGTATTTGTCGGTCTGGGCAATGGTGTGCTCGGTGTGCGGTGTGTGGTGTGAATATGAAACCAGGCGGAACTGGGGAAGCGGGGTGAGGCGGATCACATGCTTTTCCTCCTGCTTCAGGGGATGTTCTCGTGCCGGGGAATATGAGACACCTGGATGCGCATGTTCGTTTCACCCGAAGTTAGCAGGAACGCCTGCTTCTCGGAATACAGGATGTAGTAGGACTGGGATGGTATGGGATTACATCTTCAAGTTAGGGTAACATCGTCCAGTCCAAAGTCCATTACCGCCGGGCAAAACCCCTCAGCCTCATCATTCCTCACCGTCCAACCCCCTTCCAGGTCATAACTCAAACAACTACCATCCCGGTCAGCTCTTAACCACACAAAGAGGGAAAGAACGTACCGGGCTCTCGAACGCCGCCACGCGCCTGGAGAGGACTTCCTGCGCCTTGGAGCGCCAGTCCGTCTCCACGAGGTCTGAAACCCGCTGTCTTAGCGCAGACTGGTGCATATTCGCTGGTATGTACCTTTTCCCATCATTCAAGTCGATGAAGACCCGAGAGCAAGGAAAGACGTACCTTCCTATCGGACTCCCTCGCGCCGCCCGAACAGCCTTGATCAGCCCCTCCCCGTCCATCTTCCTCACGTGGTACACGAACGGCGGCTCGAGGTGCTTGAGCGCATCATGCTGCGTCACCCAGCTCTCTCTATGAAACGGGCGTTTCTCGTCCCACCTCAATATGGGGTTTATGAATGGCACGCCGAAGCAGAGCGCTTCGTACGCTGCTGGGCTGTTTGCTGGTATGCCAGAGCCGACCAGGACCTGACTGTGCGATAGCAGGGAGTAGTAGTCCTCTTTTGCCATGAGCCCGTAGTTATTCATATACGGAGGCCAGTACGTCTCCCACCGAGTGTCGTTTACCAGCCCACCGACAAGACTCACTTCGAGGAAGAAGGCGTCCCTCAAGCCCCAGAGCACCCCATCCTCCCAGGCAAAGTCCCGATGGTACCAGTAGGAAAGGCGGTCTCCGAGGATATAGACGTGCGCTTCTCGTGCAGAGGGAGGGACGTACGGCACCTTCCTGCAGGAATCTTCGATGCTGTACCCGAGCACACGCGCGCCAGTGCCGTACTCTTCTGGGCTTAGGGACCATTCGGCGCCTAGCGGGGTGTCGGTAGAGCCTTGGGGGGAGAAGGCGAAGAGCTTCCAGATTGGGGGGCCGAGGGGGTTGGAGGGGGACTTGATACAGTCTTGGGAGGCGAAGCAGTGGGAGACGTCTGGCGGGGAAGCGAGGACGAGTCGGACAAGATCGGGGAAGAGGACGTAGGTCGGTAATGCGGAGGAGAGGGAGGGGAACCAGAGGTAGGTGTACCCGAGCTGGTCGAGCGCGTCCTGCACCGAGAGAGCCCTGCAACGTGTCGGTATTTCAGTCCCTGGTCATATGAAGAAGAGAGGGACGTACCACGCCCCGTCGGGGTTGTTGTGCGCTTCTATTTCCGGTCCGAACTGCGGGCTCGCGAGAATCACGACTGAGGACTGATTTTCCCCGCAGTCTCCACGCGCCAAGCACCCTACCAGAGCGCGCACGGTCCGGGCGTTCTCTGCTCTTGTTCTCTCCTCCGCCGCCGAACCGGGAAGAGGAGGGAAGAGGCTCTCAAAGTGCGCGCTATCCGGTCGGTGACGCGGCGGGGGCAGCGGGAGAGAAGTGGAGAGTGTGAGAGGGCGGAAGAAGATTGAGAGGAGGAGGAGTGTGCTGCCCCCTGCTAGGAGGAGGACGCGTTGTAGGAGCGCTCTGGTGCTTTGGGGGGTTAGTGTTGGCTCCTATGAGTAGGGATGGAGGGGGCGTACAGCATGTGCAGGTTATGGCCAGTTGCTGACCGCTGGCCAGGTCTAGAAGTGCAGATCAAGTGTAGATCAAGTGCAGGGCAGAACAGGGCAGAACAGCAGTAGAGAATAGTTCAAGACCAGCAGCGTCAAGCGTCAAGGAATGTCCAAAAGAGGGAGGCGTCCCCTCAGGCATGTCCTGTCCCAGTATCCATTATCCATTATCCGGCATCCAGTGTCCAGTATCCAATGAGTTGACATCCGCCATCCGTTTGAACAAGGTTCATTAAAAGCGTGACCGTGACAGTTCATTACGCTTCTTGGGGCTGTGCTTCCTTGCTTCTGTCAGGGTCTACAGGGAACGTGATTCGCTGCGGCTGCTTCTTGCTGCTTCTGCGCTTTTCTGGGAAACGAGAAGCTGGAGAGAAGCAGGCAGAGGTTATTGGTGTTATACAATAGAATAATCTAATCTCACTGTCCCTCTCTCATTCTCTGCTCTCTCCCTTTCCCATCCCCACATCAACTCCCAGCGTCCACCTCCTCTCACGTCAAACAACCCCACCACCGATCCACGTCCCCCGCATCCCTCAAATAGAAGAGCATCATGCTACTCCAGGTCAGCGCTCGCACCTATCATAGCATGAAAGCAGAGAGGAGGAGGAACTCACTCGCCGAACAACCACGTCGCTGGCCCGTTGGGGAAATGTTGGTTCCCGTCGTAGTACCTGATAGAGTGTGAGCACAGCTAGCAAGTGACAGCGACCGCAAGATCGAAAGAGAGCAAGTAGGAGCAAGAGCAGGACGCACGGAGTATACCCTTCCAACCGTCCTCCCCAATCAAACACCCTCACCCCCGCTCTCCTAGCCACAGCCCGCCAGGCCATATCCAGCTGCTGCACCCTCAGCATCTGGCCTTTGTCGTTCGATGCGCGGATGTGGCGGGAACGGTACATGAGCGGTGTGAGGGGAGGGTAGGTGCTGCGCAGGAGGGAGAGGAGGGAACTGGAGGAGGTTTGGTGCCATCTTACCTGGGGTAGGGGGTTAGCAGAGGAGCAGGAAGGCGGCAGCAGGGAACGGAGGGAGGGAACGGAGGGACGTACTTCCTGCCAAGTCAACCCCTGCTCCCAAGGCCTCTTGATCCCCATATGCGTAAAGTACTGTCCCGCATCAGCCTCAGGCTCATCTCCCCATCCCCAACCCGCGCACCTTATCAAACAAATGGTCCGTATCCCAGAACAAACTGCTCACGACGACCAAGTCCGGTGTCCACCCCCGCAGGCCGACTTGCTCCATCTGGGGGAGGAAGACTTCCTTCACTCTTCTTGCTGGGGTTATGGGCCTCGGCTCGTTTGGCGCATGCCAGTCGTAGGACTCTGAATCGGGGATCCCGTACCTGGTGCGTGTGAGCGAGTGGGCTAGTGGCAGCGAGAAAGGGGAAGGGAAGGGAGGGGAGACGCACATGAACCAGTAGACGATGGTGAACTCCAACCTGGCGAGCTTGCAGAAGCCTCCTGTGTGCATTCCCCAACTCGTATGCACCCCTCCCACCGCGTCACAAAAATTCTGTACGTTGTTCCTATCGTGACTGCACGCATGTGAGTTCCACACCAGGAGAGGAAAAAGAGGTGAGGGGGAGCGCACCTGGAACCGACGAACAACACCCCTTTGCCCCTTGCCCACTCCCCTCCTCCCTCCGCCATCCCCAGCATGAGCCTTTCGGCCGTCCCAAGCTCCTGCATCTCCCGCTCTGTCAGCTGCTGCTCTTGGTCTAGGTCTTCTAACAGGCCCAGGGAGCCGGGGGTGTACGCGCTTTCAGAGAGGGGGAAGGGGACCCAGCGAGTCTCGTTTGCTGAGGTGCCGAAGTACAGCATTCCAGGGGCGAGGAAGGGGTCGAAGGGGCAGGCATCGTCCTCACCGGGCTCACGGTCAGGGTCGGGATAATCGTATTCTTGCTGCTTGGTGCGCCATGGGAATTCTATTGGCTGGGAAAGGGCGCGTAGGTGCGGCGAGAGGGAGAGAAGGGGGGGCCATTCGAGGTACAAGAGTGTGGGGATGAGGATGAGCAGGGCGAGGAGGAGGATGAGGAGCAGAGAGCGGAGACGTGGTAAGGGGAGCATCTTTGCCAGTGTATTTTGGTCGGTCGTCGTCAAGTAGAGAGATATGTATGTTTAAATGTTCTTGATTCATTAATTGCCCGAGGTTATGATATTCTTCTGCCAGCGAAGACAGCCGCCGATCATTTTGTTATTTATCGGACATGTGCCGACGTTGTCTGCTGCGCACTCGGCAGTGCAATTTATTTCATGGTCAGTGACGTGAGATTTACGACTACGACGTCGTGTGATTTGAATGGTAAAGATGGGCAAGTTGAGCTTATACATGTCAGTTCGAGAGAAGGAGTATCATCGAGGGAAGATTGACAATGCAAGGGATGCGAAATATTGAACAGTGGGAACGCCAAGACAGAACAATGTAAAACATCTCGGAACATTCAACAATCTTCACATTATCACTAGGTAATTATCAATAAACAGTCAACATTCAATGCAATAATCAATGCAACAATGATACACAATCAACATCAATACCTTGGCACTCCAATCCTCCCTCCATGAGCACACCATTCCCCCAGTGCTGCACTCACTCTAATCTGACATCCAAGCCTACTCTCCTCCCGTCTCCCAATAGCATAAACGATCATATCCTCTTCCTCCTCCCCCATCTCCCGTACCGGCGCCCTCTCCCCAATCTGCAGGACATGACTCGCCCTCGCTCCCGTGCCTTTCAGTCCCGAGCTGGGGAACGACAGTCCACGGGGAAGGAGGTAGACGTGACATGTCGCGCATTCTAGTTGGCCTCCGCAGGCGCCTTCGACCGCTTCCAACCCTTTTGTCCCGCCCTCGGTTTGCGAGCGGCAGACTGAGAGCAGCGTAGCTCCTTCCTGGGCTTGGACGCCTACGACCCGCCCGTCCCAGAGCTCGAATCGCAGGAGTATGATCCGTGGGGCAGCAGCAGGGGGAATAAGAGCAGGAGTGGGAGCAGGAGCAGGAGTAAGCAGACTGAGAGCCATAACAGTCTCCCTCTCCTTCTCTCCAAAGCCCATCCTTCCCCTCCATCTCTCTGCCCACACTCCCACTCCCTCCCCCACCCGGGCCAAAAGCTCCCCCGCCTCCCCAGGCCGGATAAGCCCGTACCTTCTCCTGCATCAGCCTCACTGCAGTAGAATAGCAGTAAGAAAGGCTCACCAATCTCCAGGAGGGTAAACGAGCACGTTCGCAGCCCACTTATGCCCTCCTACATGACTGATCTCCCTTACACGAACCCTCTTACTCCCCCCTCTCCCCAGACGACCAGCTTCAGCCTTAAGAGCACGAAAGACCGCCACGCCCGTCGTACCGCACCTACAGTCCCGAGCCCCGTGCGTACATACGTAAATGTGTGTCTCTTCCTCTCCGATGGGGGGTGACAACTGCAGTTGTGCCAGGGTGGGAAGGTCGCCTGGTTGGAGGAGGATGGGTGTGGGGAGGTGTCCAAGGCGGTAGAACGTTGCGTACACCTGTTTTGTTGCATGATGCATCCTATCTCCCCCCTCTTCCCCATCTACACTCTCCGGCCTCTCTGTCCCATCCATCCCATCAAGCATCTCCCCCTCCCCCTCACCATCCGAAACGACATTCACCAGCCCTCCCTGGCCCTTCATCAGCCCCCCCAGCCGCCCCACCCAGCTCCCAGGCTCCCAGCGCGCGGGCCAGGAAGTAGATGGGACAGGGAGGTGGAGTGTGAGGTGGGAAGTGTAGTATGGGGCTGTTAGGTGTAGGGGTTTTGGGGTTTCTGGGTTTGCTCGGTTTGCTGGTTGAGGGGTTGCGGGGGTTGTGGGTGAGGGTGATGGGGTTGAGGGTGATGAGGAATAGGAGCGGCGAGTAGCTGTTGTTGATCGACCGTGCTGGCTAGGACGTGGTCGATGAAATGAAATAAGAAGAGGACGAGGTAGAGAGCGCAGACATCCTGTTTGTAGGAAAGAAAGAGAGTGTGAGCTGATGTGGTTGATGATACGCATGAGAGTCCTGATTGGCATCAACCGGAGTGCTATTCTCGGACAGGCGGGTGATCAGTACTCAGTACAGCCGGAATTGGTCTTGATTTAGGTATTTCGATTTCTTTATACACAAGACACGGGATTTGTAGATGAAGCAGTAGCACAACTGGGTGCATTGAATAGTCCGAAGATCTAGAGATTATTACTTGAGCTATGCTAAACAACGAGTGTGGTTCCAGGTTGAAGGGGGTGTAAGTTGGCAAAAGAATGGGATATTTCTCATACTCCTCCTGCAGCTGCTCACTGGATTGGGTTGACATACAGCGTCTAACTCGTATAAGCAAAGCACGCCAAAACACCAGTGCAAGACAAAAGGACTCACAGCCAAGCTCCCCCCACCAAGCACCTCAGCAGTGAGCATATAATTCGCGGTGAGATAAAAGTCCGATCCGTAGAGGACGACATACGTCTCTGGTGCTTGTTCTGGTAAGGGAGCTGTAGGGCCAGGGTCAGGTCTCTGCGGCCTAGGGAGAGAGGGAAGGGAAGGACGTACAGTATCCGGCTGGGTAGAAGGAAGAGGACGTGGGGTTGAGATACTGGATCGTGATTTCGCCCGTGGCTGCGTCTACCGAGAACTGCAGAGTATGAGTGCGGAGTATGCTATATCTAGGAAGGGACAGCTCGCACGATAGTTGACTCGAGGTTGTTGCAGAACTCCTCGCTCTGACCAGGAGGGTTAACTGAGCCGGGGTAGAACCCGTTCGGGGCTACAGACATACGAAGATGTTAGTAGGCTCTCTACCGATGAGACAGGGACGCACAAGCAACGTAGGTCCAGCGCAAGTTCAGGGCGTAGGCATATTCCGGATCGATGAAGCAGTAGGGGGCCGAGCAGCATGTGCTGATATAGTACGTATTCGGGGTGGAGCTCATCTGGCCCGTTCATCATTAGTATGGTCCTCGATGTAGAGCGGGAGAGCAACTTACAGACATAGTCGTCTCTCCCCCAAACACGTAGGATAACTGAACCGCATTCGCCGCGCTCGTTGTCGTCTGCACCGCAGGTGCGTACAACGGGCTCCCATCCTCAGCAGCGACGTACAAGTTGAACGGCGCGCCGTCGCGCTTGGTGATGGTCGCTTTCTTCCGGAGCTCTTGGGCAGAGCGGCGGAGTTCTTCTGGGGAGACGGGGGTGGAGCGTTTGCGCAGGGGGATGGGAACGGTGGTCACTCCGATCGGGGAGATGTATGTCTGACCTGCGGTAGCAGAACGTTTTGAGACTGCTTGAAGGTGAGAGATAGCACTGCACTGGGGAGCGGGGGAGGGACGTACGATGTACCTTGGTCGGCTCATAAAGCCTCTTTGGCTTGGCTGGAGTCATCCCGCGAGCGAGCCGCTCACCATTGGTGAGGACTCTAGCGTTGACGAGCGCGATACTCGCCAGAAGAGCAAGGAGCGAGAAAAGCTTGACAGAGACCATCGTTCCGACGTGTGCAGGAGGACAACAAGGCCAAAGAGCGGAGGAAAGAGCAACACGAAAGGCCAGGACGCGCAGCCCCCCGTGCTCAAATGAGTTTGCAGACACGCATTGCGTGTTTCTCCGGTGACGAGAACATGTTAAGGGAGGAAACTTCGAATAGACTTGTGGAGCCCAGGAGTCATGAAAGCGCCGGAGCACCGGCGCCTCTCAGGTTATATTCAATGCAGATGCTAAACCTTGCGGTTGCCGGCAAAGGGGCAGGTCTCATTTCAATGAAAGGAGAGGAGAATATTAAAAAGGCACCAGGGTCTGATAGCCGCCCAACCAAAGAAGCGGCGTTTTGCAAATTGGGCCAATCACCGAACGAGACAAAAATGGAAAGTTTCTCTCCCACCAGCCGCCATTCACACAGGCAAAGAAAAACATTGTACATGGGCTACAGCAAGTCGTTATTTGCCTATGTCCAGTACAGTTGGCCGGCTCCGCCTATAGCTGCCTCTGCCAATATGCAGAGAAACTCAAAGCTTCAGAGACGGGACTTGCACATGAAGGAATGACACAATTGGGTGCAAGTGTATTGGAGAGTCCGAAGAGCTTATTACTCGAGTTAAGCTAAATAAAGAGTGTAGTTCCGGGTTGGAGTGTGGGGTGTAAATCGGCAAAAGAGTGGGTCATTTTTCGTATTCGTCGTGCAGCTGCTCACTGGATCGGGTTGACATACAGCGTCTAGCTCGTATAAGCCAACCACACCAAAACACCAGCGCAAGGAGAAAGGACTCACAGCCAAGCTCCCTCCACCAAGCACCTCAGCAGTGAGCATATAATTCGCAGTGAGGTAAAATTCCGATCCGTAGAGGACGACATACGTCTCTGGTGCTTGTTCTGGCAGGGGAGCTGTACATGTCAGGGTTAGCTTTCTGCGGCCAAGGAGGGAGGGGAAGGGAGGGACGCACAGTATCCGGGTGGGTAGAACGACGATGATGTAGGGTTGAGGTACTGGATCGTGATCTCGCCCGTGGTTGCGTCTACCGAGAACTGCGGACTATGAGTGCAGGGCATCCTATGACGGAACAGCACACACGATAGTAGACTCAAGGTCGCTGCAGTACTCCTCGCTCTGGCCCGGAGGGTTGACTGAGCCGGGGTAGAACCCGTTCGGGGCTACATACACAGGGTCAGTCCACTCTCTATCGACGGGAGACAGACGCACAGGCCACGTAGGTCCAGTGCAGCACCACGGCGTAGTTACGTTGTGGATCGAGGAAGCAGCCAGTCTGGCCCGGGCAGCATGTGCTGATATAGTACGTATTCGGGGTGGAGCTCATCTGGCCCGTTCATTATCAGTATGGCCCTTGATGTAGAGCGAGGAAGAGAAACTCACGGACATAGTCGTCTCCCCCCCGAACACGTAAGACAGCTGAACTGCATCCACCGCGCTCGTCGTCGTTTGCACCGGAGGTGTGTACAGTGGGCTCCCACTCTCGCCAGCGATGTACAAGTTGAACGGCGCGCCGTCACGCTTGGTGATGGTCGCTTTCTTCCGGAGCTCTTGGGCGGTGCGGCGGAGTTCTTCTGGGGAGACGGGGGTGGAGCGTTTGCGCAGGGGGATCGGTACAGTGCTTATCCCGACCGAGGAGACGTATGTCTGGCCTGCGGTAGCAGAACGTTTTGAGACTGCTTGCAGGTGAGAGATAGCACTGTACTGGGGAGGAGGGCGGGACGTACGATGTACCCTGGTGGGCTCATAGAGCCTCTTTGGTTTGGCTGGGGCAATCCCGCGAGCGAGCCGCTCACCATTGGTGAGGACTCTAGCGTTGAGGAGCGCGATACTGGCGAGGAGAGCAAGGAGCGAGAAAAGCTTGACAGAGACCATCGTTCCGACGTGTACAGGAGAACAACAAGGCAGAAGAGAGAGAGAAAGAGCAACACGAAAGACCAGGACGCGTGGCCCCCGGCACTTAAACGAGTTTGCAGACACGCATTGCTTTTTTCTCCGATACTGATGAGATGTTGACGGAGGAAAGTTCGAATAGACTTGTGGCGCCCGGGAGTCATGAAAGCGCCGGAGCGCCGGAGTATATTCGCGCCTCTTCTGTTATGTTTGACAGCAGATGTCAAACTCTGCGGTTGCCGGCAGAGGGCCAGGTCTCATTTCAAAGAGTGACGGGAGGGAGGAGAGGAGAATATCAAAAAGGCACCAGGGTCTAATAGCCGCCCGAACAAAGGCACAAAGAAGCGGCGATTTGCAAATTGGGCCAATCACCGAACGAGACAAGATTGGAAAGTTCCGAGGCGCCGTTACATCGGACCTCTTTCGGTTCACCGTTACACCAACATACACAGCTTCTGTCAACTCCCCTTTCCAAGAAAATTTCTATGGGTTCATGCCAAGGGCAACAATACAACAATTTCCATTACATGACACATTGTTTGGTATCTCCATTATATGTACAAGCCCCAACTCAGGGGTTTAATTTACTTGACTCCCTTCCGAAAACAGATGTGTCACAGCTCAAAGTCCAAGTACTCCCTTGCGTCATTCCCCACCCTTGAATATTCCAGCATGAGTCTCCAAACGTACGCAACCATATCCTCCTTTCTCCAGAAGGCCTCCGCCCATGCCTTGCCTGAGTAGGCGATTTTCCGCGCCAATTCATCGTGTGCCCCTTCCCCGCCACGGCCCACGTCACCGCGAAAGAAGGTGAGGATATCGTACAGGTCACTGAGATCGAGTTGAACAGGTACGTAGTGCACCCACGGCTGTATCCGGTTCGAGTACCACTCCGGGAATATACTCGCTTTGAGCACGAGTGACCGGGACCGCATGAGTCGCTCGAATCGCACACTGCGGCCATTGCCGTCCACGTCGAACAAGTACTTGTACTTGTATTGCTGGGTGTGGGGCATGTAGCTGCGGAACTCGTACAGCTGCCAGAGCGCATCACACTCGGACGGTGTGCATTGTACGGGGCCGCGCACGAATGCGGCGTCGGTGAGCAGGGCATTCATCCACGACTGGAAGCGGGGTTCTGGAATGCCCACGGGAGTGTCTTCTGGGTTGGGCAAAAGAACCTGTACGTGACTGAGTACGTTATCTCCCGATGGGTGAATAATGACGAACTGAATAATTCAGGAAATTGTCGTGCACCCCGACCATCTCCATGAACCGGATCCTCTGGCTCGCTGCCCACCGATGTTCAGGGGAAAACAACACCCCCGTCGTGCTTCCCCGCCATAATAATCGCTCATCAAGCTTTTCCTCCCATTCTACATCTCCTTCCGCCTCTGCTACCCACCCCTGGGTCGGAACTGTCAATATATCCGCATAGAGGCCTTCCATGGTGCTGGAGCCGAATATCAGCGCAGGCTCCTGTACTTCCGGTCCACGGCCTTCAGCCAGCAATACGCCAGAAAGATGAACGAGGGATGAATGGGAGCAGGGATTCATCGTCAGCCGATGGGAATGGATGAACGTCTTCCGCTCCAGGAATTGGATAGGCAACTCGGGTGGAGGAGGGTAGGAGTATCGCAGGTGGGAGTTAGGCGGGCAGGCGGCGGCCCATCCGAGGTTGGTCTGCCCTGGTGCCTTTTGTGGGCCTTCAATAACTGTGGATCGGGTCAATATATGGACAGGAAAACAGGGATGCCAATATACCCGCAGCCGATTGTGCCTTCATCCTTCTCTCGCTGTCCCACTCGTAGCTGACAAATTCCCTCGGCACATCATACAAGTTGAACGTGGCCTCCCAGTCCCCAGTGGCCTTGACAATCTCCCTCTCAACACTTGTCGCTTGTCCCGTTCGCTCGTCTGTCCACGTTTCCCCAAATCCATGCAGCAAGTCCAGCTGCTCCTTTGCCCGTTCTGCTCCTCGTTTCTCTTCCTCTCCCTTTCCCAGATTCGTGCCGCTCAACTCGATCTTCCCCTTCACACTACTGCTCGCAATGTTGTACGTCCCCTCCTTCCCTCTAGCAAGCGATTGCATCCTCCTAACGTCCCGTGGCGCCATCCCCCAAAACGATTCTAAATCGCGCATGATCTGGTCGTACTCGTCCGGTAGCTGCACCCCGTGCCGTTGCACGTACGCCCACCATCGATCGAACCCCATCGGCGGAGCCCGTCCATACCGGCGCTTGTACTCATTCAGAGCATCAGGAAGAGTACGTGATTGGCGGGCGAGCTTGGCTTCCCATTCGCGCTCCGAACGCGTTATGAGGTCATAGATCGGATGACGGCCGCGCGGATTGACTTGCAGAAGGCCGTTTGCGAGGTAGGTATGACCCTGGAGTTCAACCTTGATCGCCGGGGCTTGCATTATTCGAGGGGGCGGTAAGGGGTGTTCCAGCGGAGCTTGATCGGGCACCTGAACCACCATCGCTTCCTCGGTAGGCAGAGCAGCGGCTTCAAGCAAGCGCATGGCTTCTTCTTCAGCTCGCTGGATTGCTGCTTTCTCAGCGCGGAGCCTCGCTAAACCCAATATCGCCTCTCGTACGTGGTCGCCTGGTTTCGGAGCCCCTTCTTGTAATCGCGGGATATCTTTGGGTGGGGCAAACACAGGCACAGGAGGACGATGATTCATCCCCTGCTGAGGGTCCCATATGCGGAAGATATCCTTGTCGTCGTCTTCCCATGTAGGCCGTCTGAGGTGTTTTGGAGGGTCTTGTTGTTCTGTTTGTGGTGGTTTCTCTTCTGGTGGAGGGTTTTGCAATTGGTCTGCTTGCGAAGGTTGCTGCTCGTGCTTTCCAGGCGGCGGGCCAGGCATCCGGAGTGGTGGTGGCTGTCGCGGTGGGGGCAAGGGGTGAGGCTCCTGTCGAGGTGGGGGCATCGGCTGGGGTACCTGCTGCTGAGGTACAGGAGGCACCGGCACCGGTTTATCCTTTAAAGGCGGTAACTCCATCTCCTGTCTCATCCTCGCCTGCTCAATCCTCAACGCGCGCTCTTGGTCCTTCGCCCACTGTACGCTCTCGGCGTCCTCTTTCGTCTCTTCCTCGCTCGACCTTCGCTCCTCGAATGATCCTTCTTCTGTTTGTCTCCAGAGCACCTCGTGATCCTCCTGATGACCAGAAGCCTCTTTCTCTCTGCCTGAGGCGCGATCATACACTCTGTTCATTCCCATCTTCACGCTAACCTCCGGGACTGGCTGCTCTCCTGCTGGCCTCCACAGCCACATCCCCACCAAAAACAGCAGCCCGATCGCCAGCAGGACCTTGATCAGTCGGCTACTTCGTCTCCAGAGGGAGTCCATCCTGGATGGATACGATGAGCGCGAGGGGTGGAGAGGGCGGGACAGGGTTCGGCTGTGCGAGTGGGAGGGCCGCGAGAGGCGCGGGCGAGGTGGACGATTCATCTTGATTGACCGGGTATTGCTGCGGGCCAAATATATAGGGAAGGATTGTTGATGAAGAGATAAAGATAGACGGCGATGAAAGTCGAAAGACGCGTCGTCGCGTGGATGAATGGTGCAATGAACGACTGGAAGAAGAAAATGATCGTAGAAGGCTGAGGGATGATGCCTAGCCAGCAGGTCCAAGTCGCCTCAGAGTCGCATTGTATCAAGATTCAGTCCTCCCCGACAGCCACCAAGCAGCTGTTACGGCGGTTTACGTGCTAAAAACCCACTTGACAGACAAGGTGAGGTAAGAGGGAAAGCAGCACGAGATCAGTAAAGCAAGATTTTCAAATCGTTGTCATTTAATCGACATCGAAGCAAGAGAAGCACTAGGATGGAAATTACTTACCCCGCTCCATGCGGACATTACATCGCGTGCTGCCGTAAGGGTCTTCTACCCCGTTGGCTTGGAACCCAAATTCATTCGTCTTCGTGGCGGTCATCTGAACTCAATTATCGGGCCCTTTGATGAAAATGGATATTAAGTTCATTAATGCCATAAACATTACCAAATGGCGCTAGGAAGACACAGCGAAAGCTCCTTTTGTGATAAAATGCTATTTGTGCGATAATGCTACAAGGTTTTTGAGTCGAGTCTATCAACTGCAAACACATACAGAGATTCCGATAAAGTTAGGGAGATGATCTGTCCGATATATGCCAAACTGCCAAAAAAAAAGACGCGGCGTAATATATAGATGCAAATGGAAATTCCAACCTCAAAATCTGTAGTAACCATGCGGCAGGGAAAGAGAGTATCAATGTTAGGAAACCTGTCTGCCCAAAAGAAAATAAGCATCACTTCATCTCAAAGTTCATGTCATTCCTGTCGTCACTGACAACCCGTCCATACTCCAAGAGCAGCCTCCACTGTCCAACATCAGCATCCCGCCTTCCCCATATCCCGAACAACCACTCACAGTATACGCAACCACATCCTCCTTCCTCCAAAACCTCTCGCTCCACTCCCGGCCCGCATAGGCGATCTTCCTCGCCAGAACATCATGTTCCCCTCTCCCTCCCTGGCCCACGTCTCCCCGAAAGAACGTCATGATATCATACAGATCCGATAGATCCAGCTGTACAGGCACGTAGTGCACCCAGGGCTGAATTCTCCCCGTCCACCATTCCCCAAACACGCTAGCCTTGAGCAGCAGGCTCTTGCTTCTCATCAGTTGGCCAAACTGGTCGCTCGCCCCGTTCCCGTCTATATCCAGGACATACTTGTGAGTGCGTTCTTTTTCCGCTGTCAGCGGACGGCGGAAGTCGAACGACTCCCCGAGCGTCTCGCATCCGCCTAGACGGCAATGCACGGGTTCGCGGGTGAAGTGAGCATCGGAGAAGAGGTTGTTCATCCATGCTTGCCTGCGTTCTTCCGGCTGGCCGACACGTTCTCCTGCTCCGCGGGGGAGAAGGACCGGCCAAGCAGAGGAGTCGTGTGTGTTGAGGAGGGAGACGAGACGGATCCGTTGGCTGGCGTTCCACGCGAGTTCGGGGGAGACCAGAATACCAGATGTCGTACTGCCGCGCCAGAGGAGTCGTTCGTCTGTCTTCTCCTCCCATTCTAGCTCGGAATCCTCGTCCCATGTCTGGGAAGGGACGTACAGCACGTCCTCGTGCAGCTCCGTCTTGGATACAGAGAATAGGAGTCTGTTCTTCCCCTCCCCTTCGGGTGGGGAAAGGAACGTTCCAGAGAGATGTATGAGCGACGGGTTGGAGCAAGGGGACATGGAGGCCTGGTGGTCGAAGATGAACGTTTTTGGACTTTGGGGCCGGGCTGGGAGCTCAGGAGGGTCGGGGAAGGAGAGACGCAGTGCCGAGTTGGGGGAACAGGCCTCCGGCCACCCAAGATCGTGCACCGGTTTCCGGAAGAGGTTCATATCTTCCCATACACCATCAGCGCACATCATACCTGCCTGTAAATGAAGACTCACATTCCCTTCTCTGGGACTTCTCCCTCCTCTCCCTACCCATCTCCCAATCTCCGACAACCCTCGGCTCCCCAATGCTGAAAGTCGCCTCCCACCTCCCAGTAGCACTAACGATCTCCCGTTCCACGCTCGTCCTCTCCCCCTGGTCATCAACCCAGCTCTCCCCAAACCCGCGCATCAGTTCCAGCTGTTCCCGAGCACGCAGCACACCCAGATCCTGCTCGCTCTCGGGGAAATTGGACGTCGCTAGCTCCAGCCTGCCCGTAGAAGGGGAAGCGACGATCGTGTATGTCCCCGGGAGCTCGCGAGTGCTTGCTTGCAGTCGTCTTAAGTCAGCAGGGGAATGCGCAAGAAAAGGCTCGAGACTGAGCATGATCTGGTCGTATTCGTCCGGCAGCTGCACATTGTGCTTCTGGACGTATGCCCACCTACCCAAGCGACATCAACACCCGTCTCACCCTTCCCATGTTGAAGAGCAGAACGTACCAGCTATCGAACCCCCTCGGCGGCCTCCGTCCCCACCTCCGCTTATACTCCCCCACCGCCTCAGCCAATGTGCTACTCTGCCGGTCCATCCTCTCCCGCCACTGCCGTTCTCCAAACTCGACAAGGTCGTATATCGGATGCCGGCCATTCGGGTTCACCCGCATGAGACCGGAGGGGAGGAACTGGTGGGAGGGGAAGCTACCTGGACGGGGAGGTATGGATGGAGGATGAGGGGGAGGGTCACGTCGTGCAGGCCGCTTTGGGCGGGGTGGGCGTTCGCCCGCCGGAGGAGGAAGTCCGGGATTCGGGGGACGTTCACGCAGTGTCGTCCCTGGGGGTGATCGGGCGGGGATAAGGACCTCCCGTTGTGCTCCTGCTTCTCCCTCTGTGCTTGCGCGGTTCCTTCCAAAACCGAGGCGGTGCTTGACCTTCACACTAGGCAGGTCCTCACCCTTCCAGAGTACAGCTCCAAATGCCAGAACACAGATGAGAGCAAGTACCACCCTGAGGGAAAGAGGGATTCGGCGCCAGATATGCAGGGAGAAGGTGCGGGCTGCGCTGAGGTAGGAATGGCGGCGGCGGGATGTGATGGATAGAGAATGTTTGTGTGTTTGGCGCTGGGTGGAACGGAGTGGGAGAAGGGGGTTGCGGAGCATCGTGCATTTATTGATGACAGCTTATACGTATTCTTTTCGCTTTTCAGAAAGTTGACAATGCTGTGGGTGTATATTTCATAACTGGAATACCAAATAAGATGGAATTTAGAGTGAGAAAGTAGGCTGCTTACAGTTCTCCTTTCTTTCTTCCCTTTCTTCCTTCCTTCCTTTCCACACAAGCTCACTTAGTCCAGATCACAACAGCACCCCACTACACCAAACTAGTCCATAAACAGCCCAATCCCCAAGCAGTAATCCAACTTGAATCCCAGATAAATACAAGTCCAGCCCAAGAGTGAAAGACGGTCGTATTGCAATTGATGCGTTGTTCTCACCGCACTTTTGACGTTCACTTTTACCCTGCGTCGGCGATAATCCTGTTGCGTATCTCCGAAGCCTTCCAAGATAAAGATCAAGATCAAGCAGTTGTGCGTTGTCTATCTACACTATCTACAAGAAATCTATTTTTTTCTAGTCCGATTCTCAATTCCCCTGACTCAAGTTTCCCTCCGCCTCCGCCTTCGCAACTTTACAAAACACCTCAACCTGGTTCGCCACTTCCCGTAGCACGCCCAACACCTGCCCATTAGTCTCCACGAACCCAAATTCCGCGTATTCCAGCCCTTGTTCCTGCGCGTAGAGCTTGACGAGCTTACTGGCCGCTTTGAGGTTGTGCCGCGGGAGCCGGGGGAAGAGGTGGTGCGTGACTTGAAGTTGCAGCCCTCCGTGCACCCATTCCATGCTCGAGGGGCAGGAGACGTCTGTCGTCGTACGCAACTGCCGGTCGGGGAACGATTCCCACGGTCCTAGGTCGGCTGTGCTCCTCGCAAAATGGGATTGGACGATCTGGACATGCACGGGGGAGGGTACGATCTGGGTTATGAGGAAGAAGAGGAGACGGGTGCGCGGGGAGGGGATGAGAGATAGGATAGCGCTGAACCACGTCCAGAAGAGGACGATGCAGCCTAGTTCTGCTAGACGGTAGCGGCCGCGGTCGCCTAGGAGGAAGAGGTAGGAGTTGGCGTACAGATTAAACCGGGCGAGGGAGAGGATGGGGTAGTACGTGTAGGGCTGGATGCGGATGAGTATTCGGGAAGGAAGGTCGAACGACATGATACGGTTGTAGTATGTTGACCAGAGGGAGTTGAAGAATCGGGGTGTGATGGCGAAGAAGGGGAGGTGTTGGATGTCTGGGTCGTGTGTCGGGTGGTTGGTTACCACTGCGGGGTTAGGGTTAGAAAGGGAATGGGGAATGGGGTAGGGCAATGCGGGGGGACGCACGATGATGGATGTTGTGGTTGTCGACCCACCAGCCTATGCTCAGTCCTCCCAGCAGGTCGGCGATGATAATCCCCAGCACTCGATCCTTGAACCAGTCTCCGGTGACACCACAGTGCCCCAGATCATGTGCGACAAACGTCAGTTGATGCCAGAGGATGCCGAGCACGACGGCGGAGAGCAGGTAGCGCTCGGTGCGGAAGAGCCAGATGGAGAGAACGGCGAAGAGGGTGTACCTGAGCATTTCTGGTCCGTACCCTGTGAGATAACGACACTTGTACAAACCCTGTTTCTTGATCTCCTCGTGCAGTTCTCGGAGGGCGAGTGCATGAGTATGCTGTGCCTTCTGTAGCAAACTGGTTGGACGGGGCTCGAGTGCGTCCAGCGGTGGGCCGGCATCGTCCACCATGTCGGCTTTCTTAATGAGGAGGAACTCGCTCTCCCCCCCGGAAGGTAGTCGAGCGGCCTCGTTGACCCAGGACCATTTCCCGCCTGGAGCGGGCTTGCGCACCCAGCCAGTCTCCAACGGTGGGAGGAGCGGGGTCCACCCTTCTTCCCCATAGTCCACTCTGCCAACAACATAGTTCTTCAGCCTAGAAGCGAGCGTGTAGGGCGAATGAAACCCGTCTATCTCGCCCGTCGCGTCCCTGCCTATGTAGTGCTGAATTGCGAGCCTGCCGCCTGGGTGTTGTGCGAGCCAGGAATCGGGTATGCGTAGGAGGTTACCGTTATATATTACGAGCGTTTGGCCTGATTTTATCGCTTGTGCTACTTGTGTGCGTGTCCATAGACGGTGGTTAGGTGAGGCCATGACTTGAGGAGATGGGAGAGAGGGAAGGGGACAAGAAGAGTGTTGCGGTTCCCTTTCTCGTGTTGTGTTACATATGCAACAAACGTATATAGACCCTTCATGCTTCTCTTCGAAGAATTGAAATTTCTTTTCGAATGCCTTATAAATCTATTTATTTATGAATTACATCTATCAGAGAGAGAGAGCGGACTGCCGTTTATCCTTTTCTCTTTCTCATCATCTCCGCGGTAATGATACGCCCAAATATTGTGCCAACTCTCCCAAATGCACGAGTAATATCTCGTATTGCACTTTTACTTCTCCTCCTCACAGTTATTACATTGCTCTACTACCGCAATCTAAGTGTGTTACCCATTCCTACTTCTAATCAACCAGATCGACACCCAGCAGGATGGGAAGCAGACGACTTATTCCACCCAAAGCATCACACACTCCATGGACATCCCACTCTCTTATTCCAAGGTACGCACCTTCCCACCATAGACCGTCCAACACTCACCCCATTCAGACAACCTCAAGCCTGACAAGCAGTACATCACCGGCTGGCTCTCCTCAGGCTGGACAAACGACGTAATGACATATACGAACCTCCTCTTCCTCTCCCTCCTCACAGAGCGTATCCCCGTCCTAGGCCCATTCGTCCCCTCCCACCTGTCGCCCAGCGCCGGCTACCTCCCTTTTTCCGAAGTGTTCGACCTGCCCTTGCTAGCCCATGAGCTGCATACCCCGATATTGGAGTGGAGTGACGTGAAGCGTGTGGAGGATGATCTGCAGGGAGAGAGGGAGGCAGTGGGCTGCTGGAGCACTTGGGCAGGGTGGGAATGGGGGAATGGGCAAGGCAGGAGCGGCTGGGTACCGGATACGTTCGACTTGGATGTGAGCTATACGCCTGTACCTCGTACGCCTTCCCATTCCCCTCCTGCTGTACTCCAGCTGACAACCCCGAAGCAGAGACGTACGACTCGCACAACCCGCAAGACCCACACGTCTCCCTCGCACGGCTCATGACACTCTCCTTCTCCTCATCTCGCTCTCTCGCCATCGCACGCAGCGTCCCCCTCCCTTCACCCCTACTGGGCGCAACGCTGCCCCCTTCAGACCACCTGCTCTGCTTCGACCTCCTATACTACGCCCGGCTCGTAGAGGGAAAGTTCGAGTGGGAGGAAGACTACTCCCCAGCTTGGAGACTCGTGGGAAGGAAGATGCGCTGGGCACCTTTACTCCTCCAAAAAGCTGAGATATACCTGCGCGAACACTGGCAGATCAAACACTCCGATCCTATCCCCCCCGTACGTCTTCCCTCTGCACCTACACGCCTGCCTGCACCTGAGCTCACTAACACGCAGTATATCTCCGTGCATATGCGCCGTGCGGACTTCAGAGCATACTGTAACGGTACGCTAGAGTGCATGCCCACATTGCACCAACTCGAGCGACGCGTGTCCTCCGTGCGTTCCCAGCTCCTCTTCCTAGGCATCAGCGCGCCCTACGTCCTCCTCACGTCCGACGAGACCGACGCGTCCTGGTGGGCCTCGCTTCCCCCCACCTACGGGCAGATAAATCATACCCTCTACCGCACGGAAGAGAAGTACGGGGAATGGTACCCCTCTGTTCTGGATAGCGTGTTCCTGAGCTTGGGGAGTGGGTTTGTCGGCACCGAGGGGAGTACGATGAGTTTGCTTGCTTATAGGAGAGTGAGGGAGAGGGGAGGTGTGGGTGAGTGGGTGAGGTGGAAAGGCGTGCCAGAGGGGGAACTGTAGTGCTTGAGCGGCGTAGGCGTTTGGGAGAGAGATTTCTTTGGGATTTTGGACTGGAGTTGGATTGCAAATTGGAATGGGTTGGACTTGTTTTGATTTCACTGGATGGATATTATTCCGTTGTATTTGCATGTGTATAACAAACCTCATAACTACTGATTAACTACTGCTAACTAATACTAATACGAATCATTAGCGTTAATGCTCACTGGTTATGAATGTCCCTACTGAAGGAATGCCTCTCATCGCGTCCATCTCCTCGACCATATCATATCATTCATCACACAATGGCTTCATATCCACATACTCGCTCAGCAGCGGCGGCGGCCAAAGAATCATCTACTTTCTGGCCTGAGCTCTACACACCTGTTCTGCTCTACTCTGTACCATGCTCCCAGGATTCTCGATCACGCCCTATAGACGCGTCCTCCTCCCGCTCGTCGTCCTCCTCTGGCTTGGATACCTTTTCTTTAGTTGGCAATGGAGATGGACTGGGGATATGAAGGCGTATGTAGCCAGGATGAGGCCTCGGCTCCCACGTCTTCCCACCTCAGAACCAGATGGGCCGGAACTGGGAGTGGGAGTGCAAATGGACGTCCAATTCCCAGCCCAACCGCAAGTACAAGCCAGACCTTTCACACTCCCCACAAGACTCTCCAGACCGGTAGACGTCCACGCCGCACTCACTTCCCCCGGGCGGTGGATCGAAGGACTCCCATTTACAGCTCCTGTAGAGGAAGTGTGGCGTACTTCAGGGCTGGCACTCATGAGGCTAGGATCGCATTTGTCCCCAGTGGAGTTTGGTGCTGATGCTGATGCTGGTGCCGGTGCTGGTGTTGCTGCTGAGATTGGGCTGCTAGGGCCTGCGGATCAAGAGAACGGAAATGGGAATGGGACGATCAGCTTGCAGGGCCAGGTAACGCAGCCCGCGGTTCTCAGGTTGCCCCAAGGGCTCGAATGGGAGTTCGCAGTCATTGCCCAGGGAAGAGAGAGAAAGCGAGGTGACATGCAGCTCATAGGTGGCAAAGTGCCCATCGAGCAGGTGCTCATCGCGTACGCCCTCTATTCCCTTCAGTTCCCTTTCACTGCCTCTACTGACCTTGGGCAAAGGTTCGGCGCCAACCTCACCCACTCGCGCTCCCTCGCCCGCGTTTCTGCAACTTCTGTTCTCTCTCTCCCTGGTGCCCCTTCCCCACAATGTAAAGGCGGCTCTGCGCACATGTTTGGACCTTCTGACCCCCAGGTCTTCTGGTCCGACAGTGGGCTGCCGCAGCTTGTCTACCTGGGCATGTCCGCTGCTGAGGGGAGGTGTAGGGCTCCCCTGCTGGTGAGGGACTTGAGGGATGTGTGGGCCGAGCTGGGGAGGGTAATGAGAGGCGAGAGGAGGGGAGTGTTGAGCGCTGCTAAAGCGACAGCGAAAGGCAGGAGCAAGAGCAAGCCTGCAGGAAAGGAGACTGTCGAATTAGAGAGGTCGAAACAACGGACTACGTGAGCCTTTTTCGTTCAGCTTAAGGACATCCGTAACCTCAGAAACAGCGAAACAGGCTGGATGCCATTCTTCCCCGGGGCACTTGTCAACCACTCCCAAACCGCCCATTTCCAGTACACGCTAGACCACCCCGCGCTGCGAGAGTCCTCTTCCCAACCGGAGGCACACAAGCTCGTGTTCGAGTCTTTCTCCCCTCCGGCAGGGGAGACGAGTCCCAGCAAAGGCAAAGGGAAACCCGTATCACTCCGGGCCTGTATTTCCCGTTTTCACTCAACGCTCCCCCCTCGCTCCCTCCAGCCCGCTCTCCCACTCCAGCGACTCACCCTCTGCGCCCGAGGCACCTGCACTCCAGACCCGGGCAATACCCTCCACCTCTCTCTTGTCCATATCAAGAAAGGCAAAGGGCAGGGCAAGGGCCAGGGACAGGAATGGGGCAGGCTCTTTACGGGCTGGAACGTCACTACTGGGGAGATGGTGAGTGTTGGACCGGAATTCAGGTTTGGTGAGCTACAGTTCCAGTTCTATCGTTTGTGGGGGGTTGAGGCTCATCCTTGGCAGCGGGGACAGACGACAGCAAGCCTGTTTACGCACGGTCGATGGCTTTCCTCCCCTCCTCACCCGGGCTTGAGAAAGCGCTCCAGCCCGTGCTTGGACTGAGTCATGGGTTTCTCGATGATGACGCCCTGTTTGGACTGGGCATCGCGGATAAGCTTATGAGCACTATCGTTGTCCCTGTGAAGGATTTGCTTTCGGGGAGCAGGTTGTGCGAGGGGGTGTAAGATGGTGTTTGGATAGATGATACCTGTACTGGCGAATGATACCTCGCGACTTGTAGTTGCACACCTTGGTGCAAGACGTCCCACGGCCAGACGGTGCGATATAATATGTAGAAACGTATGTACATATTAGCTACGTAGTGTGAACGGGCTACCGAGAGACATAACGGAGCGATTAGTCATTTACCGCTTCTCATTCATCGCCCTCAAAGTCATTCGCAGTGGTGGGAGAATAGTCCATATCCCTTTCGTCCTTATACCACAGCCTAGCCCATTCAAGGCACAACCGATAGGTATACACTGGAACGCATCAGCATATCGCCTCAGAACAAAGACTGCCCCACCTTCCATATCGACGATCCGCGCGTGCTCGCGCTTCCATCTTCTGCCAGCGTCAGCGATAGACTTGAGAGCGGCGTCCCCGGAATAGTCGTATACTTCACCGGGCTGCAAAGGCCATGTGGGCATAGCGGGTTCGAGCATGTATGGGGGGACACCGACGAAGTACGCCCAGATATTGCTGATATCAAATGAACTCATGAACGAGGGAGTAAAAAAGGACTCACAAGATCTCCTCGAACGTAGAACTGAGGGGGATGAAGTGCACCCATGGCTGAATCCAGTCATCGAAAAACTAGATTGTGTCAATTGAGGTGCATTGGGAAATGAGACACACTAATGGACCTCGGCATAAATAGTCGACTTGACTAGAGCACTCTTACTGGCCAGAAGAGCTAGTGAACGAGCAGAGTAGCCCATGCCATCGAGATCCAGCAGGATCTTAGACTTATCTACATGGAGATTAGTAGCACCCACTAATGAAGTTGACATAGACTAACACGCTGCATGTAACGGGACCGCGTCCACAAACTTATAATCTTCCATCATCCCCTCGCATCCGCCCGGTTCGTAAGGCGCACATTGAACAGCCATTGTAAATCCGACGTCCATCGCAGTTGTGCGTAGCGTGTTAACGTCGATGCGGGACTCAGTCCAGGTTTCTGGCATTCGCTGGCCCGTGCGGTGGAGGATAAGTTGAGAAGACGGGTTATCCTGAACCGCTAATTGCACGAGTCTTCTCATCATTCAGTATGATGACTTCACTGAAATGGAAAAATATATACCGATGACGAACGTAGTATGGGTACCTCCCGCTGGGTATGGAACCGCCTCCAGTGGTAGCTCCGCGCCAGAACATGGTTCTGCTATGGAATCAGCACATTTAACGAGATGAGGAATAGGATAACTCACCCGGTCTTGTCATCCCAGTCAGGATCGTTCGGATCATCATCTTGACCGTACCCTCTATGTCCACAAAGTGAGGAATAGTACAAACATACCCTGAGGACTTACAGAATCTCATCGAAACCGTAAGCTATCAGCTTTCATCAGTCCCCTGCGAATTCCAGGCTTTATGGGAGACGTACTGTACTTTGAAAGAGGGACGATATAGTAGTATGACCTGATTTGGAAAATATGTCAACATCCGGTCAATTGGCAGCTCCTGCAAGACGTACGGGATGCGGATATTCATAGATCCTGGAGCCTTCCCAGGCCCGAACACCGGAAAGGTCTCATTGAATATCCTGAAGACAAAGCGTCAGCAGCCGATGTATCTGCTACCGAAGTGAAACTCACGACCAGCCGGCATAAAAGTGCCCGAATTGGTCTAGCAGATCTGGTTCAGTTCCAAACTCGGAGAAGTCAACAGACTGCGCACAGAATTTTTCCGGGTGTTTACAAAAATCGAGATCTTTCTCGGTTCTTTCTCGAAAGTTAGAAAATGCGTTCCCAGTTTCTGTTGATATAGCGTCGAAATTTGTTGGAGGGAGGATGGATGTTGCATTAGGGAAGTTGAACTCATGAGGCCTCCGACGGACAGGGTCGGCAGGATGACACGTGTTGGTGTATTTGTACCATAGCTAACAATTGGGATTAGACTTCTCCAAGTATACTAGGGAAGAGAGCCAGCCTACAGGGAAGTTGTTGCTTTGGGTCACGTAGTCACTGGCGTCTTCTAACACTGCGCTGAAGTTATGGGGCTGAGAGACTTCCCACGTAGGGTAAACGGTCGGCTTAACGAGATTGTCAGGACAGGATACTCTTGATCGGAAAGCGTGTACTCACCTCCGCCAGGCCGGAAATGGCAAACATCATATCCGGAAGCTCGCTCATAAATCCCTGCACGCTCTGCAGGAACCCCTGGGCTCTCCCTATATCACCCTTCTTCACCCCACCTGGCCTGATCTCGTCCGTGACAGTGGCCCATCCATCCTCGATCTTCACGCCAAACGTAGTATCTTGAAGTGCAGCGGATTGAGTCCGGTGTTGGAGCTCCTGGGAGGAGAGTCGGCGGAATGGTGCGAGGTCGAGGTGAATCGCGTCGAACTCATCAATGAGTTTGAAGTCGCTTCCCCGAGCGAAATCGAACCACTTATCGAAACCCTATTTATTGTTCAACGCATATATGACGTTAGTTTAGTGACATGCTCTGCAAATAACATAGGTGTGAACACATACATTTGGTGGTTCCAATCCGTACCGTCGTCTGTACTCAGCGACAGCCTGATCTAGCGTCTGGCTCTGTCGCGCAAGTTTCTCTTCCCACTTGCGTCTCCCTTCTTCGATCAAAATTCCTATGCCATGCTTTGGGCGGAACGAAAAGCCACCTGAGAGGGGAAACGCCTGCTCCAGATTGTGGTGGTCAGCTAACTCACCCCACCAAGCCAAAGCACGTACATACCGATAAGCTTCCTAGACGTGCTTGATACTCTATCTCGACGCGGTCGATAAACTCCTGAGTCTCAGCTGGGAAAATATGATAGGTTCCAAGTCCAATGAATAAGCTGACACACAGGATGACAAGGGCAATGCGTCGATAGAGCTTGTGTTTCAAGGTCCAGTATGAAGGGAAAAAAAGGGCCTGGAGGAGATTAAGTGAAGAACTAAAAATCATTGTGCTACATACAAAATCCAGATGTAGAACCATCGTTTTCGCCTCTGACGCTCCATTGGTTGGTCGGACGACCGCAGCGCGAGAAGTCGACTCAACATATTTCTGGTCTTGACCAGGCTGCGGTCTGATGGACGTGCTGGGATGCGTGAAATAGAGGGCTTGTGTTTGTTGTGGTGGAATGAGGCAGAATCATCCACTATTCTATACCTCCCATGATTCCTGAACTTGGTGGGATCGTCGACAGTACGTCGAATAGGAGAGAGGCGTCTGCAAGGATCGGCAGCCGCTCGAGCCGAAAGGGTCCACACCGGCCGAGAGGGGCGGACCGCTTTCTCACCCATTCCACCGTTTGTATGACAACGTATACTCCCCAAGTAGAGCGTATGCAGTAACACCACAAGGCTCAGCTCAAGCGTCATTTGTTTGTGCCATAAACCAATACCAGCCGAGAAAATCCATGGATGGAGGTGACAAGTACGCGTTACGTCCTGTGAGCATAATCAGATATCTTGATGGATTATGGATTCCAGCGACATGTTCGCTATTGCCGCGTTTGGTAAGAATAAGACGGCTTGAAGAGAGTTGGTTGTGAAGAGGCACATCAACCGCTCCCTCGGGAGCCGAACAGAATGCGAGATTGGCGTTCATGAGATGACGGCTCCAACAGTGCAGTAATAAAGAGCAAATCAGCATGCACCTGAATCGGGTTTGATACATGATTGGATGATAAGGGGATGATTCAAGATGGTAAGCCATGCAAAAAAAGTCTTTGAAGGGATGCAATTCTTTGATCACGTGGTGACGCGTTCAACCTGTCACGGGCCTTGGATTGGTCATCAGCTATGACCAAGGCAAAGTATTCCTGTTCCTCCTTCGTTCAACATGGATAAACGTCACATTTAGATACTTCATACGTTTGTGCATGCTTGAGTACCTTGTTTGGCTTCTCTATTCTTCTTCGATGCCCATCGGTGGGGGCTCCCGAATACCACAAACCAAGGGCTCTCTGAGGTTATCTCTTGAGTAAGAACGACGTCAAATTAACAAAACACATTCCGGCTTTACTAATACCTGTCCCCGTATTTCTGATAAAAATACTTCCAGGCTTTATGCAGTTGCACGGTGAAAACTTACTTCAAGTAGAAACCTAGCGCAGAATGACGGTCGTGCATTCCGCGGTATAGCGGAACTCCCAAATCGGAAAATAGGGAACTCACGATGACCTCACCATTCCGCACCACAGCCTCCTATAAAGTCTGTCCTACCCTCGACGTTCTCTCGACCCATTCCCCAATACTTTGTTCCTGCAACACGGAGGACGTTCAGACGATGCACACCAGTGAACACGGGCTCACGGGAAAACGTCTTGGCCCTTGGAAGGCTGCGCCATGTGGTTCGGAAACGGACTGCTTCCGAGGATGTCCCTTACAACCACCGTTTTCAAGTTTGCTGCGTTAACAACCAGTCCGCCTACACCAGAAGACGACAGCTCTACGACACCGGCAATAAGGCAATAAACTGTCGGGATATTCACTCAGTTTGCTATATCTGCTCTGTGATATTCATGTGTCCTTGGTCTGTCACGTCGCAATCTCGTCTCAGCCAATATAATGGCCACTTTTCAAATTCCGCCGATCCAGGACACAAGCATGTCGCCTTCTCACTCGAATGACGAAGCGGAAAGCACCGCTGGGTCTACTACACACAATCAGAGGCTGAAACGCTCCAAGCGGGGGAAGTATGTGTCTAAGGCTTGGTGAGTGGCTGTCTATGCCTACTATGTTGTGTTTGGCGGTTGGCTGACACTACGATAGTCTGGAGTGCAGGAGGCGAAAACTCAAGGTCAGCGTCATTTCCAGAGGCACCAGCACGACACACTGACGGCTCTTGTTTATATTTCAGTGCTCCGGAGAAGAGCCCTGTCAGCGTTGCATTCGCTATGGCAAAGAATGCTGCTTTTCAGAAGATCACGCCGCCGCCGAGATACTGCGAAGCATGAATCGTATCGGTCGTCCGAGGATGTATGGTTACCCTCCCACTTCGGGCACACCTTCCCAAGCTGGTCCGTCGGCTTCCGCTGGTCCGAGTGGGTCATCAGGAATGACGGGGGCGGCAACTGTCGCGTTGGGCTCGCAGACGATGGGTATAATGCAAGGGGGAAATGGTTTGACCCTGGAGGAGAGAATGGAACGGCTCGAAGCTAAAGTGGAAGCCCTCGCTGCCAGTAGACTGGCAGAGCAGAATGGGCCAGATGCGAGCGGATTCCAGGGTACGCAGCCAACCTTTCCAAGATATATGCACCATGCTAACGTGTGTGCACACAAAGGTGACACGGCGTTTGAAGCCGCTGGAAACGCGCTCAAAGCGAACTTGACTTCCGTGAAGCGTCAACTAGGTATCTCCCTCAGTCCGAGCACCGCACCCATTTCGTCCATCACTTCCAGCGGCGTTGATCCCTCACCCACCGGCTCGACCTCAGCAGCCGATTATACATACATTAAGCGCGTCGAGTCGCAGTCAATGCCGTTCCCCAACGCGGGTGAATATGCGCGATACATCGACTTCTTCTTCGAGGACATCAACCCGTTCCATTCGTGTGTGTCGGAACCCGAATTCCGCGCACGAAGCGAACGGTTCCTGACTCGTCACGATGTCGACCCCGCGGATATGCCCTTTTTCGCTCTCAACTATATCATCTTCTCGTGCGTGGATATATTGCAGGATGTGAGCTGTGAAAATCAGAGCAAAGGGCAACTACCTGGATGGCAGTGGTTTCTTACAGCAGATGACCTCGTGGGAAAGAGGCAGGTCACCGGGCGAGGCGACTTGGCTTTACTCCAATTCACTGTCTACGAAGTTAGTTGATTCTCCTTTGGTGAACATTTCAGTTCTGACCTTTCCTTTAGGCATTCTACCTCATGCATGCGGACAAATGGAATGCAGCATACAATATCTCCGGCCTTGCCTGCCGGCTCTGCTTCCAAAATGGGTTACACCAACAATCGCGCTATGGTCCCGATTGCACGCCCTTCTATGTCCATTTACGCCAGCGCATTCTCTGGACAGCTTATTACCTTGACCGCCGGATCTCCCTCAGCTGTGGGCGGCCGTATGCGATGCGTGATCTGGATCTCGATGTAAATCTGCCGGACTGGCTTGACGACAAACTTATCATACCTGGGCGGCCTGTCCCTCCCCCTGCCCCAGAGAAATCGGCCAACGTTTACTTATCTGCTATGGTCGCCTATGCGAGGCTGACGGGTGATGTGTGGGATGAACTGTTTTCCGCCAGAGGGGCCAAAGAAAGCACTCCTGAGACTATCCTCGTGCTCGATAACAGGATCAAGCAATGGTACGAGAACATGCTCCCAACTTTTCCGCTCATCCCCAGGATGGGTGAACCTACTAGACGGCATCTGAGACAAGAGCTGCTGATCACCACTGTACGTGTATTTCACTGATTTTAGACGTCTGGTGATTGATCCTGATCTCAGCGCTTCAACTACCTTCGACTTCTTCTGCGACGCCGTACGTTAATCGCAATGAACTACGACCGCGCAACTGGGCAAATCTGTGGTGATCTAAATGTCGATACGGTCAATCGCCTTCAAGCCTTCGTCGACGAGCTTTCTTCCCCCAGTTCTTTCCGATACCACATGGCTACCACCCTCGGCGGGGCGATCCTCTTCCTGGCTACCCTTCTTGCGCGTTACCTCTCGCAGATCGGGTTACAGGACATGCAGCCCATCTACGCGGAGTCTTTCAAGACTGCTGTGCAGATGCTGCGAGACCTTGCGGAACACCTCGAATCTGCCCGTCGTATTTTGCATAATCTGCAGGACATCATCCATGTGATCGAGACGCTGCTTAGCAAGTCTGGGTTACAGGGCCAGGAGGAGTACGCAAACTTTGTTCCGACAAACTTGGACAGTCTATTCGCCTACGGCATGTTGGACTTTCCAGCGCAGATCACTGATGGACCCGGAGGGGACTTGTTCCCGTCTGATGCTATCAATTCACTGGACTGGGTATAATTGATGGACAAAAGGCTTCTACCTGCCCTACATACCCGTTGCAGTTGGGCTGGGGATGAGAAGACAAAAACATTGAAATTGCTCAGATCGACGTATTCTTCTACTGGCAATTCATCCAGAACGCGGGATCCAAGGCTGGCCTCTGTAAGCCTGTTGTAGCGAGATTGTCACACGATCACTGTAGGCTGGCGTGGCTAATCCGAAATACCTGATTGAAACGGACAATCTGAACCAGATCTTCGAGTTCAGTGTAGTATGTACAATGCGTAATCAACACCCTTAGCCATGCGAATGTTCAACAGCGAGCGGCCATTCGGGCCTGGATGGTCACATTCATCTGTAAAAATATGCGGGCATAGACGGCCGTATTATTGTGCTCGTCTATGCAGGTATCTATCTAGCATCTAACCATCTAAGAGGCTTAACATCTGCGTATAATGCCAACTATGATCACTGCCATAAGCACGCCCACCATCGCTCGGGATCCATCGCTTGTTTCAAGTAGAAGAGCATCATGCTGCCCCCTTTCGTCAGCTTATCTGCTTATCCAAAGCGAAGTAGGGCACTGACTCGCCAAAAAACCACGTCACCGGCCCAGGAGGGAAATGTTGTCTCGTGTCGTAGAAGCTGTCCCAATCCCACATCAGCATCCATTTCACAAACAAATCTGAACGCTCACTCAGTGTAGCCCTCCAGCCTTTCACCCCACTCCAACACTTTCAGGCCCATCGTTTCGCTGACCGCCCGCCAGCCCTGGTCGAGTTGCGTGATCCTGAGCATCAGACCGCGGTAGTTAGAAGCTCGGATATGTCGTGCGCGGTACATGAGCGGGAGGAAGGTGCCATAGAGGGCCCGCAAGCGGCGTACGAGCGCGGCGCTGTGTGTTTGGTGGTAGCGGACCTAAGCGATGGGTCAGAGTGTGCGTTAAAGAACGGAAACGAGATGTACTTCTTGGTAGGTCAAGCCTTGATCTTGCTTACGCGTAAGGTTGAATTGGCGATCATACTCGTTTCCGTTAGACTTCTTTGTGAAACTCAAAGAAAAGAAACGCACCTGATCGAAGAGATGGTCCGAGTCCCAGTACAAGCTATTGACGATACCAAGATCCGGCGTAAACTCCCTCAATCCTTCCTTCTCCATCCGTGGGAGAAAGATTTCATCAATCCGGTGGTCGAACGTCTTCGGTTCTTTCTCGTTATCGACGTACCACGGATACTCGGAGTCGACAATGCCGAAGCTATGCTGTATCAGCTCCCACGATATGGGGTATGGGGAAGGGAGGACGTACAGGAACCACCACACGATAGTTAGGTCAATGCTTTCCACTCTACACCAGCCGCCCGTATGCCCGCCCCAGTTCTTAATCGTGCCCTTCATAATCTTGCAAAAATTGACGATATTGTTCCTGTCATGACTATCCCCCAGACCTGTTAGACCGTTACTTGTGCATAGAGTGTCGAAACACAAACCTATCGCCAAGGATGAGGATATTTCTTCCTCTTGCCCACTCTCCTCCTCCTTCCACCATCTCCCACATGAACCTGTCTGCAGCACCCAGTTCCATCATCTCCGGCTCTGTGAGTCCCTCCCAGTCTCGTTCTAGCTCGGTGATCTTCGCCATCTTCTCACTGTCGCTATAGGTTTCCAGATCGCGGGGAAACGGTACCCATCGGGTTTGGTTAGCCGCATTTCCCCAGTAAATCATTCCTGGAGCGTGGAAAGGGTCGAACGGACATTGTCGCTGCTCATCCACCACAGACGACCAGTGAGAGGACAAGGAGAGGCGTAAGTCCTGCGTGAGTTCGGAGAGACGCGAGAGGTGGGCGGAGATGTGCGGGCTGAGAGTGGCCCGTTGAAAGTACAGTACGGTAGTGATGCTTAGGAGGGTGAGGGCGGCGAGGAGGACGGCTGGCCGTACAGGGAATTTTGGACAGGTGGGGAACATGATGGCTGGCGAAAAGATAGTACGGTGAGGCAATGAGGTCCATTTCACTCATAAGTTTTCGAATAAGATTGAATAGAATAATTGATGAAGTTCAATGGTTGAAGGCTATGGCAGAGATATATCACTTGGTCATGAACTGAAATGTTAATTCAACTTCAGGGCACGTGACCGGTGACACTGCATCGGTCTTCTTTCCACGCAGTCTCTTGCACTGGTATAATATGCATGTCTATTAGAAATGACAGGAACACGATTCAAACAGATGATGTACCAAATATCACAAGTCTATATTTCCCGAGCTCACTCGTCGTCCCCATGCTCGTGCTCTAGGACGAAGTCCATCTCCATCTCGTCCTTGTACCACAGTCTTGCCCACTCTAGGCAGAGCCTATACGTGTACACTATCCCTCTCATTAGTATTTTGCGAGAGTTGGGGGGGAGAAAATGATGAGAAGGGACGCACCTTCCATATCGACGATCCGCGCGTGTTCGCGCTTCCATTTCCGGCCAGCATCGGCAACGCCCTTCAGCAACACGTCCCCCTTGGTGTCGTATACATCCCCTGGCTTGGGAAGGGTGCTAGGCAGCGTGGGGTCCAACACAAAATCGGGAACTCCGATGAAGAACGCCCAGATATTGCTATACTCGGGTTAGAGAGGTTGTGGGAATGAGCAGACCCAGGATGGAACGTACAACAGCTCAGTAAAGTTCGAGCTTAAGGGAATATAATGCACCCAAGGCTGGAGCCAGTCTTCAAAGAACTCGCGATAGATGGTGGACTTGACCAAGGCGCTCTTGCTCGCTAGCAGTGCCATGGAACGCGCCGAGTAACCCATACCGTCCAGGTCCAGGAGGATCTTAGATTTGTCTGTGTACAAGTTTACCAGAATCCAAGAAAAAAAGGTAACGGACGCACAGGCTTCGTAAAGCGGCACCTTCTCAACAAACCTGTAGTCGCGCATCATCCCGTCACACCCGCCGGGCTTGTACGGCGCGCACTGGACCGCTTTGGTGAATGCCGCATCGAGAGCGACGGTGCGCAAGGTATTGACGTCGATAGGAGTTTGGGTCCACGAAGAAGTGAGGCCGTTAGATGCTCGGTGCAGGATCGGTTGGGAGGTGGGATTGTCTTGTCCTGCAAGCTGAATGAGTCTGTTTACAACGTTAATACAGCTCCGGGGGGGGGATAGGACAAAGATAGACCTGTGCCGCACGTAGTGCGAGTACCTCCCACTGGGGGATGAACCCCCTCCAGTAGTAGCACCTCTCCAAAACATGTTTCTAATGTTCTGTTAGGAGATTCTAGTCAGATGGAGGAAGTATAGCTCACCCAGTCTTGTCCTCCCAGTCAGGATCATTGGGGTCGTCGTCTTGCCCGTGTCCGCTGCACATTGTGTGAGCATCGAATCATCACTACTCTCCAAGAGATCTCACATATCCGCACTAAAGCCATACGCTACGTGCAGCTGTGAGGTAAGGGACAACGCCGAGTAAGGTAGGACTCACTATACTTCGGTAAAGGCACGATATAATAATACGACCTTATCTCAGGTTAACCCCCGGTAGAAAATAAGATGGCTCATGGAACTCACGGGATACGGATGTCCATCGACTGCGGTGCTTTACCTGGGCCGAACACGGGATACGTCTCGTTGAACATCCTTGCCCTTGGTCAGCATCCCCAGTAGCAGGAGTAGAAGGACCAGCTTACGGCCATCCAGCATAGAAATGGCCGAATTTATCTGTTGTCCACCATCCTCTTTTCAGCAAGCCTTCACAAGTCAACAAAAAACTCACAGAACTCCTCTGGATTTTTGCAGAAATCCAAATTCGCTTCGCTGGCTTTCAAGAACGCCGTAAACGGATTCCCGCCCTCCCCGCGCTCTGCAGCCGCAGATAGAGCGTCGAAGTCCGTCGGAGGGAGGATAGCTGTCGCAGGCGGGAATTGCCAGTCATTGGGTCGGGCGCGGACAGGATCGAGCGGATGACAGGTGTTGGTGTATTTGTACCACAACTGAGTAGGGGAAGGGGTTAGCTTGCGTTTGACGAAGATTAAGGACACGCACGGGGAAGTCGTTGCTCTTGCTAATGTAGTCTTGGGCATCGCCCAGGCTCGTGGTAGCGTTATGTGGCTGGGAGACCTCCCAAGTGGGGTAGACGCTTGACTACGTCGACCCATCAGCAATCACCTCCAGTTTCAGCAGAAATACATGCGCACCTCTGCCAACCCCGAAACAGCAAACACCATATCCGGCAACTCCTCCACAAAGCCTTCTAAGCTCTGAACGAACCCCTTCGCACGCCCCATATCGCCTTTCTTCTTCCCCCCTGTGCGCACCTCGTTTCCCGCACGTGCAAGCCCATCCTTGATCGTGACAGAAAACATCGTTTCCTGCTTGGTCGCTGAGCGGGTGCGAGACTGGATCTCGAACGAGGAGAGGGCGCGAAACGGGGTGAGGTCGGTGTGGATGGCGTCGAATTCGTCTAACAGTTGAAAGCCATTTCTCTGGGCAAAGGCGAACCATTTATCGAAACCCTGTCAGATACAGGTCAGATCGCATTCAATATTCCGGACGTGGTCAACGAGAGGAAACAAGGACACACCTTAGGAGGTTGCATTCCGTATCTGTGCCTGTACTCCCTCACTGCCTGCTCGAGCGTCTTGCTCTGCCGACGCAGCTTCTCCTCCCATTTTCGGCTCGCTTCGTCCATAAGCTTCTCTATTGGGTGCTTAGGGCGAACAGAAAATGCTGCGGGGAGGGGGATGGACTGCTCGTGAATAAACTCTTAGCAAAGCTGATTGTACAATGAGAGGGAAAGACGAACAGGTAAGCTTGGCAAACGCGCCGCATACTCGACCTCGACGCGGTCAAGGAACTCCTGCGTCTCACTGGGAAAGGCGCGGTACGCCGCCAAAGCCAGAAGAACGAGGATACATAGAGCGTTTATGAGAGCGCGTCGATAGCGTCTATTCTTGAGGATAAAGTAGAAGGGGATGAGGTTGAGCCTGTGAATGGATCAGCTGGTGGACCCGAATGGCGAGAGCGGGGACGTACAAGAGCCAGACGGAGAATCTACGGTTACGTTTTTCTGTGAGCAGAATGGGCTCCGAAGAGCGAGAGGCGTAACGGCGACTGAAGAACATCGTTCTGTACTGCACAAGAGGCCTAGGGTGGGTGTCCTGCTGCGCCGCGGTAGAGCTGCCTGTGTCGGTCTCTGATTGTCGAGCAGAGAGGTAAATGGGTATGCACAGGGGGTTGCTCCCACAATACACACGTAAAGAGCTTATGTCGACAGTTACGTTCTATATTTGTTGTATTTGTTAAATCGGTAGACGAATTCAGGCAAGGTTCCACGATCCCAGTAGTCCGCAGCAGGAGGCGGGTAGATCGCCGGTTTCCCATGAAAGTAATTTGATGGCGATTCCATATTTTTCCTGCCCAAGGAGCGAATAGCCAATCCATCGTGTCATTGGTGAATGAAGGTTGTGAGGTAATTTGGGATGGTCGAGGAATGTGAGGGATTCCCTTCATTAGAACGCGAACCCTTGAAGGCTCATTTATGGCGCGTCGACGCGTCGTATTCGGCCGAAGACGCGACACGGTCGTACTGGGATGTGCACTTGCTCTCCTTTCTACAGATAATCTTATCGTGCTAGCAGCTGACATGAATAGTAGAAGATGACAGCTTGAAAATCGAGCCTGCAATATGGCTGCTCAGCGTCTTCCTCACAATTGATGTCAGAGGGAGGTAGGACTGGGTGTTCGTGAGAATATTTCTCTGACGAGTAGTCTCGCTCTCGCAACCGCAATATTCCTATATTATCCTCCGAGTAGTCGAGAATGGGCGATGCTTGGCAGAGGACTTTGGTATCAACCCAGGCAAAGGAACTGATCGTCTATATATGTAATGCAAAACCTCTTTATTTGGAAGAATGATATATTCATTTAAGTATCCTCGTTCCCATTCAGCCGCGACTCGGTGCCGTCATCTGCCGGTCTCCATCTCAATCCAATTCAGAACAGTCCCGCGCTTCGGTAAACGTGAAAAGAAGCCCAGTGCGGTGGATGCAAAATTCTTGGCAGCTTCTTTTCTTCTGATTGACGGGGACTTTAACTTTCAGGGTCAGCGATATTACTCAATGTTCAACCACCACCACTAAGCGGCACCTTGATTAACTGTTTACGTTCTTTGATGAATTATGGTAGTCTATCGAATGCCAAGAATACGTGTCGATGCCTCCTACGAGGGGACTCGTGGAGCTGGATACTGATGTACTTGCTCTTGGTTCGAACACTTGGATAGGAAGCAACCAATCATAAGATATCCTATGATGTGAACACCAACTGCACGTGATCCTTTCTGGATGTTATGTTCTTCTACGTCAACAGCTCGGTTGTGGAAGGTTATTACTGCAGGGCATAGGCTTCTTCCTTGCCGCCGGCTATCTCGCAGCCTGTCAAAGCTCCATCTTTGAGGAAGGGGCATTCCATTTACCGAACAATGACCTGATAAATCTTGGAGAGCGAGATATCTCGTTCTAGGTGTTTTCAGGAGATTGATCCGCTCTGGAACTGCTGCTCGTTGAAAGCGTGTTTACGGTGGATGGTGCTCAGGTCACTATACGCCACATCGATCGGCGTCATGAAGAGCGTATTGACACCACTATATTACAGCAATAACGGCAGAGAGGCGGAACTCAAGACGCGCCTATATCCATTATCCTTGATCCTCGTCGCGTCGATGTCCTCCACCCCCTCATTACGAAGACGCAACGGCGTACTAGCCCTATCCGCAGCTGCCCTTGTGACCACCTTCCTCCTATACCTCCTCTTTCATGACTCGCCTCTGTATCCGCTTGACAAGGTCGACCTCACACTTCGCTTTCCTACGCTTTCCTCCGCTTTTCGCTCCTCTTCAACGCTCCCATGGACGCGCCCAATCTTGCCAGACTACTGCTCTCCCGGATCTCCAGAAGATTTCTGGAGCACAAGGTATACAGAGGAGAACTTGAGCATGGCGCGCTCGTATAGTGGGAGCGGGACAAGGTTTAGACACCTGGTGGAGAAGGCGATGCGAGGTGAGCCGGTGAAGATGGGTGTGATTGGCGGGTCTGGTACGTCTTTCTCCCCGTGAAAGCCACAGTGTTACTCACGGGCTTCCTTGCGGCAGTATCAAGAGGTCGCAATTCTGGGACACTTGGCCCTTATCATCAACGAATATTCCGTTTTTGGAACACAACTTTCTTCCCTCATCCAGAGAATTGGCTGGCAGATGGCTCCCGTCCCGCCACGGGCAGCAGCTATTTTAGCATGTGCTGGGGTGAACATATCCCCCAAGATGTGGAGCTAGTGTTTGTCGAGCTCTCGATCAACGATTACAGGTACGTGATCTTTAATCCACCAACCGGATGAGTTAATCAAACGACGTGGACCAACAGGACCACAGAAGCAGCAAGCATCTGGGAAACCCTCGTCCGTTCGTTACTCGAGCTTCCTACAAAACCCACTGTCATCGCAATCAACTCATTCGCACTACACGGGCGTAATGGGTAAGCCGTCTTTGATGTATTCCATCGCCTCTAAATAGATACAGGCTTGGCGCGGGAGGAGACGCCCACCTTGGTGTCGCACAGTATTACGATATCCCTGTGATCAGGCGCGCGTCCTCTTTCGCCAATTCAATATCCCCTGCTTATAACCCACAGCATCCGAAATCCCACCCTTCCGTACCTACTCGCCAATCCAGCACTGGAGGCTAGCTTGTTCGGTAGCGAAAATGGGATCGACCCCAAGCACATCAACGATGTGGGGCACCAGATGGTGGCGGATTTCACAACACATTGGATGAGGGACGAGATCTGTAGGGTCATGTCGGAGAGGGTAACTGAATTCTACTTGTACGAGCGCATGCGGCTGAGAACTATGCGGCAGGATGTTCCTCCAGGCAGCGTAAGGAAAGTTGAAGACAATTGGTGGACAGAACCCATTGATCTTGGTGCGGTTCCTCATGTGCGTTTCCAAGCAGGCCGCCTAGTTGTGAATCTCTGATCCTTCCTCAGCTGCGAATGACAGAACAGTGGCGGAAAGTGAACGACACAATCCCGTCCCTTCATCCAACATGCAAGAGCACGAGTTCTCGACCTCCCCTGCAGCCGTCTAAAGGGGAGGAATGGTACTTTGAAGAAGCGCCCGGTGACAAATTCTACTGGAGTGCGAGCAAGCCCGGGGCAAAGATCACGTTCGGGTTGGATATTGCGGAGGGAAGAGTTGGGATGTTCTTTCTCAGGAGTAGGAAACAGTGGCTGGGGAACGTCAAGTGTTGGCTCGACGACAACGTGAAAGCTAGCAAGCTTGTAGAAGGGTGGTGGAATAAAGACGAGTATGAATTCCTACCACTTCTTCGCACTCGATGATTGACTGGTACTCTCCAGGAGCGTCAGCGACTATGTGGCGTTGTGGAGCAATGTTGCTTCGGGCAAACACAATTTGACGTGCGAAGTCCAAACCACGACCAAAGATCCAGGTGGTGGTCACGCTTTCAAGATTATCGGGCTCGCGACTGTGTAGCCACTTCCTCCCATTGCGTTTACCCTGATAGAGTTTACGAGTCTGCAGATGTATACATGTGGAATTCACTGCTATCTACCTGTAAGAATATGAAAAGATGCCTAACCTGCGCTAATAATAGAGATGGATAGGTTTCATGCGGTTTGAGACACGACATCCCGTGGTATCCTCTCGGCACAACTTGACCGAAATAAGGGCTGCTGGGCTAGCCTCCCACGGAAGATTTTAGAATGTGAGCTGCCGGCATCTCTGTGTTTTACTTGGTGGTGGTCTTACCTGCATTCTTATCGATCCTTGAGAGACAAAGTGATCGACGAGTGTAAATGGGGTCTATACAATACATTTTCATTCACAAGGCATTACAAACGAAAGTTTATTAGTAGATGCTCAGGCAGCACTTGCCAATGCAAAAGAAGAATCCACGTCCTTGAAGTGAATACATCATATATCCCCCCTGGCCATAAATGTCCGAAAAAAGAGATATGGAGAAAGGAGTATCTAGAGAGCGGCGCGGCTCTGGTTTTGACGACGAGCGCGCTTCGTCTGTGTGAGGAGCCCCGGAATGCGTTCGCACGAGGTTCCGCTGGCGTCTGGCTTGAACCCACGGGTGCACGAGTCTACGACGCATTCCCCAGCGACGCACTGTACAGAGGAGACGCCAGAGATGGCCGTGCAGTCCACCCCAGTGCCCTCGTTATCGTACCCCACGCAGCCTCCGCATGACTCAAGGTCGTTCTGGACGTCTACGCACTCCAGTCCTCCCCTGCCTGAGAGGACGGGGCAGCTCTCAAAGCCCTGCTTGCATTCCGCGCCTCCGCGCCTCGACTTGAGTGAGCGCGGACGATGGCTGTTGATAGAGTAGCACTGGGAGGAGCCGGGAGAAGAGGTTTGTCCGTTCGGGCACTTGGTGCAGTCGCTGGCGCCTGAGCTGGAGTAGTATCCTGCGCTGCAGGTGCTGCAGGCTGTGGAGGAAGTCGATCCCTGGCGAGAGTTGGCAGTACCAGCGGGGCAGTCGTTCTCCGGGGCGTTGGTCCCGCCAGGACACCAGGAGCCGCTGCTGCATGTCAAGCAGAAACTGTTCGGTCAAAGTCAGCATATATCACTTCTATAGAGATGAAGACATACCCAGTGCCGAAGAAAGGCTGCCAGTAGTTTCCAGGAGAACAGTAGTGGTTGTTGTTATTGGTGTTATCCCGTGCTTGAATGCTCTCCAAAGTCTCCCCACGGCTAGCTGCCCGTGCGAGCCTGGAACATAAGGTAAGGGCTAAAATCAGTATAAGGTGAAGATGCACATACAAATCCTTTGGTACGGATGTCGCCGCAGAAGACCCAATAATGGAGCTCGCAGCGAGGAGGACAACAGCCGTGCGCAGTGAGGAATACATCTCGACCGTCGGTGGGTGGGTGGGGAGATGAGTGACTGCGTGTGGAAGAAGGTGGGCGACCGGTGGTGTGGTGCTCAGACTTGGCAGTCAGCTGCGCCCTCTTGTATGTTGGTCCCCATGTTAAGGTTTTCCAAAGGTGCCAACATGCGAAACAGGGTAGTCGTCAACGCCCCATGCTGAGAGCAGACAGGACGTTATTCGCATTGAGGGCATATGGGGGTTGACTAGAAGATGAAGGAGAAAGCAGAGACAGTTGAGTCGGCCGGTCGGGCGGCACGGTGCTAGCTCCATAGCTCGAGGCGTGCCAGTCAATCCAGTCGTGCCGGATGCGGCCAGGTGAGACTGAGGTGGCTGGCATGCCCTACCCCGGTACTGAACGACCGCCCAAGCAAGGAACAGCACTAGACCGTCGACCAGCGGGGGTGACCGGAGCCGACGCAGACACTTGTGACAGTTGAACAAGGAGGAGGAGAAAAGAGAGGCGACAACCGTGAGACTTGGTTTCGCAAGGGTCTTGGGCCAAGAGTCATTCCAGGGTGACCGTCGGAACGCAACATTGCGCCACGTGAAGCACATGCCTAAGCTCGGCGGAATGGAGCCGCTTCCGGGCGGATGCAAACACTCGGCGCTATTTTGGTGAGTGGGAATGCACGGCATGCGAATTATTGTCTTGCTCTCATGGTCTCAAATGTTTCGCATACCCTTGTCAGGCACCCTCAAAGACGGTTGCTGCGTGCTAGTCGGCGGCATAGCGGAATGCAAACTGGGTGCATCGGGAGTTGGAATTATATACCAAGAGCCTGAAAAACGTGCTTGAGGCGTCTCGACCACTTGGAGAAGCAACTCGAGTTCCAGTGCTTTCCAGGCTTAACATTGCAGTAAATGTGAACTCCTTAGCAAGGCTTATCATTGAAAGTCTTCACACTGCTCTCTAAATGTGGAGACCCTCTCGGAGAACTCTTTTCCGACCCGGCCCTATCCGTTTCTCATTCCCATGGGAAACACTTGACGAAAGGTTCATGACCAGTCACGCAGTCTCAGCAAGACAGGACCTGTTTCGCCTGAGCCCTCACATATGCCACAGCCAAAGCCTGAGGTTACAACTAGTTCACTAGAGTGTCCGATAGGGATAAGAGATCTACAGTCTGCTGACTCGGCATCTTATTCCGTCTGTCCAGATAGACGCTTCTGAATCTCCCTAGCCACAGCCTCGCCATCGATGGGCATGTCCGTGCCCTGATACCCAGGCGGATAATGGTCTGTGAAACAAGCTTGGTCAGGTCCAGCCTCTTTGTGACAGTAGGGGACGTACTGGCAGGGGGGATGTTCGGATACTGGTCATATGTGTCAAAGTGCCAGCCGTAGTGCTTGATGCCGAGGTGGCGGGCGGTCCACTCATAGTCGTAGGCCCAGCCGGTGGGGAAAAAGAACTCCATCACCGCGGAGCGAGGAGTAGGCTTCATCCACAGCAGGGCGGTGAGGCCGTTCCCGTGAGGCCCGATAAGGATCTGCCCGGCAAAGTGAGCTCGGCCTCACGTGAGAGTATGAGACTTACAGTCGTACGGGCCGCTAACGCGATCTGCTCACTGCGCGTAAGCGTGTCCATTGTAACCACGTTGACCTCATAGCCATATGTATCCCTCAGTCGATACAATGCCTTGACTAGCGTCTCGTGATCCTCCGCGCGCAGACTACGCGTATTCCAATTCTGCCTGCTCACATAGGTGATCACGGGCTTTTCCTCCTTGGGCTTTGTCTTGCGACCCAATACAGCAGGACCGGGCAGTGTAGGGACAGCAACGCGCTGGTCCCCGTCGTTTGTCGCAAATCTGACGACGTTCCGCCTAATAGGCTCCCACCAGTTGTCGACGTGTCGGTGCTCGAAAGCCTGGCTCGCAAGCCTCTGCGCTGGCATCCACCCTGACCCACGGATCGCCGCGCCCCGATCACACATGACGACGCGTTCAAGAACGAAAGGTCGTTCGAACTCTGCAAAGTCCTGGAAGCCTGCCTTGAACAGGAGCTGGATGGAGGGCATGGCCGAGAAGAGCACGTATTGGTTCATACGCGCATAGTCCCGCCAGCCGTTGGTATCGACGTGCGGGAAGATCCAGCGGCGTGGTAGGGGAAGTGTCGTCTGGCCGTCATCGCTAATAGAAGGTGCGAGTGAGGTATATGCGCGCCAAATACCGAAGAACAGCTCTGCGCAAAAATGGTAATAATGCGGCAACACTGCAGAGCTCGTCAGTCACACGTTCTAAGTAAAACGCTGCGGACGCACTCTGAGCCGACTCGTGTGCCCAAAGCGTATTCCCCTGCAAGTTCACCGCACTGGCGCCAAACCACTCCCTCGCCTGCTTCGGGGTGATAACCTGCATGTCCTTGTCCGTCGGGTCCTGCACAGGATCGAGATACCCCGGGTTATCCGCCCCGCTCCCGAGAACGTATCTGAGGTCTGGCACTTCTTCTGGAGAGATGGTAACGACGAATGTCGTCCCGTTCATCATGTACAGGTTCTCGAACACCGTGAACCCAGGAGAGTGGGAGAGGATGCGGGTCTCCGGGGGCAACGCTGTTCCCCAATACAAGCGGATCTCTTCGGGTTCTTGCTTGCCTAGCGCACCTTGGAGAGTGGTGATAGGCGGTAGGGGTGCCTGTGGAAGTGGGTCGACAGGCTTCGCGAGCTCTACAGGCTGGAGAGGTGCACATGGCTGCGGCTTGGGGAGGCTGAACAGCAAACTAGGCTTGAACAACAGCACGCAGGCGATGAGGGATACAACGCCGACGAGGATGAAGCGCTCGCGTCGCCATGATGGGAGGAAGGAAGTGCGAGGGCGGGGCATTGTTGATGGGGCGAGGCGACCTGAGGAGAGAGAGGAGGAGGCTGACCGTCCTCGTTGAGAGAAGTAGGAAGCCAGCCTGATTGTTTTCTATTGACAATGAATGTCAATTGTCTAGTGTCCTGTGGTCGTTGTATGCGGTAACAGTAATGAACAGTTAATCAGCACCTGTGCTCGTCGTCGTCGTGTAAGTGAGCGGTGTGAACCACGTAGGAAGAGGCGCCCATAGTTGGACCCGCTACTTGGTGTTGCTGTCACCGCAAATCAGAGACACAAGCCGTCTTAGTCGGACCCTGAAGGACCCTCACCAAACTGTTATCCCTGAGCCACCAATTGCAATTCCATTTATTAATAATTACGTATAGCGATTAGCAGCATCCATATACACTACAAAATTACAGCACAGGCAAAATCATCCTACTCTCCCTTCCATCTCTTTGCTGTTTCGCGGCTGACACTCTGAGAAGCATTCCGTTTGTGTTGAGACCCTGCTCGATCTGTACGATGCACCAGCCCGCCGAGCATGGGATTGTCCGACCAGGGCTTGATTGGGATGCTCCCGGGGAGCGTCGTTTTGATACACATCTTCAGTGCACTTTCCCATGCCTCAGCAAAGACGTCCGGTGTCCACAACTTCTGGTACTTGTGATGTCCGGCGTGTACCACTCTGAACAGAGTATTCGCAAGGTCGGCCACGACAGAGAATGCCGGGGGACTGCCACCTTCTTCCGACCTGATGTACCAGTCTCGGCTGTCGTTTGCTGGATTGCCGTTAAACAGGAAACTGCCCAGGATTCTCTGGCATTCTGTCGGTCCGGCTGCTCCGACAGGCTGGAACCGCACCACTGCCCACAACCAAACCCAAGCCCACGACTCCAGATCATGCAGCGGGGTCGCGACAAACTCAGGGCACTGCACTGCCCTCCGTGATATGGCAGAGAGGTCGGTTTCATTTGGTGTGATGAAACCCCATGTACCCTTGGCCACTTCGAGCGGCATAAACATAGGCGTTCCCTGAACACTAGCATCAGTCATAACACGGAGCGTGCACACTTCAACACGCTAACCGTTCGCACGCCGTGCCCCGCCCGTTCCCTTCCCAGGGTACAGCATACTCAAAATCGCTCAAGTACCCTCGCTTCTTCCTCTCGTCCCAGTATACGTTCCCCACGCTAAGATCCCTGTGCACGTACCCCGCCTTCGTAACGGCCGAAAGTGCTAGCACAATGAAATCAGGAAATCAGCGGCCAGTTCGCGCTCCGTACAGCCGCCTCACCGGTCCCGACGTCTCTCAACCCGCAACATATATCCCGCAGGTCGTCCAATTGCCAGAGTGGCTTCAGCACCGCCTTGTATAGAGTCCACCTGTGTTCCCGATGCACCAGCTTGCTTACTGACCGCAAGCCATCAATCGAGCCTTCCTGGCCGATGAGCGAGAGCATTGCTGCATCGATGGGGTGATGGGCACGTGCAGTACCGCACACTTGTCGCCATTTATATCCATGTTCCCGAGAGGTAGTCGTGTCGTATCTTCTCCAACATCTGGGAATGTTACAACTCCCTCTGCCTCGATGTCCAGTACGTGCTGCTCCAGCGTCTGATCGTTCGGGTCCACTTTTCTTAGGCTTTCCTTCATATTCTTGATTATTTGGCCCTCCGTGCGGCGGCCCTCTTCTATCCAGCCGAGCTTAAGAGCGAATACACTTCCGTCCGAGTCTCGGGTCACCTCGAAGACACGCGTGGCCCGGCCTCGAATGTTCTCAGCCGCCTGGCTGAACAGCTCTCTGGTTGCGGTCAGGACGAGCGGCGGGGCCTTGTTCCCCGTCTCCAAGCTGAACACAATTTGCCCCTCTTCATTCCGCGTCATGCTCGCGTCCCACCCGAGGCTGATGTCGTCGGCGCACATCATCCTCACGTAATACTGTATGATGCTCTTCGGATCCTGCATGCCCAGGTCAACGTACGGCCTGCAACAACACCGTGACCCAGGCCTACATGGTGGACATCCACTGCCTGAGACGCAAAAACTCCAAGCCGCGATCCCAGGAAGGATCTGAACTCTCTGCCGACGAAAGTCGACCCATACACGGTCCTGCGAGCTGAGTCCTGCCGCAGCATGTAGTGGATGCTCCAGATAAGTTCTTCAGCAGCCTGAGAGCATATGTCAGCACCTATACTCGAGGCAGCGTTAACATGGCCCAACAGTGTCGCCGTTCCGGTTTGTGGAATCCACCTTCTTGAACTGTCCCACCTCCGCGATATCCTTCCACAAGTGCGTCGGCTTCTGGAACTTCTTGATGACGCCGAGTGGGGACGCGTCCGTTTCTCCAGTTGCAGACCCACCTCTGGGGAGGTCAGGCTCCGCCGTCGCCGTCTTGACTGGTCGAATGATGTACGAATCCGGCTAGGTGAGGGTTTGCACTTGACTCCCAAGAGCCAGGCTCGGCTGTTGCCAGTACTCCAGCTCATCGATCCGAGGCCGATAGTCGGGAAATACGTGATGCAACGCTTGTACGATCTGTTCGACCACCAGCTGCCAATCCTTGTGTACCGCTGTCTCGTGCCGTTGGTCTCGTGCCGGGTCAACAGGGAACGACTTCCATCTTTGCTCCTTCTCCAGATATTCCCCCCCCTGGACCAGTTTCGCATAGATAGACTCCACGAGATCATTGGGGACATCCTTGGGCCATTTCGGCAAGACCTGTGCCCACCAATTGGTGGCACAATACTCGCGTATGGCCCCCAGTCCTACCGCAACCAGCTTTCGACGTTCAAAGAGCGTGCCGGTTTGGTACACCTCGCTCGTTCCTTCCATCGTGTTAGGAGCGAGGACGATAACGGTACTACGACTTGGGGGAGGGGCGTGTCCGTCATTGCGCACGCCGCGTCCTCAAGCTCACTGATTCCGCCTTTTGTACACAGTGGGAGCTAATTATAAAGGTGTCGGATCTCCGTCGATGGAGCTTGAGCGATTATAGCAGCATAGACCGCAAGGAATAGAACTGAGAAAGAGTAAATACAGAATATGTAAAGAGTGAATACAGCTCTATCCTCGAGGTCGTCATCTTCCACAAACGGCGACGACGGGCTAAGGTAGAGGAAGGAGTCAGGAAACTTGTGAGATGAGCGCATGCCCTAAAAGACACAGCACGGATATACATTGACTCTTCAATGAACAGCCCTTATCACCAAATGAGGAGCAGCTCTATGTTGGATGTTTGCAGACAGCTGCAGTGTTAGGGGTCCCAGCCATCTGTGAAAGGCCACCAGATATGGTCATTGCTAGACAAGGGTCCTCAGCATTTAATTTTGCTTGAATCTGTGGTTTTTCTACATTTGTATTTAATTCCAATATTTTTTCTGAATTTTATGGCTGTGAGCAGGATAAAAGGTTCTCATTTGAGTCAAGAGTCTGGTATCTGTTTCCTTCTCAATGGGACCAAATACTTTGCTTCCATGAAGTGGAAGCAGATAGGCATTCCTGTGCAGGTGAGGTACTTTTTGCTTCCACTTCCTTGTTTTGCCTCCATTCACTTCTGTGAGAGTTCTTACTCTCCCCAGCTGAGTTTATTTTTCCTCCATTTGATCTCATGGGAATATATTGGCTTCTGCAGATGCAAATACATTATTTCCATGTTGGAATAAATTTGCCCAGCATTTTAAAGCTCTATTTTGAGAATATATCCCTACCAGTATCAGACTCTATTCCTGTCTGAAGGATCCCAACCTGAGGACACACCTGCAGGTTGTCAGGGCACACCATCAAGCAGAGGCTGAACACCAAGGTTTTGGGTGAAGCTGCAACCTATCAGGGTGACCTGACTGCCAAACAACCACTAATCATCCAATAATCTGACATCAGACCTCTGTTAGGGCAACACAGGCTGACTAAGTCTGCTCACCTAAGAGTGCCAAGAGTCTAA